AGTAAGTACCACGCTGCGCGGAGATGCTGCAATACGCACAGAGTGTGCGATTGAACAGGAAGAGGCCCGCCGCGCGAGTCTGCACGCCGCGCGCGCGACGGGAACGCGACGCGCTGGCGCCTCCCGAGGTCGCGTACCCACTGTTCGAAATTCAAGCGAACTGCAACAAATGCCGGCGTCTTTTTGGCTTTTCCTGCGCGCTTGAGGTTCGATACGTTCTCGGACGATCCTCGGAGGTGTAAAAAGGCCAGCCGTCTTGGTGAGTTCTCTTCCCTTGTTCACGCTAAAAATGGTAATCCCTCCGCTATGACATATGACTAATCTCGCTTAAATTATGACATACCGCATATGGTAATATCTCGCAATATACATAAACCCCATCTACAGGACTTAGGGGAACGAGAACTCACCAACGACGGATGGTTTTAGGAGCCTGGCGTACACCATACATCCCACATCTACCAGACTTTCCAACAACGAACTCGAGCATACATATAGCGAACACCTGAACACCTGATCAACCGGAAGCCAGTTCTGACAAACAAACAGTCAGCGAACACGTTCGAAACTGTTAGCGTCGTCCAGTAAGCCAAATCGACTGGCACGCTGACTGCTCACGCACAATGCAAAGAGAAAACGCACCATGAATGTCCTCTCAATTACGGCTATTTCCCGATCATCTAACTCATGCCCGATACGAGATCCGGAGTGTCAATCGTCCCGCCCAAGCTTGATAGCCTGCGACACCATCCACCCGCAGCGGTTACACGGCACAACCACAAACTCCACGTGCTGCAGGCCCGCGCTTTTGAGGAAGCAAGAGCGGGAGAATTCGATAGGGTCTACGCCAACATGCTGAAAGTTGATCTCGATGGGTGTGGGCCAACCCCGAGTGGGGTGGTGCACTACTAGTAGTGTTGAGCAGGATGGCACTAGTTCGATGTCTAGTATCCGGATCTGAGTGAGCAATGGAAGTATATCCAGGACCGCATTCTAAGATATAATAGACTTTAGTGCGAAGCTCAAAGACGATGAAGAACGGCCAGTGTATGCACGTACCAGGGCATCCAGCGCCAGTGTCTGGACTTCCGATTCGAACCTCTGGAGAATTTTTAGCCTACGGAGGCGACCGACTCCAGGGCCCTCGAAGGCATGTCGGAATACGCCTCCAAGGGAAAACGCTTCTTCTACTTGTTCGTTATCAGAACCCTCCTCGGGGAAATAGAGATCGAGGACCAAGGACTCCGGCTCGGTGTCGCATAGCACGGCCTGAACCATCCCGAGCTGTTCAAGAGGAGGCCATGTATCCCCAACAAAGCTGATAGTGACCTTGGGTACCTGCTGGGATAGTCCAAGGGAGAAGACGTCCGAAATGGTACCCCCGACGTGTACTAGCGAGGGCCAGCCTCCCGGCGACCTCTCAGTGAGCGCACCCCTGTTCGTTCGCCTGAGTGTCCGTGCCGCGTCGGGCGAACCGCCGGAAAGGATGCGGAGGATCGCCACTTTGGGGCAGCACTGAAGCCACCACGAAATGTCTGGGGGCACAGGCACAAGGTGGAACCATAAGATTTCGAGAGAAGATAGAGCTGAGCCAGGTGCGGGGGCGTCTGCCAGTGTGGAAGGTTGCATGTTTGGACACGTATGGTTGACTTGTAAGGTATGTAGGGGAAAGCGCATGCAAGCGACCATGCGCAATGTGGATATGTCCGGGCGATCAAGGGAGAGGCATCGTAGGGACGTGAGGTTTATGGTGGTTTGGTAGAACTCCGGGTCCCACAGCGAAGAATCTGGTTTGTGTGGCAGTATGAGTGTCGTGAGCGTTGTCATTCGGGGAAGGAACCTTCCAAAGCACAATTGCGCGCCCTCGAATGAGGGGAGTCGGAAGGATTTCACGTAAGGTAGCCGTGCACCATTCTCCGCGAGCAGGAAGAGGGAGAAAGATGCGGCGTTTGGCTCTGATACGGTGATGCACCAGGGAGCGAGCAAAATGATCTTGGCACCTTCGGAGTATAGCACATGACACGTCCGCATCATCCTGGACACAGTAGAGAGGCCTTGAGAAGGGGCTTGTTGTGCGGCATGATACAGGACGTTGAACAAGATGTCGTAGTTGAGCCGGGGAGGGCCTCGGATAGGGTGACGAAACGGCATTAACTCCACTGTGCGTGCCACAGCGGCGCGGCCGAAGACAGCGGCCCTGGATGTGCAAGAACGATCTTGAGTACGACTAGAGCACAGCCCCATGTTTGGTGGACTGAGAGGCGTACGAACAGGGCGGGAGGCAAAGAGCGCGTTACCGCAGCACCGAGTCCATCTATATCGCGGCCGAGCCCTTTAGAGCCAATCGTTGGGACCGTTACGTCGTTTAGGTTTGTGAACTCAGTTGGCAGCTTGGGAACCACTCTAGTGCTGTAGACGCTCTTGAAACGCATGCCATAGTATTATAAATGGTAAGCATGCGCATACGCCAAGACCACTGATACACCGACACTCCCTACTGTAGCAAGCTCGCGAGCTGAGGTTGCGGAGGAAGAGCATTCGCGGTATACACAGCCATTGGGGGTGATCCGTGCATCGTCGACACCATGACTGTCACCCGCTTCACCCGCGTGCACGTACCTAAGAGGATCAGCGTCAGCGCATCCCACCTCGCGTTCGTGACATAAATCGGCCGCATTGGCGCGGGGCGCTGGTATGCTGCCGGAACATGCTCGAAGAATCGAACGGTGAGCTCTTCGCAATGCAAGGCCGCGATGTTCGTGACCAAATCGGCCTGGCGTATCGAGTTAGAGCAAGGTTTCGGAACGAAGAGGCAGCACGTACCAAAAGCTGGCTCAAACAGAGCTGCACCAGGGGCAGGTAGCAATCCAACACGAGTGTCTGCAAGCGCGGCACGCGCAGGTGATCAAGGAGCGTCCCGAAGTCGCGCACGACGGCACGCGCGTCCTCCGTATTTTGAAACTGTAATTCCAAGTGCTTTGGGTTCAGCGCGGACAACACGTCAAACAGGCGTTGGTGTGCCGCGCCCCCGGGACCAATGGGAAGTGAGAGGATATCGACGGGCATAAGGAGGCCGAGCAACCACAGGTCGTACGGGGGCGCGTAAATGCGATCGAGGTTCTCCCAGCCGCGCTCGTCCATGCCAGCAAGCAGGTTCCGTCGGCGGTGCATCTCCTGCTCTGCAAGCAGCCTAGGAATCGCGGGCGTGAGAGAGAGACGGAAGTCCCGGAGGTTCGGGAATGCGAACTTGTATGCTCTGAGGTCGAAGACGGCCGGGCAGTCGTATGTGAGGAGCACGATCCGTACCAGCGGGAACTGTACGTTGCGTGCTCGGAGATCCAGGACGACATTTGGCATGTCGATTTCCTGGAGGGTCGCCGCCGATGATTGAAGGAGCGCGCCGGTATAGTTCCACCGGACGGATGTCCCAGCGGGGGCATGCATATGTATACTGACTAACCGAGAACGTAGGCGAGCCACGAGTCTGTAGGCGATTGCGCCTACGTGGTCGAGCTTCAGCTCGGTAAGAGACGTCCGGTCCACGATGTGATCGGCGAGTACGGGATGGCGGCCGAGAAGCATCTCAGAATGAAGCATCCAGAGCCTGGTCAATTGGGGAAGCCGCCGTATAAGTTGCAGGAGAAGCTGGTGGTTTCTGGGTACGAGGAAGGGAACGCGCAATACGAGAGTGTCGACCTGTAGCGCATGACGGCCGTCCTTTGATAAAGAGTGGGCTGCGAATCTAACCAGGTCATCCTGGGTTTCGATGATCACAGTTGAATTGAAGTAGGCGGGAGCTGGTGCTGCCTGCGCCTGTGTTGCTACCGCTATCGTATTTTCAGATAGGTGGGACATGGCGAAGCGAGGGTCACAGTAGAGACGCCGATCTGGAAGGTCGTGTTAAACGGCAACTTGTTACTACAGCAAAAGTAAGGGACTGACCGGGTGAAGTGCCCTTGGAGTGAAAGGGATGACTGGACAGTGGGAGGGCTGTTCGAACGGATTAGCGCAAGGGATGATCTAGACTCTAGAGAGCTCATAGAGGTGTAATATATACCGCCGGCAGTCGCCCTCAAAAGGATGGTAGTCTTGGTGTCATTCAAAGTGTAGGTGTTCCGAAGAAACAAACGAAAACATCTATCTCTATCTGTCTTTCTTTCGAAATGAAGACCTGACGATAGTAAAGAAAAATCAGCAAGATAGACAATGAAAATGAGATGAAAGCCACTCAATCGTATCGTCCAATCGCAGAACGAAAAGCGGTCTACACATACCTTTGACTAGGCCTCCAGCTTGGATAGGTCCCTTGCGCCTTCTGATTTAGGAGCCCTGTAATAGTAGGTGTGTAAAGTTCTAGTTCAAATCTTGCGCCTTCCTGGTAGAGGATATCACAAGCCGGCATCAAGGCGAGGCGTGTAAATCAGTCGTGCAGGGAGAGAACATCACTGTGGCTCAGCTGAGGCACTTGAGGGATCTCTGAGCTTTGGAGCAAACAAAAATATCTGGCACTTCGTTAGTGAGCCTGGGACCCAGCGCAGAGATCAGCCACCCGCAAGCACATATCCGGAACGGTGCGAGAGGATACTCGAAGAACTGTGAGAAGCGCCAGCAGCAAGCTGGCGTTTGCATAGCCGTGACAGAGCTGTGACGTCACGTAACGCGACGTTCACGCGACGCGCGTTCAGCGCTAAACTCATTACGCGGTCCTGGTCCTACGCAAGCCTCTCTTGCAGTACTCTCCTCACTTCCTCCTCCAGCCATGTTCTTGACCCGCTCAGAATACGGTGAGAAGGGCTGCGAGATGATGTGAAATGCATACTGAACTGCTGCTAGATCGTGGTGTGAACACATTCTCTCCCGAGGGACGTCTATTCCAAGGTGCGTACCGCAAGCCGATCTGAAGTATACTCTGCCCACACACTGTTTCTACAGTCGAGTATGCCATTGAAGCTATCAAGGTGAGCCGTCATTACTCTTCCTGATTGTCAAACATGCAACAAGATCTGACCAGCACTCATTCAGCTCGGATCTACCACCGTCGGCGTCCGCACACCAGAAGGCGTCGTCCTCGGCGTCGAGAAGCGCGTACAGTCGCCGCTCCTCGAGGCGTCCTCCATCGAGAAGATCATGGAGATCGACCGCCACCTCGGGTGCGCCATGTCCGGCCTCACCGCCGACGCGCGCACCATGATCGACCACGCGCGCGTCACCGCGCAGAACCACGCATTCACCTATGACGAGGCCATCCGTGTAGAGAGCGCGACCCAGGCAGTCTGTGATCTCGCGCTGCGCTTCGGAGAGAGTGTGCACGATGAGGATGCGATGATGAGTCGGCCGTTCGGCGTCGCGCTCCTCATCGCGGGTATCGACGAGCAGGGGCCCCAGCTGTGAGTAGTGTCCTTCCGCGCACGACGGGCTGGGTGATTGATCCCTTGCGTTTAGCTTCCACACAGATCCCTCGGGCACGTTCGTACGGTACGACGCGAAGGCGATCGGCTCGGGTTCGGAGGCGGCGCAGAGTGAGCTTCAGGACAAGTGGCACAAAGTACGTACATTCTTCAATCGTCGAATCTCCCCTCGCTAATGATCCGCTAGCAAATGACCCTCCAAGAGGCACAAGTGCTGACTCTGCGCGTATTGAAGCAAGTCATGGAGGAGAAGCTCGACCACCACAATGTACAACTCGCTCAGGTGTGTTTTCCCAAGACCTTTGCGCACACAAAATCTCCTTGCTGATGCGAAATTAGGTCACGCCAGGAAAGGGATTCGAGATCCTGAACGAGGTGCGGCTAAAAGAGATCATCGACGTCATGTAGACTTTCGGACCACAATACCTCGCTGTCGTTGTACGTTTACGTTTGTTCGCACTGTAAGTTGCTGGGTTCAAAGCGGAACAAACACTGTGTTCGCATGATGTGCTATGAATCTACACGTCGGCATCTAAAGGTACATGCGGGCTAATATCTACAAACTGCTTCTTCTTTCTTCGCCTTTCCGCATTAGTCTCAAGACTTTACTTTGGCTCGAAGTCGTCCACGGTCTCGTAAAACTCTTTGATCAGTCTCTTCTGCGCGTCGACGCCCTTCTCCGTCTGCTCCGAAAGAACCAAATCAGTGTTGAACGAATGCAATTGTAAATGAGAAAGAGAGTGAGACGCACCTCGGAGTCGCCGATTGCGCGGATGACGATGTACTTGCGGCCCTCGAGCACCTCCTGGTTGACGTCGTTGTCCAGCGGTGAGGTATGCGAGCCCGCGACGAGGCAGCCCGCTTCTTGCGCGATGATCGAGCCTGCGCAAACATCCCACGGCCTACACCACAGCGTTCAGTATGTGCATACTCTCCACAGACGTTTCACTGCGACGCACCAGCAGCCGATCTCCCTACACACGCGCACAAGAAATCATGAGCACCACCGTAGCGAAGCGACAAAACCCGTCAATGCAAGACGTACCAGTACAAGTCGAGACCGCCCTGCGCGACCATTCCGAAGTTGAGTGCGGCACTCCCGAGCGAGCGCAGGGAATGCGCCATGCGTCCGCCAACGACGCCCTCGGCAGGGTTCCCCGCGAGGCGCTTGAAGGACTCGCCTTTGTGGCGCACCATGTCCGCCGAGCGGTCCGAGCCCCACTCGATGCCTGCGCGCGCGGCCACCATCCTCAGCATATGTTCGTGGCGGCGCCGAATGGGACGTACCAATGAGCGCTTGGGAGAGCGAGGGGAGGGGACGGGGCTTCGCGAGGGGAAGGCGCGCGGGGGCGCGCCCGCCCTGCGCGAGGAACGCGCCGCCGCCCTTGACGGCGCTGTAGAGCTGGTCGAGGAAGGGGTTGTAGAGCACACCGAGGACGGGGCGCTTGCCCGCGATGAGCCCGATTGAGATGCAGACGGAGGGGAAGCCGTGCACAAAGTTCGTGGTCCCATCTGCAGTTTTGTTGAGGGGTGAGGTGGGGTGCAGGGTGAAGAGAAGGAACTGGATGAACGCCAGGGCTATGTTTGAAGCAGAGCGGGCGGGGCGTACCGATGGGGTCTACGCAGAAAGTGGGTTCGTCGGTGAGGTTGGTCCGCGCGCCGGCGGCATACGACTCCTCCCCAATGCTACACAGAGGGTTCCGTCAGCACTTCATGTTTCACTCCGGACATTCATGGAGGCGGCGCGCGTAGGTGGGCAAGACTCACAATTTGAACGCAGGGTACTCCGCGGAGAGCTCGCGCTTGACGAGCTCCTCGACGCGCACGTCGTATTCGGTGACGAGGTCGACCGAATTCTTCTTCTCATCTGTTGCCCCAGACGCACGAATCGCTTCGGAGCCCTCAAGGATGAGCGCGCCCGCCTTGCGGGCGAGCTCGATGGTGAACTTGAGGATCGAGCCGAGGTCGGCCGCATCGAGTGTTCTACTGGCCATCGCGGTAGTCGCAGTCGAGTTTAGAACTGCTGGGAGACGTTCTGAGGAATTAAAAGGGGTCGACGGGAGCTATACAAGTCACTGAGAGCGACAAACGTTGGTGAGGCATGTCGGCACAAGCTGGGATCGATGAGGCACCGGGGCGGGGATTCGGAAACGTGAGCGCTTCCTCGAACTCCTCCTTCCGTCTTGCCACCACTATGCCGCTTGTCGCGCTCTCTCCGGACCCTCTGGTCCGCATATGCTCGTTCTTAAGCGGTCAAGATGACACGCTTTTTTCTCTAGCAATAACATGCCGTGCATTGTCTGCGATTGCACTCCGGACTCTGTGGCACTCTCCACCGTCTTATACTCCCTTGTTCCTCACTCTTCCCGAATCCTTGACCGTACGTTGCAAGAGAGAGTCGGTCGACGCTCGGCGGCCCGAGAAATGGATCCTGGTACGTGTTCACTGCTGTTGTTTGACCCGCTGATATGAACATCAGTACCGGTCCATTCACAAGTACCCTGCTCGCCCGAGCTTCGAGCACTCCGATCTTGAGCGGTTCTACCTCTATGCATCGCTCGTCCAATCATTCCGTCTGCCTGATAACTCACCCCGCACCCTCTGTGATTTTGTGGTTTCATCAGAGATGTGGACTCTCCTCAAACACGCAAATTCTGAGCCTATATTTCCCAACCTTCGCTGCGTAACTATCAAGGATGACTGGCCCATCTACGTTCAAGATCCCCTTCCCATCCGCCCCTTCCTCAGCCCCAGTGTCACATATCTGTCTATCACTTTTTACCGATACCGAATCCAGGTACCGGGCGATGTGGAGTTGGGCTCCTGCGCCGCAGTTATCGAGCTCAGGGACCTACTCACCAATCTCCCGCTCCACTGTCCTCATCTACGCGAGCTGTATATTGCGTTTCCCCTCTCCCCATACTTTCAAGATGCCCTCATGCATATCGTGCAAGGACTTTCGAATCTCACATCCTTTCGATCGCACCGTATCACGCTCCCCCCGATGGGTGTTGCGGCGCTATCCTCCCTCCCAAATCTAACCTGCGCCAGAGTTTCTCTACGAGGTGCAGACTACACGGCGCATCACATGGCACAGAGTCCGCCTTCTACCGTCACCTTCCCCGCTCTCCAGGAACTTGACATCGAGGCGGACACCGCCGAATGCGCAGTGGCACTGCTCGCTTGGCCTGTTGTGAACCCCCCAACTTCCAGGCTGACTACGCTGTACGTCCATGCTACCCTGACACCCAATACTACCGCGGCACAATTCCTGTCATTCACGACGGCTATATCCCTCATGCATTGCCGCTATACGCTGGAGGAAGTCACTCTGTCTACGGACATTCCGAGGATTAACGGTGCCAGTCCTTTTGACGACGATCTCCCCCCTTCCACTGTTGCACCTCTCCACAACCTCCCTCGGCTCACCTGTCTTCGTATTATAGGATACTGTCATGTTGCATTCGACGACGCTGCACTCGCCGAAATGGTGCACGCCTGGCCCCGCTTAACCGTCCTCGCCGTATGCCAAGAACACCTCCAGTCGGAAGCAAACGGAGTGTCCTTGATTGGTCTACACCACCTCGCCCAGCAGTGCCCAGGGCTCGTGGAGCTCCACATCGCCCTCGCTTCTGTGAAGCGTGCTGACTGCGAGGAGGTCCTCGCGCGGGCACTTCGCCCCAAGACGGGCGGCGACACACGTGCACCGCGCGAGGTGTGCCGTCTCTCTGATATCAGCATCGGCGCCCCCTGGATGAATGCGCAGGACATCGCCGCTGTGGCTGCGGCGTTGAACACGATCTTTCCTTACCTAGCGAGAGTCCATTCAGATTGTTTCGGCCTAATACGTCCCGATTGGTGGGGAATGAGAAAGGCACTGGACATATTTCACAGGATACGGGAGCAGGAGCGGAAGTATGCTCGCGGGCGGACTGGGTGTCATACATCACGAACACATGTACATATTACTCGCGAGAAGAGAGGTGCTATCTGAGAAATACCGGGTCAGCCGTGTTCGAGCTCGCCACGCGGCATCGCGGCGGGAGCGCCTCATCTTTCTCTAACACCACCATGTCTATCCTTAACGCGCTCACTCCAGACCTACTTGCCCACATATGCTCGTTCTGCCGCGCAGACGACAATCGCGCATTGCTCTCTCTAGCAATAACGAGCCGTGCATTATCTGTGGCCGCACTCCGGACTCTGTGGTGCTCTCTAGCGTCTCCTAGTCCCTTGTTCCTAGCTCTGCCCGAATCTTCAACCGTACGTCGCAAAAGAAAGCCGGTCGCAGCTTGGCAGCTCGAGCGATGGTTTTTGGTACGCATCTCACTGTTGTCTTTTGACTCGCTGATATGAACGTCAGCACTGGCCCGCTCGCAAGTACCCTGCTCGCCCGAGCTTCTCGCACTCCGATCTTGAGCGGTTCTACCATTACGCTTCACTCGTCCAATCGCTCCGGGTAGAGGACACATCCTCCAAAATCTGCGGATTTTCGGTCTCATCAGAGATGTGGACTCTCCTCAAACGTGCAAATTCTGAACCTATATTCCCCAACCTTCGCCACGTAACCATCTGCGAGTATTGGGACAACTACGTTCTTGGGCCCTTTCCAATCTACCCTTTTCTCAGCCCGAGTGTTGAAGATCTCGCTATCATCCTCCACTGTCCCAAGAAACAAGGGCCGGACCACCCCGCTGCAGTTTTCGAACTCAAGGATCTGCTCACCAATCTCGCGCTCATCTGTCCTCATCTACGCAAGCTGAATATCACGACGGCTCCCCTCCCCGTATACTTTCACGATGTCATCACGCATGTCGTGCAAGGACTCTCGAACCTCACGTCGTTTCAATCGGAAGGTATAACGCTCCCCCCGATGGGTGTTTCAGCGCTATCCTCCCTCTCCAATCTGGCCTTCGTCAAAATGTCTGTACGAGCTGCAGACTACTCAGTTCATCGCATGGCACAAAGCCGGCCTTCTACCGTCTCCTTCCCCGTTCTCCAGGGACTTGACATTACAGCGGACACCGCAGAATGTGTGGTGGTGGTGCTTGGTTGGTCTGTCGTAGACCCGCCAAGGCTAACTCAACTTTCGGTCCAGGCCACCCTGACGCCCAACGATACCCCGGCCCAATTCCTCTCCCTCACGACCGCTATTTCTCGCATGCATTGTCGCTGTACGCTTGAGCGGGTCACTCTCCATACGGACATCCCGTGGATCGGCGGTAACAACCCATGCGTCGACGATCTGCCCTCTTTCACTGTTGCACCTCTCCACGACCTCTCTCGGCTCACCTATCTTCGCATAAGAGGGTACAGCCATGTCATATTCGACGACGCCGCACTCGCCAAGATGGCGCGCGCCTGGCCCCGCCTGACCGTCCTCTCCGTATGTGAACAAAACCTCAAGTCGGCGGCGAACGGAGTGACCTTGGTCGGTTTGCGCGACCTCGCCCTGCAGTGCCCCGCGCTCGTGGAACTGGACATCGGCGTCGCTTCCATCAAGCGCGGTCACTGCGAGGAAGTCCTCGCACGGCCTCCTCATACCAGGGCCGAGTGTGACGGAGACACGCTCGGACCGCCGGAGGCGCGCCGTCTCTCTGTCATGAATATCGGCGCGCCCGGGCTGAGTGCGGAGGATGTCGCGGCTACGGCTGCGGCGTTGAACGCAATCTTTCCCTACATCGAGAGAGTGCGTTCAGACGACTACCGCCCAGGTAGCCGCAGATGGCGGCAGATGGATGAGATACTGGCCATCTTTCGCAAGGTGCGGGAGCAGGAGCGGAAGTATGGTCGAGGGCGAACCGGGTGTCATACGTCCTGAACACATCATGTACTGCGGAGTTGTCCTCTCGAGTGGACGCGCTCGCGCCTGCGTTCGTGCTGGAGGTGTGTAGACGTGCCCAGATGCCTGTAACGCATTGCTCGTGCGTGGTTTCCCGCCAAATGGTAATCGGTACATGTTTGAAAGCTAAGGGATCGTCGATTAGCAAATGGTGGGTCTGTCTAGCTAGTCTCTGTGATACAGTAAAACGAATGTCTGTGTGCGCAGAAGCGCCACGATGATAAACATGGTCCGAATACCTATAAGGACAGGTTCACATACATTATAGTAAGTTAGTATAAGATGATACGAGGCGCTGCCAGTGTCTAGGCAGCCTTGGACTAGTGCCGGTGTACGGTCGAAAGTCGGGCTCCATGGCGTAAGCAGTATATCCGAGCCATATAACATGCAACCTACATGCAACCGTCCTAGCGATCTTCCTGCCAGTGCTTGCCAGCGGCCCAAGCGAGTTTGGTACGATCCGAGGGAGTCGCGGCGGTAAGTGATTGCTTCAGTCATTGTCGCTGTCCATCGACCGGTCGACCGACATGTTGATGGAGATATCTAAACCGGAAGGGGATGAACGCGTTCGAACGTCCGAGTCGAGTTCGGAGGAGGAGCAAGCCTGAGCACCGATGAGATCTGAGATCTGAGATCTGAGATCGCGGGGTTGGCGCCCGTGGCCCTGTGCAGTGGCTGTCAAGCCGTCTCAGAGCATGACGCCATGGGCGCCTGCCTTCGGCCTTCGGGCGGAGCGTCAGGAAGCGTGTGGCGCCTGTCCCGATAACGCCGGACTTCTTACCAGGCGCGCGTCGGCACCTTCCGACCGCATTAGGCCCAATACCGCCGCCCGACGTGCGCCTACCCGCCCCTTCCTAAAGCAGTATTCTCTGATGTTAAATATTGTAATTCCGAATGAAATGAATTCCTCCGAGTCGTGTTGCCTCGTGGTGTGTTCTCGCTCATCCTCATCCTCATCAGGATCGTCGACGGTCCTGTGTTTGCCCTAGCTACGTGTATGTCCTGTCGCTGTCTCTGGCTTCTCTTCTTCGACCTGCACCCCACATAATTCGCCATGATGACCTCTTCCGGCTCTCCACCACCGAACTTGACGAACTGAGCCAATTCTGGCCAACGCGCACCAGTTGAGCAACACGTCGTGCTCCTTGTGGTGAGCAGCCTGAGGCAATAAAAGCACGGCGGCTGAATCTTGTGAAGTCCAGGTTCCATCGTCTCCTCGTCCACTGCCAACTCGTCAACCAGCCCCGCATCCAAGTCGTCTTCGTCAACAATGCCTCTTCGCTCTCTCCCACTGTCCTCTCCTTTGTCCTCCCTCTCCTCGTTGCCGTCCACGCCGTCGACCATCGCCGCCCATACCCCGAAGGCCACACCGACCACCTCGCCCAGCAAGGTTGGGAAGCAAGGTCCTGGGAGTCACGTTTCGCCCTCCCGCCCGCACCCGTACTGGAAGAAGAAGCTGAACGATTGCCTCACAACGGTGACGTTCACCGCTGTCCCCTCCCCTGACCTTGAGGTCGTTCCGTAGTACGTGTCATCCAGTATCTGCGGTGCCACACAGTTATTTAAACATAGCCCTAGCCCTCAGGACGCTCATGGGGACCCGGTGCCCATAGCTGACCTGGTGCAGTACTCGAAGGCGCGGGTCTGGCCAGACCCCATCAAATGCTTTTGTGTGCTCATCAATGGTATCGAGCACGCCGTCCGCATCTTCGTCCCTCGTACGGGTGAGCACGCCGGCGACCCCGTCCTCGCCTGTCCGAACTGGAATGCCGATGGCATTCAAGGCTGTCGCTACTGGGGTACGAGTCTCGTAGTGTGCACAACAATATGATCTGACTTTCCCTGTTCATTACAGTCAACTTAAGGCATCTGTTCCTAGATGGCGAGACCCTCAAAATCATGCCATCGGCGGTGTTCCCCCTCCGTCTGCGTCGTAGCAACAGCGGTACGTAACCCAACTGCATGGATAATCCATTCTCAGCTGACGATGTGGCTCCTACAACAGTTACTACCAGGGGATTTGCCTTCAAGCCCTTCCTCGCCGCCGATTTCAAGCCCGTGCCGGCCGCTGAAGTCGTATGTTACGCTTCGCGGCTCGACGACCCTCCTGTCTTCAGCAACGCTCCTCCGCCCGACCGCGCACCTATTCCCGACGACGCTCCTGTCCCTGACGACGCTCCTGTCCCCGCCAACGCTTCCATCCTCGATGATCCTTCCCTCGACTTTATGTCTGTTGATCTTGCAGCGTTTTATGCTGAACAGAATGCCGCCCGCGCTCCCACCTACACCGACGACCCCTTCTCGTCTCCGTCGACTGGCCTAGCCCCTAACAGAGATGTGTCACCCCTCACCGGCCCTCTTTACGAATTTTCTCCCCTGCCGATGGCTTTCCCTCCCGCCCTGAGTGTCGCCATGTTGCGCGAGCCCTCTGTGCCTGTTGCGTCTGGCTCAGGCGCTCATACCGATGTCGACGCCGGTATACCGACGTTCACCACGAGGGACAAGGGCAAGAATGTCTGCCTTGGAGACTACATAGTCAACACCATGCCCGGTATGTCGGCTCTCTTCCTAATCACTCAAAGTGTGATATTAATATCAGGCAGGTGCTGAAGGTGGATTTGTCCCGGATGACGACCGTGCTGGGTCTCCTGCCCATGAGCAGGAAGACCCGGACAACGCTGAGAACCTCCCCATCCCCTCCGTCAATCAGGTAGATGCCATGTGGCATCAGCTTTCGAGGCCCGGTGGTCAGGGCCTCGGATACCGCCGTTTTATGACTATGTGGGGTGGTTGCAGGTTCTGCAAGAAAATCATGACCATAACCATCTTCCTCGCCCACGATTGTACGGCCGCCCCTCGTCGCGCTGCTGCGCCTGCTGCCCCCCTTCGTGCTGCAGACCTAGACTCAGGTATGCTCATTCCCTCTTTACTCGGTTCACTGGCTCATCTCCATTTCCAGCTCCTGCTCAGGGTGAAGCTAAACTGGGGAAGCGCAAAATTGTGCCGGTGCCGGATTCGCCCCCTCCACTAGTCAAACGCATTCGTGGACCCGCCGGAGCGCTCCCTCGCATGGGGGATGCGTGCGCCACTTCTTCGCGCGCCGCACCTCAGGCTCTCGTCCCGCACCCTATCCCGCGTACCGCCCCTGTCGTGCCGCGCCCGCGCTCCCTGCCTCTCATCCCGCGCTCCCTGCCTCTCATCCCGCGCTCCCTGCCTCTCATCCCGCGCTCCCTGCCGGTGGCTGCGCACGCCACTTCTGTGCGCGCGACACCCGTGGTAGCCCGTGTTGCACCTGCTGTGCGTAGCCTGCCCGTCGTCGCCGCACGCACCGCTTCTGCCATCGCCGGCCCCAGCAGCGCAACTGCTACGGCCACAGCTGAGGAGTTCCGCGAGGTCATAGACGCCGAGACCGGGGAGGTGACTTGGGAGCTGTTTGAAGTCTAGTGTAATGTTGAAGGCTCCGCGCGCCCTGATCATGTATTCCATGCACCAAAGTGCTGCCACGCTGTACGAGTCCGATTACGATATCTTGTAGAACATGCGATGCTGTCCAAATGTGACGAATATACATTTGATATTGTACCTGGCACGAGGGGGATTTCCGACAATTTGTGTGTCCGCTGCATGTGGGCCACTCAGAATGTGTCTACGTTGACCTGACAATGAAGCAAGTGTGCATACATCGCGCGTCCGCGGAGGTTTGTACGACCCTGCTCGACGCCTGCAGGAGGCGGCATGCCGATCATCTAACCCTTCTCACTCTCCCTCTTCCAGCTCTTTTAAACACAGTTCGCCCACCGCGCGCCCAGACAAGGGACATGACAAAAGATATAAAAATAAAAAAGCAGGTGGCTGCCGTTCTGTATTACAGTCCGTAGCCCAAGTCATAATCCGAGTCACCCGGGCCCTGCTCACCCCGCATACCTCGCTCGCCCTAGAAGTTGCCCCGCTCGCCCTAGGTGTCCCGCTCGCCCTAGTTGCCCCGCTCGCCCTAGTTGCCCCGCTCGCCCTAGTCGCCCCACTCGCCCTAGTCGCCCCACTCGCCCTGCATGCCCTCGGTCGCCTCTCTTGCCCTATGTGCCCTGCTCGCCGCTTACCTCGCTCGCCCCGCGCGCCCTGCTCGCCCCAGTTGCCCTACTCGTCTCGCTGACCTCGCTCGCCCTCCGTGCACTGCCTGCCCTCTGTACCCTGCTTGCCCTCCGTCTCCGTGCCATGCTCGTCCCCGCCGCTCGCCCTGCCTACCTCACTCGCCCCGCTCGCCCTGCCTACCTTGCTCGCCCCGCTCGCCCTATTTGCCCCGCTCGCCTCTCTTACCTCACTCGCCCTCCGTGCCCGGCGCGCCGCGCTTACCTCGCTCGCCCTCCGTGCCCGGCGCGCCGCGCTTACCTCGCTCGCCCTCTGTGCCCTGCTCGCCCTCTGTGCCCTGCTCGCCCTCTGTGCCCTGCTCGCCCTCGCTTGACCCGCTCGCCCCGCTCGTCCTGCCTACCTCGTTCGCCCCGCTTGTCCCGCTCGCCCTGCTCGTCCTTGTCCTGCTCGCCCTCTCCTATTCTCTAGCCCCGTGCTCATTGTACCTTTTCGTCTGCGCCTGCGCTACAGACGCATCCGCATTTGCGAAGTTCCGGGGGCCGCTCTCGAACTTGGTAGCGCAGCGTCCGGGAGGATATTGAGCGACGTGCGGGTCTGCAGCGGGCGTGTCGAGTGAGTTCTCCGCGCGCGAGTCGGAGGTGTTCTCCGCGAGCAAGTCAAACGGATTCTCTGCGAGAGAGGGCATCTCGGGCCTGGGGGTTGGCGGCGTGGAGGGCGCGAACACATTGCCTGTGGGCGTGTTAATATCCACGAGCCACAGGGGCTTCGGGTCCATGTCGCGGTCTGTGTGGAGGGCGTGGTGCACGCCGCTACCGCCTGTCGACGGACGCTTCGCAAGATTTGTGCTGGCGAAGATCGGCATTGAGGTAGGGGGCGATGCATGCGCCGGACGTGGATGGGATGAACTCGCGCGCAGCTTTCCGCCGCCGCCGTTCAGCGACCTCCGATCGTCGCTGGTTCCGGGGAGCCGATAGACGGCTCACAGACACAGCGCATAGTGTGGGTGGCGACGGGGCACATTCGCCACCTCACAAGCCTGTCGTTGGAGCTCGTTTGGCGGTTGGCTCTATCTCTCGCGGGTAGCAACTCACAGCAGCGGGAGGGGCGGCTCTCGGCATCCAGGTCATGTGGCGGCGTCTGCACCGAGAGGTGTCAGACAGGTGGTCGCTACATGTTGTCGAGGGCGATAGCGAGAGCTGTGAAGTTGGCTCGCCGACGTTTGATAGTGGGCGGTACGGCGTCATTGTGTGTGCCCTGGCGCAGGGGGCCGAGGCGACATCTTGGTTGCACTGTACGGCGTCTCATCGAGACTGCAGGGCGGCTTCCGGCGGCGGCGAGTAAACTGGACGGTGGACGTTGTGTGTCTTGTTTTGCGTAATGCGTGCTGGCGCACGACCGGGCGCCCCTCGTACGTCTTCTCCAGCATGTCTGTGTGCAGTGATGCCTTTCCGCCTGTTTAGAATCTTGTGCGGTAAGAAAGTGCAGCTACGAAACTTACGATATGCCTTCTTGATGCCATCTGTTGTCGCATCCCCTGCCCAGCAGCTCGTAGTACGCCGTCTCAATCGGCTTCTCCTGGGTTCCATCCCAAACTTGCGTCCCTTGCGCGCCCGAACCTACAAGAATGACGCACCGCTCCTGCCCCCGTTGTTGCCTATTGAGTTGGGCTGGCGTACTGGGCCGGGACCTATGTTGCCAACGTCGGGAAAGATGATACGCGTCCGGCGTGTTGCTATATGTGGGGCGGGGCGATGTGGTTCAGGATTTTGCCGGTCTGGGAGAGCACGCAGTGCGAGCGAGAACGCGTAGAGAGTAGCTGAGAGCAGACGTGCATAGGAGAGAGTGGGAGGAAGAGTAGTATCCGAGAACATCGGAAAGTGTGCGTCTTAGACGCCAACGCCACAAACATTCGTTTTAGCAGCCAAGCGAGCGCTTGTTCTGCTAAGACCTGTTACTCTGCTAGAACCTCAAGCTTTGACGTGCAGAGCAAAGTTTTGCCTGATTATAATACTAAGTCATCTCCAGTATCCAAAGGTGTCATTCTTTTTTCCTGCTAAATTATGCCTCGGACACCACAGTGGTATATTCCGGATGTGCGTCTATCCACGCCTTGACAGCGTGCTCGCTCTCCGTGAATACTTTATCATCCTACTAGACGCACGGTACGCACATACCGGATGGTTTCAGCCTTGCGCCTGTTGCTGATGTGTTCTAGATTCGTTCAGATTCTGAGTGCAAAGGGAATAGGGTGGTGTTGCGGGCTGCCCTATTCTAGGCAGTTGAGCGGGCGGGAGCTTGACTCGAGGACTCGGAGCTCCACGGTGCACTTTGGGTTACTATGTGTCCCTGTACTGACTACCTTCTGACCATCAGGCTACACAAGCGGTGCTTGTACGGTGCCCTCTGACTGCTCGGACGGGGACGCAAGCTGCGGTAACTGCAGACGCATTGCCGTGGCGGCGTGGGGAAGCACACTGGGTTGGCGGAGCGCGAGCGCGACGTCTCATCGGAGGGTGTCGCCGCGATGCGATGCGACGCAATGGGCGTACACGGGACGGCTGTGCATGTGTGGGCGGGGTCCCACGAGCATGGCGCACGCTGCGTGAGCATGCATATTGGGTGGGGCGGCATATTCGCATATTCGATGTTCGCAGTATAGGCCAAAACCCCGTCGCCCCCTTCGTGCGCCCGAATTGTTCCAAGGTCCTCGGTCCCCCGCCCCAGCGCTGTATGCCTCGCTCCCGCGCATGCCTGTCCTTGACCCCATCGCCGGCTGTTCCTCGATGCTCGATTCAGCTCACCGCGGACCGACCTCGCCTCCCCGGTGCTTCCCCGCCAGCAGCCCTGTGCAGCGCGTATATGCATTCCCGAGCGGCGGGTTCTGCGGCTGCCCAACTATGTTTTGACCGCTCATTGGCAAGGGATCTTGAAGGGGTGCGGCTGCGTCGGCGGGCAGCGTTTTCACAAGTCACAAGAGCTGTGGTGGTTGTTGTGTGCGTCTTTGCGCGAGCGTCCCGTGCGGCCCAGCCGACGACGTCTTAATTCCCACCGCCGACGACGTTGACACGCAGCAACATTTCGAATTTGTGTACCCTGTCCTGATGCATGCCTTGTCGTCCGAGTTAAATGTGGTCTCCACGCTCAGGGCCTTCTCAAACCGGAACCAAGTGGTGTCATGCGTGAGCTCGTGCTCGCGCCCGCGCGCGTCGTGGCCAACCAAGGGGCGCGGTCCTCCCGACGTTCAAGTTCGAGTGCAACTTGCTTGCGGGCGGCGTCTGCACTATAAGTAGGGGGACTCGCCGGAGTCGTCTGTGGGCGCGTAGTAGTTGAGCATTGTCCACCCAAGCGTGTACTACCAGAATCTCAGGGAAATGCATGATCACTGGGCAAATTCATAGCAGGCTCGTATGTACAGTATACCACCGTCTATTATGCCAGTATATTATGTGGTTTTGAAAGACTGATGGCGTTTTTGAGGACGTTCGGGGGAAGGGGCGCGGAGACGCTTTGTAGTAGCTCGGCCCGGAACCACTAGTAACAGGTCGTCAGAATCAAACCAGTACTGAAATTTAGAGTATGGGTATTCCAGACTTACCGGTATCCACTACACTTGTCACGGTCGGGTACCTGTGAATCCCTCTAGCGAGTGGCGTACCCTCAGCTGGGATCACACCAAAGTTGCTATTCCTCGCTCGCACAGCTTTGAGCTTCTCCTGGATGTCGTTGATAACCTCTTGAAACTCGTCTAGCTCTGGAGAGAGCTCGAGCACGGCACCTTCCGACCTCAACGTGCAGGCGACACCGTGGAGAGTTGGCAATATGTGCTTGATGTCGTGGCGTATTTGCTGACGGACCTGGTGGGTTACCGCTTGACGGCTGACGTTGATGCTCGCGACCGTGACCGGTGCCGCCTGCGCAAGACAGGAGATCAGTAACATGAGCTCGTGCATGCGATGCCACCACTGGTAGCCCACATTTGTATTTTCTGTGACTTGAAGGCCACTGCACACTGCCGAATCCGGTGGGGGTGTCGCTTGACTAGTATCATCTAATGTCCTGGTAACTGGTCGGAGTGATGCACGGTACGCAGTAAGTCCGTAGCTCTTACTACTCCGAATGGATATCAATGTGATCGACGTACCGTTCGAAGCCCCTGGCTTGCCGCAGCCGAGCGTGACGGTCATCGAGTTGGTCCCCACATCGGTGCTGGTGTCGATCTCCGCAACCTCGAGCAGCTGCAGTGCGTTCTCCAACGATCCTGTGCTGTCGGCCATCGAGTATGGAGGAAGGATGGTGCTACTAGTACTAGCCTGTGCACATGGGAGGTCCACAGCGTCCGAGTCTGACAACACAGCACCCCGTACAGCTGTGATGCTGTTCTGGTAGCGTGAGCCATACCAGAGCTGGTTTTGTTTCTCGATTTGCATGGCGGCCTCTTGGGAGGTTGGCGATGGAAAGTCCGCCACGATAAAGCCAGCTTTAGCCCAGGAGCTGATAGTCAGGCGAAACGCGCGGAGGTGCTTGCATGCTCCACCGCGAGTAAGCCAGTCCAGACACGTGCATGTCGCAGACCCGGAGGGATGAAAGGTCAGCTTGTAGCGGGAAGATGGAGCACCGGGAGCTTGGACAGCCAGGGATGATGAGGCGCACTGGGCCCAGAGTTCATGAGGGACATCAGCGTGGATGGGCTGAAGGAGACCGCGGTGAAGAATAGCCTCTGCCTCCAGATCTCGGCGTGCATCCGGCTGAAAGAAGAACCATGGGCGGGCAGTTGCCGGAGTTGTGGTATAAGTGCTGCTGGGCCTGGCGGAGGGTCGGGTCGGCGTCACTTGTAGGTCCATTCCACCCGCGGCAGCCCAGAACCGCTGGACCTTCCACCTTCTGTAGCCAAGTAGCATTCGATGGCGGGCATAGACGCGGGGGAGTATGTTGACACAGAGATGGAAGATGAGGATGTCGAAGCGTAAACGGGTGCCAGAGTGCTGCAACTGGGGGAGATGGTTTCGTTTGAGGCTCCCGTTGAATGCCTCAAGATGGTTCGTTGTCGGAAGGACTTCGTCCACTGATATTCCCATCCGCTTCGCCGCGTTCTCTCGACCCCTCCGTGACCACCCTGTCCACATCGGTACGGGCATCCACTGTGAGCGCAGGTATTCGAGGTATGACAAGCCTGCCTGGCTGGCCTTGCCCCCCGCTGCGTCAGCAGTCGCTATTGCATGCAAGGTCTCCTCTTCATCGGCGAGCAGTGTGACCGCAACTTCATGGGCAACAGTCTGCAGGAGGCTAAGAAAACTAAGATGAGACTGACTCAAGGGCGCTGGGAAAATTCAAGAATATCTTACGCTTCTTCGAGAGTTTGTGCACGACTTTCGAGGTACGATCGCCAGTGGGGGGCTTGCTTGTTGTACAGCGAATTGCGCTTGTTCTTCCAACATTGTCGGACGTGAAACTTGCACAGGAGGAGTATTATGTTTGGCCAGAGGTTCAGCAGGGCGCCGCGCTCCTTCTGGTCGGTGTCTGTCATTGCTACAAAGGGTTCGAATGGGATGTTCGCCTCGTCCGGGCTTTTACCCATCCAATCTCTCCAGCTTCCGAGGATCTCAGTGAGTATCTCGGTGTCATAGCCAGCATGTGTCGCACGGTTCCCGGATGGAGCGGAGAACAGAAACATGGCGACAGGTACTCCGTGATGAGCCTCGTCGACCCCCATAGCTATCCAGAGGAGAAGTTTTGAGGTGCAAACCCCAAATGTGCCGTCCAAAACGAGCTGCTTCTGGTGACAATACTTCCAGGCCGCGGTGCGCATCTCGGGTGTGGCGATGCAGACCTTGAAGCGTTCCTCATTCTCGGCTCTTGCTGCGTAGTGGAATATGGAGTCTGCGATGTCACGTTTGTAGTGTGGGCTTGTTGGGTCTAACCAGTTGTCGACGTTGTATTCAGGAGGGATGGATACGTCGATGTTGTAGTCTGCACGATAGTGTTGTCGGTAGAGCCGACTGAAGTCGCTCGTCTGGAGCTCGTAGCGCATGTTCTGTTGCATGGGGTCGACATCGCGCTGGCCACGATATAGTTGTCGGGAGAACATCTCCATGTTCCTGTTGCGGATCTGGGCGACACTGTATGGCACATCCGACGGTTGAGGGACACAATAAATATATATATATATATAGTAGTATAGCACGCACTCTGCACCTCCGCGCAACTGCAGCAACGCAATCTCCACGACGTGGGGCGCAAGCGGTACGGCAGGGAATCGAACAAGCATGGACTCCTTGCACATATCGTTGTGCCCAAAATACCCTATGACGCGGATGACTTCGCCTGTTTCTTCAACGAAGGTGACCTCGGCATGCGCGAGGCAAGCGGTGTACTCGTATGGTGCCCGTCGAGTCCACTCCGTCGAGTCTGGTTGATCTGCTGCAGGCGCGGTCTTCTTTGCCTTGCCCTTTTGGCGGGCTTGCGTGTCATACCCGCAGACACTTGCAACACAAGGGGTTGTGCATATATTGAGCTGCACATTCAAAAGCGACGTTGATATAAAAATGTAACTACCATTGATACAGAACCCGGCGCGCGTGGTTGCGTGTTCCCTTACGATACCACCTGTCCCCCCATGCTATACTCCATCGGCTCTCCAGTTGATCGAGAGACGCTTGGTCGAGCTTCTCTCGTGCAAGGAGCTCCAGGCCCTGCTTCTGGGACGTTGCTGAATACGAAGCCTTAAAGATGCTGCCCTCAGCGTGGAGATGTTCGATTTGACGGCGCTGGGGATCACTGCAATAAAGCTGCTTGAGGTTGCACTGGAATGGGATGTAAGCGCAGACAGAGAAACGACAAAAATGCGACTCACAGTAACATCAAGTCGACGAACGTCCCATCCTATACCCTCACCACTTTGAGGGACGACGGCAGGAGGCTCGGCTTGACCATGCGCCAGGGGAGGATCCGGGGACTCGCAGAGGTGTAGTCCCTTGGGCATCACAACACCAGGAAGTGGGAGGGAAAACCTGTTGAGGTAGGTCGGGAGTGAAGGCGAGGCTGAGGGCGAGGATGAGAGCGCGGGCAAGGGCAAGGGCAAGGGCAAGGGCAAGGGCGAGGGCAAGGGCGAGGGCGAGGGCGAGGGCGAGGGCGAGGGCGAGGGCGAGGGCGAGGGCGAGACAGAGACAGAGATACCAGTAGCGAAACGAGGGATACCGAGGCCCAGGGTGAAGGCGGAAAAAGCGAGGAAGGAACGACAAGGAGTGAGCGGGTAGGGACAGCAGCAAGAGTCGCTGGGGCCAGTAGGGACTTGCGCGTAAATCTGGGCGTGCCAATGACCCTGGGGCAGGCCCGAGGTGGACACAGAGAATTCTGCCGCCAGGTGCAGTGTCGTACGTTGTGTGTGCAGCGTGCAGCGTGCGGGAGCTGAAACAGTCAGGTTGGCACAGAATCATCCACAAGAGAAGGAGGACATACCACGCCGCGAGCATCTCTTGGGCTTCGAGCGCTCCCCGCAGCCCCATGAATGGTGCGTGTTCAGCAATACGAGTATTCAGAGATGTCGAATGGGACCGTTGCGACGTGGCCTTGCCTGGAGGCATACAACCACCGTTTGCGGCGTTGCTCATCCGCCCGGCGAAGTTGTGGGGATGTATCAAACGGCAAATATGTGTCTGAAAGAAACTGGTCAGCGTGGAACTGGGGAGCGGAATCAGACATAAATTCTGACAGTGTCAGTCCGGGTTTAACAACACCCATCATCTGAGCGGATTGGGCGCATTTACGCAAAGTGGAACGGGGTGAGGACATACCAAAATGGCTGTTGTCTGCCTGGTCTGTGCAGACGGGGCACGAGGGGCCGCGTTGCGCATGGAGAGCGACGAATGATACGCCGCTCGAGCAGCATTGTCGAGCTCGAGCATCCTACTTTTGTCGTCGACGAGGCGCACCGCATGGGCGCGCAGAAGCGTGAGGGGGCAGAAATGATGTGACGGAGTCGTGTACGCTCCTTCTGCGGATCCCCGCTCTCCCAGGAGAGCGGTGCGGAGCGTGGGTGATGTTCCGGAATTCCAGGTAAGGGGTTATCGTTGACAGCAGCTGTTATTTAGGTATATGTCGGGGGACAGGCGGCGGCGACAGGTAGAGAGCTGGAGTAGTACGAGATAGGCAAATGGGGCGGGAAGAAGCAGAAGGGCGCTGGCAGGGCGCGTTCCCACGACCATTCGACCAGAACGCGCCGATCCCCCCTGTCAGACGCTCTCTTCCGTCCGCTTTCAGGCGTCCTTGACAGCTTCTCCCCCTCCATCAGTGACGCCATTATCTGAGACGGCCGACCAGCCCTGTGCAGTGTGCAGCACCGTCGAGCTCACTTCCCCCACCACCATGCCGCTTCTTGACACCCTCTCTCCAGACATTCTCGCTCGCATCTGCTCGTTCTGCAGTGGTGAGAAGGGCGGGCTGCTCTCCCTGGCAACGACATGCCGCGCCTTATCTGCAATCGCGCTCCAGACCCTTTGGCACACACTGATATCTCCTTCCCCTCTATTCCTGACATTGCCGGAACACTTGGTCGTGCGTCGCGAGAGAGAGACTGTTAATGCTTGGCATACCGAGACATGGATCCTGGTACGTGCTCACTCCTGCCTTACGACTCGCTCATATTCACATCAGCACGGGCATACTCATAAGCATCCCGCTCGCTCGAGCTTCTTTCACTCCGACCTCGAGCGGTTCTACTACTACGCTTCACTCGTCCAGTCGCCCCAGATGCCTGAGCTCTCATCCGCCAAACACTGTGACTTCGTAGTCTCATCAGAGATATGGAGTCTCTTCAGAGACGCAGATTCAAAACCTATATTTCCCAACCTTCGCCATGTAACCCTCAGCGAGGATTGGCGCATTTATGTTCAAGATCCCATTCCTATCCGCCCCTTTCTCAGCCCGAGTGTACAATATCTCTCTATCATTCTCCACCATTATCGGCAACAGGTGCCGGACGGCGTAGAGACGGGCTCCTCCGCCGCAGTTCTCGAATTCAAAGACCTGCTCACCAATCTCCCGCTCATCTGTCCTGATTTGCGCAAGTTGAATATCAAGACTCCCCCCTCCTTATATTTTCAGGATGCCGTTTTACATACCGTGCAAGGACTTTCGAGCCTCACAATCTTTCGATCGGACGGTATTCCCCTCTCCCCGATGGGTGTTGCAGCGCTATCCTCTCTCCCAAACCTGACCATCGCCAAAATATCTCTGCGAGCTGCAGACTACACAGCTCCTCGCACGACACAAACCCCGCCTTCTACCGTCTCCTTCCCCACTCTCCGAGAACTTGAAATTACAGCGGACTCCGCTGCATGTGTGGTGGCGCTGCTCGGTTGGTCTGCTGTTGACCCCCCACGACTGACTCAACTTTCGGTCCGGGCCACCCTTACACACGAGAACATCCCGGCCCAATTCCTTTCTATCACGACCGCTATATCCCTAATGCGCTGCCGCTACACGCTGGAACAGATCATTCTCTCCACGCACATCCCCTGGATCCGTGGTAACGATCCTGAGGTCGACGATCTCCCCCCTTCCACCGTCGCGCCTCTCTGCGACCTCCCTCGTCTCACTTGTTTTCGCATAGTAGGGTACTGCAACATCGCGTTTGACGACGCTGCCCTTGCTAAGATGGCGCGCGCCTGGCCCCGCCTGACCGTCCTCTCCATATGCCAAGAGTCCCTCCAGTCGGAGACGGACGGGGTGACTCTGGCTGCTCTGCTCGACCTCGTGCAGCACTGCCCCGCGCTCGAGGAGCTGGACATTGCTCTCGCGTCCATAAAGCGTGGCGACTGCGAGGATGTCCTCGCGCGGCCTCTCTTTACCAGGGCCAAATGGGACGGGGACACGCTCGGACTGCGGGAGGTCTGCCGTCTCTCTTCTATCGGTATCGGCGCGCCCGCACTGGGTGCGGAGGAGGTCGTGGCCGTGGCTGCGGCGCTCAATGCAATCTTTCCCCATCTGACTGACGTGTTTTCTGACGAGCGTGGCATGACGCGCTCCAGATGGTGCGGGATTGAGAACGTATTGGCCGTGTTTCGCAAGGTGCGGGAGCAGGAGCGGAAATACGCCCAAGAGAGTGCTCGTTCGGTACGCAATTCGCATCAGGTGTGATGCATACATATACGCCTCCGAGATGACTCTGTAGTTGCCCAGTATCATCTAGCTATTATGCTCACTCGTGTAATGGTGAAAATGGATACATGATATCGCGGAGGTGCTAAACGGTAACACCCATTGTCTGGCTCGCCGGCGGAGGCACGTCCAAACCCAATAGTGATACCGCATCTGCTGCTGGCATAACAGCCGGAACCACGGTCTCCTCTACCTCGCCGTCGACCGTCGCGACTGGCGCGGCAGTGCGAAGCGCCGCGACGTCCTCGAGCGGGTGCGGGGGCGCGCGCTGCCCCACACGCTTCTCGATCGCGTTCACAATCTCAGCCCACTCCTGCTCGCCTGTCCATGGCGCGACGACGGTGTCGAGGTCGGCGTAGCCCTTCGCGCGCACGATCGCCTCGCGCAGCGTCTTGAGGTCGTTCCGCGACGAGCTCTCGTGGATTCCGCGGAACTGGGTCGAGCAGAACTTGGTCGAGGACCAGTGATTATTCAGGAACTTGCCCTGCACGCGGAGTCAGTGGACGGTCGAGTCAGTGGACGGTCGGAGGAGAGTGGGGCGCTCGCGCGTACCAAGCGGATGTAGGCGGGGACGAAGGTCGTCTCGAGGTCCTTCAGAGGTGTTGGCGAGAAACATGTGGGGTTCTGCTCCGCCGCCGTCGCGATCATTGCGGAATGTGCCCCTACAAACATAGCGTCAGTACATACACAGGTAACAGGGTAAGACGAAAGTGACGCACCTGTTATTTGCCGCACACGCTTCGAGTCCTCGTACCCCAGGCAGTCGCCGTTCTCGATGACGGCGACGCCCTTGTCCATGCGCTCCACGAACTGCACGATCTCGCGGAGCCGCTCAATCGTCGCCTTCTCCTTCATCCGCTGGTTCCGCGTCCGACAGTGCACCGTGAGCGCCGTGACCCCGGTGTTAATGATGCGCTCCACGAGCTTGAGCGTGTCCTCCTGCGAGGGCAGCAGCCGGATCTTAGCGGATATTGTGATTTCTGGGGGTACGGCTTCGCGGAGGGCGGTGAGGATAGAGCAGAGAAGGTCCGGGTTCGTGAGCAGCGCGGCGCCCATGCCGGAGTGCGTGGAGAAGGGCTTCGGGCAGCCGCAGTTGAGGTCAAAGCCGGAGACGTCGTTCATGACCATCTTCGCGGCCTCGACGGCGAGCGCGGGGTCGGCGGAGCCGATTTGGTAGATGAGGAAGGGCTTTTCGATGGGGTGGGTGGTGAAGACGGGTTTTGACTTGCCATGGTACGAGATCACGCCGGTGACGGCTAGAGGAGTGCTCGGTAAGAATGCGAGGGCGTATGGAGTGCGACGTACGATCAACCACGCGCGTGGTGTGCAGTATGGCCTTGTCAACGGTCTCGGGTCCCCAGACGAGCTTCGCTCCATGTTTGAGGGAGTAGAGACGAGTTAGCACTACAAGGCCAGTCAGTATCAGACCGCGGCGGCAGTTCCAGGTGCGTCCTCACATGCGCCTGACCTGACCATCGGAGCAAGCATCAATCCATTTTTGTAGTCCTCAGCGGTCAGAGGAGGATATTCCAGCCTCGGCTTCTTGGCTATCCGAGGAGAGGATTCCGGAGTGGGAGGTTGGGAGCGGCGGGACATTATGGTCGTGAATGATCTTGACAGCGAGCTAGCTCGAGGTGTTCGCAGTAAGTAAGCGATGATCATATGCAGCTCAGAGAGCCAAGTATTTAGCCAATCTAGAGGACGGTAGAGGCAGAGCCGAGCGAGAAACGGAGCCCGGAGTGAGTGAGATGGGAGAGCGAGGGAGAGTCGAGTCCGAGAAAAGCGGGCAAGTTTCGCGACATAAGCGCCAGGGCCACTTTACGAGTCTCCGGATCCGGCAGAGCCGTGCCGCCGTCGACTTGCTGTGCCCAATGGCCAAGGACACCTAGACAATCTCAGGACGCATGCGGGCGCAAGCGTAACAACGCAAGAGGACAACTTCATAGTACATGTACATGGTGTGTTTAAGACGTATGATACCGGGTTTGCCCTAGAGCATACTTCCGCTCCTGCTCCCGCACCTTGCGAAACATGGCAAGTCGCTTCTCCATCCCCCACCATATGGAGCGCACTGGGCCGACCCCATCATGAATGATGCCAGTTAGGTGAGGAAAGATGGCGTTCAGCGCCGCAGCTACAGCCGCGACATCCTCCCTTTCCAGCCAGGGTGCGCCGATACCGATGGTGCAGAGACGGCATTCCTGCAGCGGTCCGAGGATGTGGCCATCCCGCTCGGCCCTGGTGTGGAGAGGCCGCGCGATGACCTCTTCGCAGTCGCCGCGCTTGATGGGTGCGAGCGCGACGTCGAGTTCCGTAAGCGCGGGGCGCTGCTCTACGAGGTCGCGCAGAGCAGCCAGAGTGACCCCGTCCGTCTCCGACCGGAGGTGCTCTTGGCATATGGAGAGGATGGTCAGGCGGGGCCAGGCGTGTGCCATCTTAGCGAGGGCAGCGTCGTCAAACGCGACGTGGCACTACCCTTTTATGCGAAGACAGGTGAGTTGAGAGAGGTTGTAGAGAGGCGCGACGGTGGAAGGGGGGAGATCGTCAACCCAGGGGTTGTGACCATTGACCCACGGGATGTCCGTGAAAAGAGCGATCTGTTCCAGCGTGTAGCGGCAACGCGTTGTGGATATAGCAGTCGTGATAGTTAGAAATTGTGCCGGGGTGTCCTTGGGCGTAAGGGTGGCCTGGACCCAAAGGTGAGTTAGTTTTGGAGGGTCTACGATAGACCAACCGAGCAGCGCCGCCACACATTCGGCGGTGTCCGCTTCGATGTCAAGTTCTCGGAGAGTGGGGAAGGAGACGGTAGAAGGCGGGGTTTGTGCCATGAGCTGAGCTGTGTAGTCTGCAGCTCGCAGAGATATTTTGGCGATGGTCAGGTTTGGCAGAGAGGATAGCGCTGCAACACCCATCGGGGGGAGGGGAATACCGTCCGATTGAAAGGATGTGAGGCTCGATAGTCCTTGCACGGTTTGCAAAACGGCTTCCTGAAAATATAAGGAGAGGGGAGTCTTGATATTCAACTTGCGCAAATCAGGACAGATGAGCGGGAGATTGGTGAGCAGGTCTTTGAATTCGAGAACTGCGGCGGAGGATCCCGTCTCTACGCCGTCCGGCACCTGTTGCCGGTAATGGTGGAGACGGATAGAGAGATATTGTACACTCGGGCTGAGAAAGGGGCGGATAGGAATGGGATCTTGAATGTAAATGTGCCAACCCTCCCTAAGGGTTACGTGGCGAAGGTTGGGACATATAGGTTTGGAATCTGCGTCTCTGAGGAGAGTCCATATCTCTGATGAGACTACAAAGTCACAGAGGTTGGCAGACGGGTAATCAGGCATCTGGAGCGACTGGACGAGTGAAGCGTAGTAGTAGAACCGCTCGAGGTCGGAGTGAAAGAAGCTCGAGCGAGCGGGATGCTTATGAGTATGCCCGTGCTGATGTGAATATGAGCGAGTCGTAAGGCAGGAGTGAGCACGTACCAGAATCCATGTCTCGGTATGCCAAGCATTAACAGTCTCTCTCTCGCGACGCACGACCAAGTGTTCCGGCAATGTCAGGAATAGAGGGGAAGGAGATATCAGTGTGTGCCAAAGGGTCTGGAGCGCGATTGCAGATAATGTGCGGCATGTCGTTGCCAGGGAGAGCAGCCCGCCCTTCTCACCACTGCAGAACAAGCAGATGCGAGCGAGAATATCTGGAGAGAGGGTGTCAAGAAGCCGCATGGTGGTAGGGGAAGTGAGTCGGAGTGTAGGATCATGATGAGCTTGACGGTCCTGCACAGGACCACAGGCGCCAACTCCACGATCTCAGATCTCAGATCCTACCGGGCCGTCCGCACGGCAGCAAGCGTGCCTGCTCAAGCGCTCAACGCTCAGGCTTGTTCCTCCTCCCACCATCTCCTGGGATGCGGAACGTATCGGCATGGCTAGTCTGGTAAAATCCAGCATTATTCACGCTGTTGGGTGCTTACTGAGCTATCCTCGCGGATCCGTTGAAACGGCCATAAGGTTTGCGCGGCTCGCCCATAGTGCATGAACGATGGACGCCCTCCGACTCCTCGGAGCCGGAGTCGTCGATAGGCGTCCTGGTCGAGTTTATTGGCGGTCCTTTCGCGCGCGGCTCTATGGGACCGTATCGAGCTGTTCATACTGGTAAGCTCTTCTCGAGATGAAATTAGTAGTTGGAATTCACCAGTATCCCCAACATCCACAGCGACAATACTACGGGTACGAGTGCCAGATGCAACGTACATGCACGACCTGCTTAGGGGCCGCGCAATGGCTGCTGCGACCCACAATTTCGAGGTATACAGTTATGCTGCTGGCAGCGCCACAGCGCAGCGGTCTGCTCCCGTTTATCGGACAAACCATCACGGATGTTTGGTATAAAAAGGACGCCAGGTTTTCCCTTCTCCACTCCGGAGACTTTGCGACGCGCAACTTGCACTCCGTCCGCACTCTTCTTACGGACACAAACTTCGAGCCAGGCCGCCTGACGGATGTGGTGCTACGCCCCTTTCCTCGTTGTCATCGCCATCGCCATCGCCCTCGGGACACTCTTCATATTTAGAGTATGCCGCCTAATTATCACCGGGCCAAGGCTGAGGAATATTCGTGGCCCTGCTTCCCCGTGTTTCGCACTAGGTGAGTTGCATCAATTATCAGCGTAACACCAGCTTAACAAGACTTTCACAAGGTCATCAAAGGATGGTCCAGTCACAATCTCAGGTGGGACTGCTGGAGAAGCAGTGGCTACAGGAGTTCGGCGCCGTATGGAAACTAAAGGGTTGTTTCGGGGTGAGCTAGTCTCCCCGCATCTATCCTAGCGCATGCGAACATTCAAATTGAAATACTCACATCAGGAGGATCAACTGGTCATCGCAGACCCCAAGGCGAGCACATCCAGCAGTCGTCTCTCGAGCTTGATCTCTAACGCATGCATCATAGGCGCTACAGTACATACACCATAAGTCTGGATATCACTTCCCTAAGGCTGTTTTCATGCAGCAGATCTCCCGCGAGATCAACGGAGACGGAATTCTGACCGCCACCGGTACGTTGAACTGCGGTGTGGTGGCGGGAAGCTAGTTACATATCATCGACGGCAGGCCACGACCACGCACGAATCCGTAAGATCATGAACCCAGCGTTCAGTGCGGGTCAACTTCGTTCCTTTCTCCCACTCTTCCAATGTGCCGCCCAGGATGTAAGTGTGTGCACAGTAACTCTAGATAAGCTGCGCCTGATGGAAGGCGCGACGCAGCTCAGCGACAAGTGGAACAGCCTCCTGCAGATGCGCCCTAAGGGAGGGCAGAGACTGGACGTGCACCAATGGATCTCTCGCTGTTCGTTGAATATAATAGGGAAAGGTGAGTTGTGTCACCGCCCACGGACGTTGAATCGCGGTAGGCTGACTAACAGTCCTTACCGTAGCTGCTTTTGATATAGATCCCGGGACTTTGGCCCATGAGTCGCTCCATGCAGTCGCACAAGACTTCAAGGATATGTTGTACGTGTTCTCACCGTTCGCTAAGCGCAGACCGTGGTCTCTTGCTCATCCTGGGCTGCTGCAGTACGAAGTCTATCCCTAACCCATCAGTATTCGTACTACTGTTAGGCTGGGTTTGTCGCTACCTCCCGGTGCCATTGCTGCGCCTCATGAGGCACTTGCCTATGAGGCGGTACATTCACTTTCGCCGATCGCTGGACACCCTCAATGAATACTCGCAGAAGTTGATCGAAGAGAAGAGCGCCGCATTACTCCACGGGACAGAGGATAACAAGCGTGATGTTATGAACATCCTCGGTGGGTCACGTCTTTCCCTCTTCTCCGGAGTCGCCCGTAACCTGATCAATTTGTGGTCGTTACAGTGAGAGCTAATGCATCTGAAAATCCCAGCGGCCGTCTGAGCGATCCAGAGATGATCTCCATGATGGTCACCTTACTACTTGCCGGTAGGTTTACAATACGTCTCCTTTGAAGTCCCAGCTGCATTCGAGGCTCATTAGAAGTCAGGAAATGACACCACCACATTGGCGCTCTCGTGGTTGCTCTACGAACTTGCAAAGTGTCCTGAGTATCAGGAGAAGATGCGTGCGGAAATCAAAGCAGCTCGCGCCCTCATTATCGAACGCGGAGAAAGCGCCTTCTCTATGAGCGACCTAGACGCGATGTCATTCGTGGGGGCGGCGATCAAGGAGGGCCTCCGCCTGAACCCCGCCATATATGCACTGCTCCGCGTCACCTCCAGAGACGAAGTTATACCACTCGCGTACCCTATCGTTACGATTTCGGGCGCGGCTACGCATGAGGTCTACGTTCCGAAGGGTACCGAGCTTATGATTTCTATCCAAGCGTATAATCGGTGAGTTCGCCGCTGATAGTGTACTGCCAAGACTTGTGACCTTGTCTTCCGTGCCCAGACTGCCGCAAGTGTGGGGAACCGACGCGGACACGTTCAACCCTCACAGGTTCCTCGAGCGCGGAAAGACGGACGAGACATTCGTCGGGATGACGTCCAACCTTATGACGTTCAGCGCCGGTCTGCAAGGGTGCATAGGGTGAGTTCGTGACGGCGCGCTTCACGCGTTCGCTGACACAGTTCCCGTCACGTTCTACAGCTGGAGATTCGCGTACGTTCCTTCAGCTCGTGTCCCGCGCATGGATGGACGCAAATTGCTCATATATGGCTTCACAGCATCATCGTAATGCAAGCAATGCTGGTCGAGCTGGTCGAAAACTTCAGGTTCACGCTTCTCGACGATCAGCCGGAGATCGTACACCTTCCCGCTGGGTTCCGGGTGCCTATCGTCGAGGGAGAGCGCGAACGCGGGGCTCAAATGCCTCTCTACGTCTGCCCAGTCGAAGATTGATGGAGGGCACCAGTGCGGCGCACACGGTAGCCTCAGTACTACTGTACGACTGCCTCCAGCCCATCTATGCACTGGACTTGTTACTCATGAAGCTTCGAAGCCTTCTCGTTCGTGATCGGACTGTACTTACTTTCATGCAGCCTTTGTATCACACGACCAGCAAGCGCGAAAGGTACAAATGCGATTTCGAAAGCTACTGTTAATACAACATGCGTGAAATCCAAAGGGTAACGTGTCGTGCAGGGGAATAACAGTTCGTGAACAGCTCGTCAACGCGGACGTCGACGCCGCCCTGGGCCTCATACGCTCTCCTCGTCCTTCTCCTTCACCTCGCGCACCTCCGTCGTCGTGTCGCCCTTGTCGTGTATGTGCTTCTCGCTCGGACGCCAGCTCGGCGAGTTCCACGGCTTCACGCCCGAGCGGTACATCTCGTCGACCTCCTCCAGGCTGAGGCCCTTCGTCTCAGGGATGAACAGATAGACGTAGACGTAGCCGAAGACGAGCATGCCGAAGAAGATGAGCAGGATGAGCGGCCCGATCTTCTCCGCGATGCGCGGCGCGAAGAAGCTGAGCAGGAAGTTCCACAGCCAGTCTGTGCAGAGGCGCGGCGTAAGCGTTCCGCCCACATCATCGCCGTGCACACGGATGGAGAAGACTTACTGGTCGCGCTGCCGAGGGCGATCGCTTTCGGGCGGACGCGCAGCGGGAAGCTCTCGCCGAGGTACACCCACGGCGTGGGCCCCCAGAAGACGGAGAACGAGAAGACGTGCAGGACGGCGAAGGCGATGAGCGTGTCGCCGCCCTGCTTGTTGCGCGCCGTGAGCTGGTCGGCAGGTGTGCCCGCCGGCGCGAGCAGGAAGTGGCCGACGAGACCGGCGATGAGCGCGCAGACGCCCTCCATGATCGAGCCGGTGAGAAGAGACTAGGGGAAGGGCGTTAGTGGAAGTCTAAGGGTATGATAGCTTCAAAGGAGCTCACGTTTCGACGTCCCCAGGCCTCGATAAGGTACAACGCGGGAACCGTGCCGACGACTGAGATTCCGCCAAGGATCGCTTGGATAGAGTAGGGGTCGAGGCTAGTACGAGATGGTTAAGAAAGAATGGACGCGGGCACATGATTTTATAACTTACTTCGTGCCTGCGCTCTTGAAGAACGTGTCGCCGTAGTAGTCTGGGGACCGGGCTCGTCAGATCTAGGTTCAGCCAACGTGTAAGGGAGCGCATACAGTAGAAGTTCTGGCCGTTCAGCTGCTGAATGAACTGCAACATCATGCCGTTGATCGTACGCTTCCACAGCTGGTTGCGCGTCGAGAAGCACTCAAGCCAGGTCGCCTTGCCGCCGTCGTTCTCCGCGCGGATGCCGAATTCGAGCTCCTCGATGGTCTCGATTACGACTGGGTCGTCCACAGGTAGGCTGTTAAGCTCCGCCACGACGCGGCGAGCTTCGTCTGCCCTGCCCGTACCGAGAAGATGACGGCTGATGAACGTATGAGGTTAGGCATAAACAGGAGACGCGAACTCGAGTGAGGACGTACGGAGACTCGGGCAGGAAGAAGATACCCGACAAGAGGATGAAGCCCCAGAGCATCTGGAGTCCGACGGGGATTCTCCAGGAAGCGGGGCCGTTGATGGTGTGGGTCCCAAGGTCGATGATGTAGCTCAGGAAGATGCTGGTCGGCGAGGTGAGCGGCGTATACATCAGCGATCTCACACGGATGCTTACCCCATGATAATTTGCAGCTGGTACAAGACGAGCAGCATTCCACGCATCGCTTTTGGCGCGGTCTCTCCGTTATAGAGAGGAACGATAGCTAAAATAGGAAGATCGTTGGTACTCGCCGTGACACAGCTAGGGACGTCGACGTACCTGACAGTGCTCCCACTCCGAGACCCGCAATGAAGCGGCCAACGGTGATTTGTACAATCGAGCGGATGGTCGCGGTCTGGATGGCGGTGCCGATGGTGAAGATGCCAGACCAGATGAGGATGGAACCGCGACGACCGAAGCGGTCGGAGGTGAAGGCCTGGGCGATCGCACCGACAAACGTGCTGGATTGTATATCGGGTGAGTTCAAGCGGACAGATACAAGGCTAGAGAACGCACCCCGCTGAGAGGAGAGACGTGATTATGGACTGTCGCGAGCTTGATAGTACTGCGACGCCGTCAGACCCGACCTCTCCGAACCGCCCAACGAAGTCGGGCATGATAAGACATCCCTGAAGGACATTGCATGAGCGCGAGGGACTCCATAGACAGACGAGACACGTACTGAGATGACTCCAATGTCGTATCCGAAGAGGAACCCGCCGAACGCGATGAAGGTAGCCAAAAGGATGGCCTTGTGATTTGTCGGAATCCCCATCGTCGCGGGCGGACGGCGGCGTGTGCGGTGCGTAGAGCGAGGGAAGCAGGGGCTCACGGGGCCCACCCTCGAGAAGCACCTCCATCTTATAGTACGCCCGCACGCGCGCCCGCCTTTGTCCCCCCGATTCCGCGGGAAAAGGTTCTCGTCGGCTGGTCAGGGCGCGCAGCGCGAAGCTGGCGCGGACCGCAAGGGCAGCATGGCGGTCCGGGCGAGTGATGTTCGCACACAAGTTTGCGCGTGCGGTCGCGTCCGTGCGTGGTCCCGTGGACCCCCCGCGTTCGCCGTGGAATCAATCTTCCTGCTGCCGTTTCTCCACTGATGTCAGTCGCGCATGTGATCGGTCGTTTACCCCGCATGCGGGGCCCCAGCACCCCTCCCCGCCGGATCAACGTTTATGGCGCGAACGATCCCCGGTTCGCCATCGTCGTAGCGTGCTACGAGCTCGAGACGTCGGCCGCCCTGTACGACCTCAGACAACGGTGTAGAGTCCTGCTGAGTCCAAAGACAGCCTGGATGCGATGCCAGTCAGTCATGGGGTGTGCGCACATCGACTTCTCGTACCTGGACGTGATTAGCCTGGCGAACTCAATGGGCGGTGATCAGACCAACCCATCGGAGTCTTCGAGAGCCTGAAAGCGCTGATCGGTACCGGCGTGTGGACGGCAGGTCCTGGCCGAAAGACCATGCATGATGCATGCAGCGCGCGGTGGGCAGCGGTCCGTGGTTACCGCCGAGCACGCCAAAATATAAACGTCATAGTCAGGAACACGACATACGTATTAGCATCAAGTGACCGAATTGGGGAACCATACAGACCGGCCTCGTACGCACATTCGTTAACCTGTCGACTATGTGTGTCGTCGGGAACGTATTCTACTGAGTTGGCGCCAATGGCATCGTGCCGTAACGCCACAATCCCGAGCCTTCCGAAATGGCAAGTCGGCGGCTGGGCGGTGAAGTCCGAAGAGTTCAATGGCCTAAAGAGCTTGCTCGGCACTCGTTCGTTCGGTGCCCTCTCCGAGTATATACCGGATTGCACTTCCTTGGAGGATCCGCCCAAGCCCGACCTCGCCCTTACCCTGTCGACTGAGCGTCCATCGCTTCCACCGTCCAGCTGATCTGCGACAATGTGGATCAGACACGTCGGGGCCCTGCCCGGACGAGGGCTACTTCTTGAAGTACGCGTGCTCTCCGGTGTCGGTGTTGTGCAGATGCACGCGGATCCGGGTAGTGGTATTTTCTCACATGGTAGCCAAAGGCATCCAGAGTTTTCCCAGGTCCAGCCGCGATGGACTGGGGACGATCCCGCTGAAGATGAGGAACCAGAAGACGAAGTTGAAGGTATCAGACTGACCGTCTCGGGATCGCAGAGGAGACAGATAGCCTCCCATTTGGTTGCGCCGCTCGAGGTGCACACTTCCCTAAAGTCGTGTTTTATAGTGATCTCACAAAGGGTCTTCCGGATATCTTGCAGGCATACGCGTATCCATGACGGGACGCGCTAGCGGGGACTTAGTGACGACGGCTCCACAAAACACGATAACATGCGAGTGGAAGTACATACGACACTGATGTCGGGCAATCTGGTCCGACGGGGCGGAACCCTGTATGTCTGGATAGGGATCGTCCGTGCACGCTTGCGCCTGGGGAGCGGTTCCTCAAAATCTCTAGTGAGGTCGATGATTGTGCGCGTCGCCTTGGGAAATGTGCTAGGATGGGGTGCAGGCGGTGCGGTCTGACGTCTTGTCTCGTGCGGGAGCGGTAGAGCGTGCCCAACACGACCATCGCTGCGGCGCGGAGCGGCCTCTGTATCGGAGTCGGAGGAGATCTCGATAATTTCGTCGTGGCCACTCCCACGCAGGATCTCACGAATCCTTTTCGTGCGTTGCCGTAGTACGAGATCCGGCGAGAGAGATGTGCGAACATCTAGTAGTGAAAGCGGATCAGTCGCAAGGAGAGGGAGCTGTTTATAAAGGCCTACACGGTGCTTTGACCCCTTGCAGACGCGCAGAGAGGCGGGGCTGTGAGTTCTTGGGAAGACGGTTATGATATGTATATGCTTTTTCAGAGGTGTCCATTTTGGATGCAAAGAGTGTCAAGGGGAGCGTGAAGTACAGCTGTCACGGTGAGGCGAAAACGCGGACGCGTACCTCATTAAAGGACCGTAAACTGTACGAGCTACGGTTTTTATTAGTCTTGCCTTCGGATCTGATAGAGGACATCTCCATTTGCGGACGAAGGAGATGTCAACCATATGAGAACACGCGAACTTGACTCGAGGGTGGCGAGCGCCGACCGTGGAGTCCGTGGGTCCGGGGCGGACGGACCGCGGAGCGCGTTGTGCGGCTCGCGGGCGCCCTCTCAGTGCCGCGGCTCTCTTCTGTCGTGCACCATCTCGTCGTCCTCAGTCGACCTCAACCGCTAGCATTGACTCGGGCTCGCATCGCTATCTTGTCGCGCGATACATGATGGCGTAATCGACATCACACTCACATGAGATACCAACGGACATGAATCGGAACTCTTGCCTCTTGTCGCAACCGGACGTTGTCCACAGGATCTGCTCGCGCTGTGACCGAAGTACACTTCTATCACTCTCAACCACTTCTCGCGCCTTCTCTACGCCAGCCTTGCAGAAGCTATGGCGTTCGCTCGCGTCGTTTGCTCCTATCTTCCTCACTCTCCCCGAAGATGCGGTAAAATGCACAGAAACCTCCTTGACCTACCGACCATTCGTGCCCCCAGTGTTACTCGTAAGTCCACTCCCCCGGTATAGCGTCTATACAAAATTGAACCTGTCGCCCAGGAAGTGACTCGGGAGCTTACCTACGAGGACCTTGTCCGGTTTCGATTCTACGCACCACTAGTCCACGACGTTGCCGTCGCGTCCCTCCCTCGATACGAAATCGCTCTCAGTGCATGGGAGGCTCTTGAACACGCCAACCCCGGCCCACTCCCCAACTTGCGCCATGTAGGCATCTTTGTGGGCCTCCGGCCTGAAGAACATATCTTTCCGCCGTTCTATTTTCTTCTTGGGCACGAACTCCGGCATGCGCAACTATGCCTGAACCAGGTTTCTCTCGCGAGTGCTGCAGAGCCAGATCCTAACCTCAACAAGCTGCTTGCGTCTCTTCCGCAATCGTCCCCGCAGACTTCCTTGGTTACCCTAGAGGTCTATCCTCCTGCCCCATATGCACGCGATATTTTGACGCAAGCGGTCTGTGGGCTCTCGAACCTCGCCAACCTTTCTGTCATCGGTATCCCACTCGGCCCTAGCGCGCTTATGCACTTGTCCACGCTGCCCCGCCTTCACCACTTGAGGTTCCATGCCCAGTCTTCCGATTACCCAGAACACGTCCAGCTCCAACTACCGCCAAACTCAGAGCCATTCTCTTCGCTGGAGATCCTCACCATTGACGCAGATGGGGCTCGATGCGTGACCACGCTCCTGTCCTTCCTCCGCCCTTGGCAACTTGACTCGTTGGATATCAAGTTGTCCACGCTCCCCTCTCAGGCCGAGCTTACTGCCCTCTCCACGGCCATCGCCGCTCTGCCCTGCCGCGAGATCCTCGGCGAGCTTGTATACGATTTTCCTGGCGGATCCTACCAACCTCACACCACCGGTGCCGCCCTTCCCTGGAGCGCGTTCGTACCCCTGCATACAATCCCTCACATTGCTGCACTCCGTTTATACGGAGGCTGCTACACCGCGCCCGGCGACTCTGAGGTCGCAGCGATGGCCCGCGCATGGCCCCATCTCCGTGCCCTCTCTCTATGCGACCGGGTCGCAGACTCGGCGGGCATCTCCCTCACGGCGCTCCTCGACCTCGTGACACGCTGCGACTCTCTGCAGGAGCTCCACATCCCGCTCGCAGATATCAGACGTGCCGAGTGCGAGGATATCCTGAGCCGCCGGCCGCCCGCGCGCGAGCGCAACCCCGCGGGGCTCGGGCGGGTGATGCTGTGCAAGGTGTTCAGCCTGAATGTGGGCCGGGCGGCGATCGCGGAGGCGGACGTGCCCGCGGTCGCGGCGGTGCTGAGCATGATGTTCCCGGAGGTCGAGACGGTCTGGCACTCTTGGCGGCAGCCGATGTGGGGCGCGGAGGACGTGAACACGGACGCGGTGATGTACCACAGGTGGCAGAGCGTGTCGGCGGCTCTGCGTGCGTTCGTTAAGGTGCGGGATGAGGAGCAGGATGAGCTTATAAAGAGGCTACGCGCGGCGCGCGACGAGGGAGCAACGCAGTAATTATCATACGCACGATAGAGACTTCTAAGTACATACATTATGATCTGTTGCATTATAACGATAACCCGAGGTTAAAAAGTAATAGTAGATTCTTGCTGCACCAAAGCCCAGTTCAAGCGCATCCACAAGGATTTCCGACTAGCTGGTAAACGAGAACGATGAGGGGCGCGACAAGGGCGCGACTGGACCGGAATTTGAACCCGAGTTGGCGCCCATCACGTGCAGGGCGCGTCGCGCGTCGGCGTCAATGTCGGTGGCGCACGCCCGCCACAGTGCCGTTGTGGCGTTGATCTCACTCACTTCGAACCACAACGCAACTCGATCTCTGCGGTGCAAAGAGGACAGAGAGCGTCGAGTGCGCGGGAAAAGATTAACCGAGGCGTCGATATACGCCACCGTCGTGCTGGAGGATGGGGCGCCATCGGCGGAGGGTGTCCTCGGATCCGGTGTGAAAGCGGTCAGCCTCAAGTCTTCGGCGGGAACATTCGTGAGGCTGGCTGGTGCCACGGTCGGGGCTGGAAACAGGGAACAATAAGCTGAGATAACGCGCGGACTAGATCACAATGGCGGCGCACCGGAAACTCGCGGCGGAGTGTGAACTGGGGGGGACCACTATAAAGGCCCGGGCGCACGCCCCATGTTCGAATCGCCCCTTGTCCTCTCCCACATCTGTGCATCCCTCTCCCCATCTGCCGCCTCTTCCCGCATGTGGAGCGTCTCTCCGCCGCTACTTCTCCAAGATGCCCTCGCCCGACCGGTACGCCACCGAGCATCTCGCACTACCGGAGCTCGCCACACCGGCCGACGAGCCGAAGACCGTCCTCGACAACGGCGCCGTCGCGCAACACTGTTGAAGGACCATTATGACAACGGTTCGCCTCTTGTACGCACCTTATTTGATCGCCGCCGCCGCTCGCCACACCCCTTGGGCGCGACGCCACATCCTATCCGCGCCCAACCCTCACCCTCCCGCTATCCACGGCGGTGTTCCCTCAACGTCTCCGGCGGCGCAAACGCATGGAGAATGATCTCCGTCGAGGATCTTGTTGTCGTACGTGGTACCAGCTCGCTTCATCGTGCTGATCGCGCCCAAGGGCACCGTCGCCACGAAGATCCTATGCAACCAGAAGGGGCTATCAGCAAATACGACGAGGAGAAATAACAGGAACCAGACAAATTGGGACCGTCTCACCAACATCGGGGCATGCTCGATAGCGTGGCACTCGGGGTCAGTGGGCCATAACTCCCGTACTGTCAGTGCGCTGCTACTCCAGTACCGTCCGTGGGTTATGGCTCCTGTTCCACCAGCGAGCTGTAACTCCAGTACCGTCAGTGAGCAAGGGTGCCAGTGCAGTCAGTGGGCTAGGGCCTCCGTACCGTCAATGCCGAACCAAAACACAAATATTACGAAGACGATGGAGTCTCAATGGAATAAACAACACCGAGCATCCTATGGAAATATTGCGAACCTGGATGAGGCGCACATAATATGAACGCGCTTCACCATGCCAGTGGATCGCGGCGCGAGGGACCGCGCGGTTGTGAAGATGTTGGTTAATGCCGAGTGGGAGCAAATGACGCATACGGGCCGACCGCATTTGGACGCATGCCGCATAGCTACGCGTCAACGCGCATTGCGTTCAAGGACCATGTTGGGGAAATCTAGGCATCAAATGCTGTCAACAAACGGGACAGCGAACAAAGGAGCGACGCAATGAAGGGGCGACTTACCTCGCTACCAGTGGCCGACCTCCGAAGGTCAACATCGCGACATGGGCGAACGTCAATGGGGTGCTGCTCGTGCCGTCCAAACTCCACCTCGCGATAAAACATCTGTACAACAAAACCTGCAAGCCCGGAAGAAATCCGCGTCAAAGGCTACGAGCGGATGAAATCCAAGCACTACGCGGATCCAATAGGGCCGTTTTCAATCACAATGATTGAGGCGGCCACCTGCCGGAGGTTTGGGAGACAAATTTAAGCAAGTAAGTGTTATATTTGGAAGCCGTCGCGGAACCATCAAGGTACTCCGAATCCCCTACCCATACGTCGCAAACGGCGCGGCCGTGACAAGCTGGGAGGTCTGCGGACTGGTGGCATTGGTGCGCAACAACGTGGCTCTCGCAACGAGAATCGGACAGCGCAGCCGTACGCAAGTCGCCAATGGATAATTGGCCAACGCCACAGCCGTTCCCGCTGCGGGACCTGGTACGCGCTCATCGGATGCTAAGAAAAGTTGTAAACGGCCGTCAGCATATTGTTAAAAAGGAATGCAGGAGAAGAAACTATGATACAAGGAACTCAGACACCGGTCTACAATGGCTTGTCGAAGCGAGCCACTGCGGCGAACCACAAGACCGCTATATATCCTATAATGAAATAACAGCGACCGCCCCACAAAGACAAAGAAAATTTGATAAAGTTGGAAGATGATTCTTCAACGCAATCAACTATGAGGCTAACCCGCACCGGTGGCCGGCATTTGTGGGTAGCGTCAACGCATGCGTGCCTAAATATCGAGTTAAGAAACCGTATAATTTGAATGCGGTTGGTCATTTGAGAGGTGACATGAAGTAGTTAGGGCACGTACTAAACAGTTATATATCGACCATATACCGTAGCAGTGCCTTTCGTATGTTAGATGCGCCATCAGGATGTTACAATGGTGATCTAGGTCCCAGGAGAGTTGTTCCGCGCCAGCGCAACGCGAGGCCGCTAGGGAGACGGGACTATGTAGTACTGGTTTTACGAGGCGGGCGAAAGACATGTCGAGCGTCGCGAAAGCCACGTCTCGTATATGACAATAGGGGCTTTATCCTACTGCACCCGCCTCGGCGGGTATAGCCAGCGAGGTCCGAGTGAGAGAGACCCTTCGATGGTAGAGGTTTGAGAGAAAGAGCCCGCGAGCGCAGATGGGCACGACAGCGAGAATTGTTAGTACTAGATACTAGGATCGATACTGTGTAAGCAATCACTACTTATGTGTTTACAGGAAAGCTACCGGAAACCTATTTTTATCGTAAGAAGAGCTTTCGGAGTTTGATCATCATCATGCGACGGCCGGCATCATCGCCCCAGTAAGCGCCGACGCGACGTTCGCTTCGCGCCCATCCCGCACAGCACCGTACGAACGACCATCCTCTCGCACTCGACTCCTGCATCGACGAGTAGCTATGAACGACATTTCTCAAGATGCCGAGCCCCCATCCCTGTCTGAACTCTTGGCATCGTCGTCGAAGGATACACTGTCGTCGTCGTCGCTGACATCCCCCGACGCGTCCTCGTACATCTCCCGTCTCACCGCGCTGTCTCTGCAAGAACTCGAGGCCGAGCCGACCGAACTTGCTTCGTCCTCCGCGCAACTCACGAATGCGCTCACAACGCTCTGCTATACATCATACCCCACGTTCCTCTCCCTGCACGCCACAACATCTACGCTTTCCTCGTCGCTCGACGCGCTTTCAAACTCGCTCTCTTCATTGCTTTCTGCCCTCCCCACGCTCGAGTCGGGTGCGCGAACCTTCGCGCAGGAGTCGCGCGTGCTGCTCGCGTCGCGACGAAAAGCTGCGCTTGTTCTCGAGCACCACGACAAACTCCACGACGTCCTCTCTCTCCCCCTCCTCCTGGAAACCTCGGTGCGAAATCACAATTATGCGGATGCCCTCCTCCTGGCGCAGCATGCATCGACGCTGGCTTCGCGATTCCCTTCAAATCCCCTCGTCCAGTCAGTCAAGGCAGACTGCGACGCGCGGGTGCACTCCATGCTCGCGCAACTCCTCCGCATCCTGCACGAGCAAGCGAAGCTCCCCGCGCTCTTTCGCGCAGTAGGCTTCCTCCGGAAGATGGACGTCCTTACGGAGCAGGAGCTCGCGCTTGCCTTCCTGGCTGGGCGCAGTGCCTACTTGGACGGCACGCTTCGGGCGGTGGAGATCGAGAAGAAGGGGCTGGACGGCGAGGGGAGCGTAGAGCGAGAGCGCGACATCCACGCGCGATATCTCAAGCGGTACGTCGACGCCTGGCGGGAGGGCGTGCACGACGTTGTCACGCAGTATACCACCATATTCCTTGACCGCCCACACAGCTCGGAGCCTGCCCCACCCGAGCTGCACGTCCTGCTGACAACATTCACAACCGTTCGCGTGGGTGAACTGCTGGACCTCCTGCGAGAGACGCTCCCGCTCGTCGCGGACCCGTCGTTGCTCTCCTCGCTCCTCACTCAGCTCACGTATTGCGCGACCTCGTTTGCGCGGGTGGGCATGGACTTCCGCGCTGCTCTAGGACCGCTTTTTGTAGCCGCAGTGCGCAAAGGCATCACGCGCGAGTTCGAGGATGCAGCAGAGGCTTGGGCCAAAGCTCTCGAATCCGACGTCGCGCCGAAAAGTCGCGCCCGTCCTGCACGCCGGAAACCGTCCCAGTTGTTCCTCTCATCGTCCGCCAACTCGACGCCGCCTATACCCACGCCAGCGCAGCTCTCAGCACTCGCCACATCTGCGCCAAACGTGCCCCCGCCCATACTCGCGTCGTATCCCCCCCTTGGCGTCTACACGAACACCCTTCTGTCTGCTCTGAACGGCCTACGTCTCCTCGCGCCAGCCTCCCTACTGCACGATCTGCTTGCCTCTTTGGACGTTGCTCTCGCGCGTGGGGCGAGCGCCTTACTGGGGTATGGGCGCAAAGCGGCAGAAGGCCGAAATAACGGCACCTCCTCCGCGAGCTCGGAAGAGACGAAGCGAGAAGACGAGGTCGTGCGCGCGGTTGGGCTGGTGTACGCGAAGGTGTTCGTGCCCTTCTTGAGGCGTGCGTTAGCGGAGGGGGTGTATGGTCTCAAGCTGGGCGCGACTGGGGGTGACGGCGAGTCTGAGATGGACGTGGAGCTGAGGCGAACGCTGGAAGGGTTGGACGAGTGGCTAGAGGGCGCCGAGCGGTGAGAGGACAATAGCCTGGTGAGCAGGCTTTCCCAAAAACATCACCCAAAAGAAAGATTTTACTCACTCTTGTTGAGCAGTTGCATGTACTATACAGTATGCTGGCGACACGACACTCGCATGCGCTGTTAGTCCCACCTATGCTTGAGTCTTGGGTCCGAGAATTGCGGGCAGCATAGGTCACGGGCGGTACGGCCCGCCTCTCCCGTGCAAGATCTTGAGATCGCTAAGCAGTTGGCCCAAGATAGCTCGCGATGGCCTCGCGACAACCGCATTGGAAACAAACTCTAACACGAGCTCAGCAGCTTCTCATCCACAGGCGGCGCTACAACGCCTACGCCGTTGAATATTCTCTTACCATTACAGTGTGCTCGAGTCTCGATCCCTGCAAATCCTTCGAAAGCAGTGCCCTCAGCAATCTACTCCAGCGAGCATGCCGTCAGACATAGAGTACATGGACGACAAGGACGACAAGGCTACAGAGGAAGTACCCGAGCTGCATGGCGCATTGTCGCGCGCCTCCACCGAATCCTACGGCGGCGCGCTCAACGTCGTGTACATCGTCGATCCCGAGGACGATCCCATGGCCGATGCGACGCCAGACCCGAACGCTGAACGAACCCCCGACAAGGAATATGGCATACTTCCCGAGGACGACCGCTTCAGCGAGCTGTGTGGGCCCGTTGAGTCCACTCGTCGACGCGGCGTGAGGCAATCGGCGCGAATACAGAACCGCAAGAGGGCCAGAGGTGGGTGGGATGCGGCCACTCCCCCGCCGTTCCGCTTCCTGACGCGATAGAGCTGCCTATAGACACGCGCTCATCGCTACCCTCCCGCCCCACTCATTCAAGGGGCCAGGCTCGTGAGGACCCAATCGTGATCTCGGACTCGGATTCAGACTCGGAGGGCGATAAATTGGAAGACGATGGATTGGTTGGCCCCCGCATTCCAGTCTGGGTGTACAAAATGAAGCCCAAGGAGCCCGCCGCGCCCTCGGGCGACCCGGCTGTCTCGTCTCGCCTATCTGCTGAAGATGGCGCGAGCTCCTACTCGGACCGCGGCGTTAGTGTAACGAGCACTCGGAAGGCGCAGTGTGTTAAGCCAGGCGGCTCTGGCGGCCTTGTGCAACGTAAAACACGTTGGAGCCGTCTGGTTCAGGTGAGGAGTGTACGTTCCCACGAAGTGATTACACACAATTTACCCATGAGCCGCGGATGCGGACACACCCAGGTGCCTCCAGAGCTCGAGGAGGCGCTGCCGGACTTGCAGGCACGATTCCCTAGGGACCACATCAGCGTAGGCTACCACCGCTTGACGAACGACACAATCAAGTGGGGCTATCGATGCTTGACATGCCCGGACGCCTCGGTGAGTCTTTCGGCTGCCATTGTTTGTGCTATCACTTAACGGCGGTGGCACTCCTATACAGGTCATTAGTGGCCATGCCCCGGGCATAGCCTTCAGCAATATGGCTAAGCACCTTGGAGGCTCGAAGCACCGTCCGGCGACGATCGAGCCGCCTTCCAGAGGGGGTGCACCAGCAGCACGGCCCGTTCGTAGACCACGAGCACGCACGGCGTCCAGAGCCGCAAGCGCGCATCCGCCCAGAGCTCCCTCAGCGTCACCCCCGGTATCAATCTCACAATCCGCCACGGTCGTACAAAGCAGCACCGGCGGCGCGACGCCCGGCCCCTCGTCCCAGCCCGCCGCGAAGGCACGGGCGCGCGAGGACGTCGACGATGTCGAGTGCTTCCTGCGCGAGATCGGGCTCACGCGCGAGCTCGCGGGCGCGCTGCGGAGCGTCGGCATCAAGGACCGCGGGCGGATGCGGATGCTGGGTGGCGCGCCGGACGCGATGCTCGACAGGCTGGAGGCGAGCCTCGCGGGCGCGGGGCTGGACGTGAGCGAGTGCATGATCGTGCGGCTGGGGCTGCAGCGGTGCGCGGCTGGTGGTGGTGCGGTGCGGTGATCAGTGTGCACTTGATTTGGCTTCGTTTGGAAGTCGGTGTGCCGTAGGAACGTTCGTAGCGTGTATGTATTTTGTATGGAATGGAGAACGGGACATGTTATCTAGGTTGACGGCAGACTGATGCCTACGAGATGATTCCAGCACTGGTCAATGGTATGAACCCAACATTCAGCATGGATACATAGGCTCATAAGCTACTTTAAACGTGTGTATCACACGAGCCCTGCCAAGAGCATATTTACGTTCCTGCAGCCGTACATCTTCAAAGCTATGGAGAGCTTCTCTCGCTTTGACCCACCTATCATACATGTCCCAATTAGTGCCTAGACGCTGCGGTATATATAGCCTACGAAGGCTATGGAAGGTCATAGCCAGCACTGCAGCCACGGCGAACACGTCCTCGGACTGTATGGAAGGCTCTCCGAGACTGAGCGCCCAGAGATGGCTCTGCACCTGCGGCGTTCCATTGACGCCGTCACGGAGCGCAGGGGAGGGCGGTCGCCGCTCGAGAATTTCCTCGCACACCGCGCGTTTGATGTCCCCCAATGCGACATATAGCTCCTGGATGTGGGGAAGCCCCGCGGCGAGGTCGCGCAGGCCGGCGAGGGTCACCCTGGCCGCCGGGCCCGCCCCTTCCTGGCACAGATGCAGGCGTTCTATGTGCGGCCATGCGTGCGCCATGTCGGCGAGCGTAGCGTCATCGAGGGCCGCGTAGCAGTTCCCGCGCAGATGAAGCTGTCTGAGGGCGGGGAGGGCATAGAGGGGCACGATGGCGGACGGTGGATAGGCGACGGGCGGAGGGGAGTCGAAATCGACGTTGTTGCACCCGCACAGTATGACCGTATCGAGCGTGGTGCGGCAGCGCTTTGCGGGGAGCGTGGCGGTTATCGACGCGAACTGAAGGGGGGTGATGTTCGTTTCGACGTCGACCTTGACTTCGAGCTCGTTGAGTCCTGGAGGGTCTATGACGGGCCAAGAGAGGAGTGACATGCCGCATTCGGCGGTGTCTACGACGAGCTGAAGCTTCCGGAGAGCAGGGAAGTTGGTAGAATCGATACGCTCATCTGCATTGTCGTGAAGTAGCAGGTAATCCGCGGCCTGTGCGGCGAATGCGGCAGATACGAGGCTAGGAAGGGAGGAGAGCACCAGTACGCCGTCTGGAGAAAGCGGAGTACTCTCTATAGCTTCGAATGTGGTCAGGCTCGACAAGCCTTGTAGCGCTTGCGTCAGGGGACCCTGTGCGTAGATGGCGGGGCCGATTTTGTTCAGATATAGTTGACGTAGGAGAGGTGACTGGTGCGGGAGGTTAACGAGGAGCTCGATCAACGAAGTGGCAGCGTGGGTGGTGTCCGACTCCAAGTCTTCCAACTGGCCCTCAGGCTCGCCGAATCCAAACTCTACTCGCAAGATCTCTAGGTTCGGGCCGAAGAAGTAGCGTAAGGGAACAGGATCTTGAGCTTGTTGTGACCAATTCAGGCGAAACGACAGTGTGCGGAGATTGGGGAAGATAGGTCCGTGTGGGGGTTTGAGCTGACGCCATATGTCCGGACAGACAATGGCAATAGAGCCGCCGACCGTCGGAAGTACAGGGACGGTGAGGGATTGGACAAACTCTGCATAGAAGCAGAATCTTTCGAGTTCAGAGGTCGAGAAGCTTGCACGAGCAGGATACTTGTGAAAAGATGGGCTGAGCATGCGGCTACAGAGCTGGCTGAATAGTAACTGGACGGCTTACCAGCACATATGAAGGGGGCATATTGTCTTTTGCATCTCTCTCGCGACGTAAGACTGAGCCTTCCGGGAGCACCAGAAACAAGGGGTTGGGCTCATACGTCAATTCGCTCCAGAGGAATTTGAGTGCGACCGGGGAGAATGCGCGACACGTCTTTGCTAAGGAAAGCAGCGTGCACCTCGTGTAGACATCGTCCGTGCATTCCTGGCAGATACGGGCGATAAGTTCGGGAGAGAAAGCATTTACGGCGGACATAGGTCAAGTGCTGACCGGGGTCGTCACTCAGTAGTAGGTGGAAGCTACCAGTGCTCGCCAGGCCGTATTGGTAAGAGCGACTCAAGACGTTTGAGGAGGGCGGTGCTCGCCGAGGCCAATCCAAACAGGACCAAGCAGGAGCAAAGTCACTGAGCGCTCACTGAGTATGTTCGCCAAAGGTTCGGAGGCCCACCTGCGTACATATTCGCGGCCGCCTCGAAGTGGACGCCCCCGACTTACCTGTGGAACGCGGACACGGACGCAGACACCCACAGGCGCCTCCACGGCTCGAAGATGCGCTGCCGGAGATGTGGACACAGTACCTGGGCATCGTGCCACCTTGGGCTATCACCATTTTCCAACGGACGACACAATCAAGTGGGGGTATCGATGTTCGAGATGTCCGGAGGCCCCAGTGAGTACTTCAGCCACCGTTATCTGTATACGAGTACTCTCACAGTAACGGTGCTCCCATCCGGACTGCGAACGGAAGTTTACAAGGTGTTCAAGGTGTTTCTAGCACAAAGAACCAATATGAGTTCATCATTGAACAAGGGTTTGGGTATTCATAACTTACCTGAGGGCAGGCCGTGCTACACGAGCCCTCTCAAGAGCGTGTTTCTGCTCCTGCTGTCGCACCAACTGGAAGGCTAGCGATGCCCTGTCCACTTTATACCACCAGCGGCCCGGGGACGCTCCTATATCATTGAATATGCTCCACGGAACGTATATCCCGAAATCGCGGGCAGGGAAGATCATGGTCAGCACTGCGGCGACAGCGGCGACGTCCTGGGGCTCGATAGAAGGCGTGCCGATGCCAAGCTTAAAGACCTGCGACGCTTCGTGGGTGCCGTCACCACACGCGGGAGGGGGGCGCCGCGCAAGGAGCTCTTCGCACACGGCCCTCTTGACATCTGTCAGTGCGACGTAGAGTATCTGCAGGTGAGGACACTGCTCCACCACGTCCCGCAGACCGGCGAGGGTCACCGCGGCCGGCATCGGGTGCGGCTCGCCGAAGGACCAGCATGGGCACACATGAGGGTTTCTATGTAGGGTCACGCGCGTGCCATGTCGGCAAGCGCGTCGTCGTCGAGGGAGGCGTAGCAGTCACCGAGTAAATGAACGGTCCTGAGCGCTGATAGAGAATAAAGAGGCGCCATGGCAGAAGGTGGATAAGCCACGAGCGAAGGGTGATCGCATTTGAACTTGCTGGCTCCGTGCAAGACGATCGTTTCGAGTGTGATGCGGCAACGCTTTGCGGGGAGCGTGGCCGTGATTGACGCGAATTGAAGAGGCGTGATGTTCGTCTCAACCTCGACTCTGACGATAAGCTCGACGAGCCCTGGGGGGTCAATCACGGACCAAGAGAGAAGCGTCGCTGCGCATTCGGCGGTGTCTACCAAGAGGCGAAGCTTGCGGAGAGCGGGGAAGTTGACAGAGTCACCGGGCCTCTCCGTCATGCTGTGAGGGGGGAAATCTGCAGCTCGTATGTCCAACAGGGCAGTTACGAGACAAGGCAGGGAAGAGAGCACCATCACACCGTGGGGGGAAAGTGGAGTGCTTGATATGATCCTGAACTCGGTGAGGCTCTGCAGTCCTTGTAACGTCTGTGCCAGTGGACCATGTGCGTACGTGGAGGGGCCAAGAAAGAGTTGCAGTTCACGTAAGCGGGGGGACATCTGGGGAAGGTGGGCGAGCAAATCAGTCACCGACATCGCAGCCACGCTGGCGCCCGACTCAGCGTCGTGCAACTGGTCCTCGAATGGAAGGTCTCCGCAGTTGAAGTGGAGGCATAAACTCTCCAGGTTGGGGCCGAGAAGGCAGTGCAGAGGAATAGCATCTTCCTCTTGATATTTCCAGCTCAAACTAAAGACCAGGTTGCGGAGGTTGGTAAAGACAGGTCTGTGCGGGGGTAGGAGTTGGCGCCACATGTCCGGAGAAACGTAGAGGTAATCTGGAGACGTCTTGATGTGGCTGAACATTGTGAGGTTCTGGACAAGCCCGGCATACATGTTGAACCTCTCAAGCTCGGAGGATGAGAAGCTTGAGCGAGCACGATACTACTGAAGAGATAAACGAGTGAGTGCACGGCTGCAGAGCTGGCCAAACTCCACACACCAGCACAATGGAAGAGATAACGCTTTCTGGATCTCTATCGCGACGTATGACTGAGCATCCCGGGAGCGTCAAGAACAAATTGTTGAGCCCAGATATATTTGTTGAATTTTGGATTCGAGCGAGCGAGCGCCTGCTCGCCGGCGTTTGCCGAGGCGTTCAGTATCGTGCGCCCGATTGTTTTTGTACACTATCCGTTTGCCTCTGTACCACGACGCTACTGTACAGGACAACCGGAATCAACTTGTGTCTACTCTCGACGACCCGATTTCTCGCTTGCTCCAACACAAACGGATCCTAGCCAGTCTAGCCGGCTAGTAAAATATAGGGCTACGAGGTCGAGCTGCGAAGATTGAGCTCCCTCGCCGCTGTCGTCACGAGTCGACCTGCCGCCGTTCTCTCAAGATGGACCGCCGCTGACGATCGTCGTAATCGAAGCCGCCTGACGAGGTGCACAAGAGCGAGGCCACCGCACGCTGAGGAGACTCTCGACGATGAGTACTCCGATTATGTTCCTATTTCATTCGAGACGTGCCACCCCGAGTCGAGATCCGAGATGATCCCCGATGAAGACTTGCCGATGAAGATGACCCCTTTGCCGAAGAAGAAGACGATGATGACGATGATGAAGACGAGGACGACGATTTGCCCGGTGGAGCCGAAGCGAACCGGCGATGAAGCTGATTGCAACCCCGTGCCCGTATTTCCCCCCACCACCTCGAAGTTGATGGCGTCACGCGCTCACCCCGCGCGCCCTCTCTACGACGAGAGCTACTCGACGTCGATGCTACGCGCTCACCCCGCACGCCTCTTGATGGCGAGACCCGCCCGTCCCCGCCGCTCCGGAGATGAGCAGCCGCTTGCTGAGATGGAGATGAAGACGACGCCCTCCCCCCGTGTGTCTTGACGATGACGCATGGTTTCCCCGCCGAAGAAGATGATGAAGATTTCCCCCTCCCTGCCGACTCGATGATCGAGTTCTCTCCCTCTGTGTCTCGACGATGACACATGGATTCCTGCCGAAGAAGACGTCGCCTACCCCGCCTATCCCACTGATCGCCGAGTCAAAGTGCACGTCACTCAAACTGTTTGCACAGATTATTGGTCGCCGAGCATGGATGAGCTCGTGGAGGTGTCTGATCCTGCTGCCGAAGAAGCCCGCCGACGACGACGTAGGTTTTTGAAGGGTGTTTTTACTTTGTGGGGGTGCGAGATGCTTTTTTTGTGTTTCTTTTGTTTCTGTTCTGAGCTGCTTGCGAGGCGCACGCTCGTGGGGGTGTGTTGAATTTTGGATTCGAGCGAGCGAGCGCCTGCTCGCCGGCGTTTGCCGAGGCGTTCAGTATTGTGCGCCCGATTGTTTTTGTACACTATCCGTTTGCCTCTGTACCACGACGCTACTGTACAGGACAACCGGAATCAACTTGTGTCTACTCTCGACGACCCGATTTCTCGCTTGCTCCAACAATATTGCTCCAGAGGAACTTGAGGGCGATGAGAGAAAATGCGCGACACGTTTTCGCCAAGGAAAGCAGCGTGGACCGATGACAACATCCACAGATGCGCGCGACGATCTCTAGAGAGAATGGTTGGACAGTGGCCATGGCCGAGTGCAAGTGCTGGCCAGAGTTGTCACCTATGTAATACTATGAGCGGAAGACAAACTTGACCCATGAGGAGGGCACGATGTTTGAGACCATCTCAGGCCAAATAGATCCAAGCAGAGGCAAAGTCGCTGAGCGCTTAATTGATCTATCGGTACGTTTCCTCCTCAACTCAATGCTCAACTTGTTCCTTCTGACTTAAGACTACCGTCGACAAGGACACTAAGGGCGCGAGGGAGGGTTTGACTCACAGGATCTCCCACCTTCCAAGACATGGCACTACATCAAATCAACACGCGCCCAACACGAACGCTGGTACTAGTACTTATCTGAAGAAGTTAGGACCCGCGGCGGCGGCTCGCATCGTCTCGAAAGAGTGTTCGTTTCGCATGAAATCATGAGTGCGCGATGTTTGAATGACGAGACGACATCACTAACCCTTTTCTTGCCAGGACTTGTCTTGTTGGCAATTTGCCGGCTGCACCGGCTATTGACAGACGTTTCTGCGCAAAGTATGTGGGCACAATGTGCCTCAGTCCTTTGATACAATGTCTCTCTATATATACAGCTTTTAGAACCGCTAGGCTTCCGTCACTCGAGTCAGCCCGGGCTTCGCCTAACGATCAACCAGCCACATACCCAACTTCCCCCTTCCATCTAATGATGTACGTCTCGCCACTATCGTTTCAGCTCCTTCTCTCAACATGATATGACCCCGCTTATGAGTCTCAGGTCGTCTGAAAACCTACCAGGACCAGCAGACAGCAGTGAGCCTATAGCAGAGCCCACGACGATCACCACCTTGGTCGACGTGAATTCGACCTATAGGCAGCTCTACATTGAGGGCGAAATGTCCTGCTTGGCCAGCGATACTACCTGGATCACGCTAGACACGGAGGACGCCATAACGGCACTATCCGATGCCCTCTGTGCGGAGCCCGACAAGGTTGATGACTTCCCCATCCGCACGTTGGAGGTTCACGTGCCATCCGTCTCCGGCGACAGCCTCAAAGCGCTTCAGGAGCTCCTCGCATACCTTCCCTTACTGACGCGACTGTGGATGCACCACACAGAGCAGCTCTTCGTAGCCCACCCGCTACTTGCCCAGATCGTGTCCACCGGAGTCTCCCTCACCGAAGTGCGCTTCTGGGACGCGGGCCCGACGACCCACGCCGTCCTCAGCAGCATGCACGCCCGGCTGCGCGCCGTGGAGGTACGGGGCCTGCCCACGCCGTGCACCGCGATGAACCTCTTCCTGCCGTCCGCGGCGACGCTCGTCAAGATCGACATCCGCAGCATCGCGCTGGACGTGCGCGAGCGCACGCTCCGCTTCCCGCGTGTGCAGGTCCTGCACGTCGCGTTCAGCGGCGACATCAACCTGCTCGACCTGGGCGCGTACAAGTACGCGTTTCCGTACTTGCGCGAGCTCCGGACGACCCGCGCCCTGCCAATTTCGACCCCGCAGGATGGACACACGGTCCGCGAGCGGAACGTCCTCTCGGGGGCGCGTGAGCCCGGCTGGGCAGCGCTGGACGGCCTCGAGGTGCCCCCGCCCGAACTCTGGCTGCTCGGGGTGTCCTGCCCGGCGAGGACGGTGCATTTCGACGTCGACGTGGGCCTTCCGCTCTTCGTCCTGCGCCAAGTGCTCCCGCCGCTGCGACCGCGACACCTGTATTTGCACTTTGCGAACGCCGAGGACGCGTACAGGGTCGTGCGCGACTTTGCTGCGCTGCTCGCGTGGTCGTTGCCGTGGCCCGGCGTCGCGACGCTCACGCTGGAAATACGCTTGCCCGCAGGGAAGCCTGATCGCTGCTGGGTGATTGTGGTGCGTGATTTTTCTTGTGTTTCCGGCGGGGAGGGCGCACGCTGACGCTGGCTGTGGTCGGTGTCGTATCTGTAACAGCACTTGCTGAAGGAGCACGGTGCCCGGAACGTATTCTGCACAGAGATGCTCACCGTGCGGTTTGTCGGAGTGGCCGCCTCACCCCAACCCAAGAGAGTACTGACGGCTCTGTGGGGAGCCATCTGGGACGCGGCGGCGGAGGACCTGTGGATGACGTGCACGATGGTGAGGCGGGTGACGCTCCGGCTCGAAGTCGAGGCGCCGCAGACGGATGGTTCGACCAGGAGAACGGTGATGTACACCGCACGGCACTGCAGCGACAGCGGAGTTCCTGGGGACGGTGGAGAAGCGTGGGCGTACGTAAACCCAGCAGAATGGTGATTTTGACGATGGTGCTTTCGCCACTGGATCGAAAAGCCAGGCTCGGCGCCGACTACGGATTCGACACTTCGCTTAGTAACCTCTTTAGCTCAAGCTTTGCAGGCACAGCAGACGAATAAAAGGTACCTTCGTATGTGAAACAGACAGCATGTTTGCAGACAGTCGTGTTTATGTTTTCTTGCATTGAGAAGGCTCTTTCGGGGTTTCGCGTTCTCATGTTCAGCCTTGAAGCTCGAGCGTGAAGACCGAGGTAAGGCGTTGGCCTGGCACACGACAATAATAAGATTGATTGGTAGAAAGAGGAAGTACGATAATATCCGGCGCAACGTCGGCCCCAGCGACTGTCAGTAATAGTACGTAGTAGCGTGTGTTCTGTCCGTGCAGCCGAGCCGAGCCGTCCGTACAAAGGGTCAGGGTACCTATGCAGCCCGAGCGCGCACGCGTCCGAGTGGGTCCATGGCGGTCCCGCAGCACCGCGCAGCACACGACGTAGCGTAGAAAGGAGTGTCTATTGCCCGTAAGGACCGTGGGTATCGGTAAGTGTGCTACGCCGTGACGCCGCGCTGCGGCTGGCCGGGGTCCTGTGACGCCCGTGGTGTCGTTCCTGCCCTAAGTTTAGCGGTGAAACTACTGCTGGAGTGGAGGCAAGGACGTACCCTATTACTTGTTCGCGGCGTTTTCGAACCTGTTGTTGTACGGGGTGCCGGTCGTGTATGGCATCGTAGGCATCGCGTCGAGCTGGAGGTTCGAGCGCGAGCGGGCCATGACCTCCGACGCGACGTCGTTTCCGTACTGTTCCGCGAGTTGGCTGTGGGTGGCTCACAGTTAGCAACGAGCTGGACACAATCAGTTTTGCAACGGGTACTCACTTGGCGTAGTTGTCCATGATGACGGCCATGCTGTTCATGTTCAGGCGGTACGCCTTGGGCATCATGCCCTTTCCGAAGCGGTACGTGATGTGGTTCGAGCACAGCAGCGCGGCGACCATGATCGCGATCTGGAACGGCACGACGGCGAACACGACAGTGTACCAGCGCTCGAGGATGTCCTGCTCGAACTTGATGTACGGGCCCTTGCAGCCGGGCAGCTGGCTGCGCGCGTAGCACACCTGGCTGACCGTCGCCTCGATGAACGGGTTGAAGTACCCGCAGCAGGAGAGCTGGTTCTGGATGCGCAGGCGGCCGTCGAGCCCGAGGTCGCGCGACCACTGCGCGTTCACCTTGCCCTCGAGGTTGAACGTGCGCTTCTTGTACGTGATGTAGCCGGGCGTGACGAGCAGCGCGAAGCAAATCCAGAGCAGGAAGGAGTACGTGGCGAGGAAGGCGCGGTTGTTGAGCAGGATGCCGGACCAGCCGATGAGGGAGGTGAGCACGCCCAGCGCCGCTGCGATCGTCGACACGATCAGCTCGGGCTTGTTGCCGACGCGGATGATGTCCGCGTGTGTCCATACGTTGAACCAGATAAGCAGGCAGGCAATAAGTCCGGTGAGAGAGTATGCCGAGAACTGGCAAGCATTCGTTAGTCCTGATATGAAATGTACAAGGCGAGCCAAGAGCGGATGGGCGCTTGATGGAGCGTCACTGCAACACAGGATTTCCGAAGCTACCTGAGTCTTCGAAATGCACCTCCAGCCAGGTTTTGATAGCACGGCGAGAAATTGAGGGAACACCGAGCGCTGCGCAGCAAGAAAATCGGCAGCGATCGAAGGCAGGAGAAGGAGGCGCCGGTGCACTCATGCGCAGCAACGTCCGATGCCCCCGAGTGTGTGCGAGGATGAAGAGACTCACGACGGTGTTGGCAACGAAAAGCACCCATTTGAAGCGGTTCCACCGCAACCGTCCCTTGCGCCCACCCTGCGCACCTCCGAAGGTCACACCGTCGTAATCATCGTCGCCGTCGCCGGGCATGCGCGACTCGTTGGCCCGGAAGGCTTCACGGCCACCACCGCGCTTGGGGATATGGAGGTCCGACTCCATGCCCTTGCCCTTTCTGCGCTTCATGCCGCTGCCGATGAGGGTGTTGGAGAACTTGGAGGGGAGGTAGTTGACCGAGAGGGAGGTGGGGATGCCGGTCTTGCTGTCGCCCATGGTGGAGACATCGCTCCGGGGATCCATCGAGCGAGAGAAGGAGCTAGAGCGGGAGCCGAAGGCGTTGGGGGGCTCGAGGGTGGTGCTGTTGTTGTTCATGCCTGCGAGCATATACCGGGTGGAGTTGGCGGCCGACTGCACGGAAGGAGAGTGGGAGTTGACGGATGATGTCCTTGAATGGCTATTGTCGTCGCCGTAGTTGATGGCAGGCGGGTCGGGGAAAGCGGCGGTCATGGAGGGCGCTGGTGAAGGAGGAGGAAGGGGGCTTACGAGGGACTGCGATCCATCTAGACACCACGTTGCATAGGCGAGACGGCGAGTACGGCAGGCGGTGGCACGGGGCGGGCAGACAGAGGGTAGCGCGGGGGGGAGCGCGGGCGGTGTTGGGAGAGACGGAGATGGAGGAGAGCGTCAACTTCTGGCAACGTGCGCCTAGGCCGGGAATGTTCACACGTACCTCCGCCAGCACAAACGGGGGAGTGCCCCGTCCTTCGTGGCCATGCCCAGAGCTGGTGTTGTCAGAGGGAACGAGGTACGTCGACCACATCCTCTGCATCGTACATTACCCTATTTACAACCGGCGTAGCGATAGCGTAAGTGGCAGAATCCGTGTCGCCCTCATCTTTCCGTCCAGCCCTTTTCTATCACTCCTCTTCTCACCAACGACCAGCCCACGTGGCACTCCTCTCGCCGCATCTCTTGTCTTTTCCCGCAGCCGATCCCTTTCTTTCTCCCCTTCTCAGCCGCCGCCCACTTCCCCAGTCTTCCGAGCCCCGTCGCCGGCGACATACGCATTCAAAGAACCTCTAAAATGGGCGAAAACGTGCGGTGGTTCGCCGACGACCCTCCGCCGAATGCGGATAGCGGCGCCCGAACGCGGATGTCAATGTCGTGGCGATAGATCTAGCTGCTTCTTGACAGAAACTACAGGTCCCGTTTGCATGCTGCGGTCCTAAAATAGACTTCTCCTATCGAATGCCTCTCCCCGCCGCGAAGGCACTGTGGGGATGCTTAAAATATATGTTGCAGGTACACATCATGGGCGTCGGGGTCCCTTTCCTGTCTTTCAAATACCAGCTCCAGTCAAGACTATCGGTCAATTATCGTTGCATCTGCCTCGGAAGTCTCCATCGATCAAGCCTGTCAGTACGCACGATCCCAGCTATATACGTTTCCTCTGGCCCTGAGGTAAGGACGACTATGACGCGGGCAACCCACAAATTCACGCTCCCCGCCGGGCAGAGTTCCGGCGAGATTGCTACCCCGGAGCATCATGCAGAGCATCGGTCGGTCGAACGTGCACTGTAAATCGAGACACGCACAGCATGATGCATACACATTGAGTCCGGGGTGTCCAGAGAGCTCTCAGACTCAGAGAGCGCTCCTGAACGACCGACGCTCAAGTACGCAGGCTGGCTCCTTTGTCCAGGAAGGCCCAGGAACGACTAGGCGTTCAGTAGAGCGCGATCAGATAAGGTAAACCGTCCTGAAGATTAGATAGACGCGGAGAAAGAGCGGAGGTTATGACCTCGCGCGATCGACAAGCGGCACTCTGTATATTTCTCTCCCTCATCCACTATGGTTGCAACCAAGAACAAAGTCTGCCTCATGTAATACAGGCCACCACATATCCAGCACGCAGCAGCTCACGCTATCGGTTCCCAGTGTCCACGATGGCTGGGGAGTCGCGCCCGAGAAGGGCGGCAAGGGCGACGCCATCTCCGCCGGCGACACCACCAACATGGACACGATCGCGAAGGACCACAGCTACCGCACCCTCGCCGCGCACGGTATCGCGGTCGGCCTCAGCGAGGGCCTCATGGGCAACTCCGAAGTCGGGTGAGCAGCCCCCCGTGCCTGCGACGTGATCAGATGGGCAACTAACGCGATATTGCCGGAGACAGGCACTTGAACATCGGCGCGGGACGCATCGTGTGGCAGGACATTGTGAAGATCGACGTCGCGATCAAGAAGAGGCAGTTCCACAAGAACGAGGTCATCCTCGAGAGCTTTAAGAGGGCGAAGGACGGGAACGGCCGTCTCCACCTTCTCGGTCTCGTAAGTACCGCACCAGTCCCAATCAGCTGTCCCTCCTCTTATATACTCGCCCACACCGCGTTTATAGGTCTCAGACGGTGGCGTGCACTCGCACATCCGACACCTGTACGCGCTGCTCGAGACCGCGAAGGAGGTCGGCCTCACAGACGTCTTCATTCACTTCTTCGGTGATGGCCGCGACACCGCGCCGCGCTCTGCTGCCGGCTACCTGAAGGACCTACTCGCCTTCATCGAGAAGGAGAAGGTCGGCCAGGTCGCGACTGTCGTCGGTCGTTACTACGCGATGGACCGTGACAAGCGCTGGGAGCGCGTAAAGATCGCTGTCGACGGCCTCGTCAAGGGCGAGGGCGAGGCGAGCGAGGACCCCGTTAAGACCATCGAGGAGTGCTACAAGAAGGACCTGACCGATGAGTTCCTGAAGCCCATCATCGTTGGCGGCGAAAAGACGCGTATCCAGGGTGCGTCCGGAACTTGAAACTACTCGCACTTCAATTTACATTGATTGCAGACGGCGACACCCTCTTCTTCTTCAACTACCGCTCTGACCGCATGCGTGAGATCGCCGCCGTATTCGGCCTCCCCGACAAGCCTATGGAAGTGGAGATCCCGAAGGACCTGGTACGTTGCGTCCATTCTGGGCAGTATCCCCGCATGCTCACCAAGTCCGATAGAACATCACGACGATGTCCCGCTACAACGCCGAGTTCCCCTTCCACGTCGCCTTCCCCCCGCAGGCCATGACCAACGTACTCGCTGAATGGCTCGCGAAGCAGGGCGTCAAGCAGGCGCACGTCGCCGGTCCGTCCATGCGCGCCTCTACTGTCGTACGACGCTAACGTCTGCCCACAGAAACCGAGAAGTACGCGCACGTCACGTTCTTCTTCAACGGCGGCGTCGAGAAGCAGTTCGACAACGAGGAGCGGCACATGATCCCCTCGCCCAAGGTCGCGACGTACGACCTGCAGCCGAAGATGAGCGTGCAGGGCGTCGCGGACCAGGTCGCCGCGCTCGTGCGCAAGGGCGAGCACGAGTTCATCATGTGCAACTTCGCGCCGCCGGACATGGTCGGCCACACGGGCGTGTACGACGCCGCCGTCGAGGCGATCTCGCACACGGACAAGGCGGTCGGCACCGTGTACAGGGCGTGCGAGGAGGCGGGGTACGTGCTGCTCGTGACCGCGGACCACGGGAACGCGGAGCAGATGATCAACCCGACGACGGGCGCGCCGCACACGGCGCACACGACGAACCCCGTGCCGTTCATCATGACGGGCGACTCGAAGACACTGAAGTTTGCCGAGGACAAGAAGGACGGTGAGGAGGAGGAGGGCGCGCTTGCTGACGTCGCTCCTACCGTGCTCGATATCCTGGTACGTCAGTTTGTTCCTGAACGAGTGTGGTCACTAAACAGTATGCTTTTGAATTGCAGGGCCTGCCCCAGCCCGAAGGTAAGCATTATGAACTTTCGCTGCGCAACAGTATACTCACCGTCTGCTGCAGAAATGACCGGCCGATCCCTGCTCGCCAAGGCTTAGACCGCGCGCATATAGACAATGACTGAAAGAAGTGCACATCCATGTTGTATGTTTACCTAGAAGCGCAAGGTACCGTAGCAATAGATCTCACGTTTTGTATAACGCTATCACACGCACAAGAGAAGTTCAAAAGCTACCCCAGCTGGGTATCGTGCCCCTGCTGCTAGAGATCGTATACCCCTGTCCTTCGTGGCGTGCTCGGCGTAGGAATATCAACCGCAGAAATGATCAAACCAGTTCAAGATCCCCCGCGCGCTTTCCTCCTTCGCCCATTCTATATATCCAGTCGCGAGTCAGTGCGTTTGATCTTGCTCCATCATTCCAAATGCTTACTCTCCACAGGAACTTTCGGGTCCCCGCGCAACGCGAATCCATGCTTGACGGACCCGAACACTTGGATGAAGTAGGTCGCCTTCTGCTCCACCAGCAGGTCTTCCGCCCGGCGACGCGACTCGGCGGGAAATGTATGATCGATTTCTGTCAAGGTTTAGACCAACCCACGTACGCCGACGGATGGGCATCGTACCTGCGCACGACAGCAGCAGGGGCTCTGAGCCATGTGTACTCCGTGAGTGCCCACACATTTTGATCGCAGAAACGCGATGCTCACTTTTCACGTCTTTGAAGTGATCTTCGCTCAGGAAGGCGGGGTGCGCGAAGGCGCCTGCGAGGTCCATCTCAGCCCTAAAGCTTGGTACGATCCGAGCCACAAGCTCATGACTCTACCTGCAGTGATCCAGTCTTTCTTCACGTGGTCCATCACGTACGGTGCGCCGTAGCAGTATCCTTCATCGAGGTGTACTCTTCAGCATCCGATCAGGTCATACAGGCATACCGACTACATACCGACGCAGACATACTTCTTGTCAGGTCCTACAAGCGCACTCTCCCTTCATGAATATCCTCCCTAGAGGCACAGGGATTTTCACTCACCATACTGCTCTCGTACCGCGTCTATCCAGGGAGGAAGCAGCACCTCCGTGCGCGCCTGGTTCTTTTTGATCCACGCCTGCGTGTCAAAGCCCTTCTCGTCGAGGTGGAACCCGTACGAGTCCCCCTCGAAGTAGTCCAGGGCGAGCACCAGATACCCTGCACCCAGTACCCATCCCCAATGGTAAGCACTCCTCACGCCGTCGACAAGCCCGCCCCCGCTCACCGTGCTCAGCCCAGTAGTCCATGAGCAGCTTCGAGTTCACATACAGCGCGCCGAACACGTCCGCGAAGAACAGGATGATCTTGTCGCTGCCCCCAGACGCCGGGCGCGCGACGTACGTGTTCACGCCCGCGATCTGCTCGACTGTTCCGCGCGGGTCGCCGACGTGCTGGACAGTCTGGAGACAGTGCGCCCCAACGGAGCCTGCGAGCGTTGCCATATCTGTCAAAGCCTGGTGAAGAGTAGAGGGCGACTGAAGCGACTCTCGGACAGGACACTGGCGAGTGTTATATGCGCATATATAGCACGCGGCCCCGGCTGGTCTGCCCCTCGGATGCGATTGTGCGCGCACGAATGAGCTCATCGCGGTTCTTACGGAGGGCACATCGCGCTTCGCGTGGCATCCGTGGGCGGGTGCTTAGTGAGCCAGCGGTCTTGTGGTGTTCTGAATGCTCGAGCTTGTGCTATCGTACAGAACTCTGCTACGCCACCGGCGTGACACACGCTACGCGCAGAAGTGGTTGAACCAATCCAGGATGCCCCGTGCGCTCTCCTCTTTCGCCCACTCTGTTGCCGCCGGTCAGTCGGTCCGTAAGATTTGTGTAGGGGTGCTGGGTGCTTACTTTCTGCAGGGACAGACATGTCGCCCCGGAGCGCGAACCCGTGTTTGACGCTGCCGAAGACCTGGATGGTATAGGTTGCCTTTTGCTCGACGAGCATGTCCTCGGCGCGGCGGCGCGCCTCGATCTGGAAGGTGTGGTCGATCTCTGCGGTCCAAACGGAAATAAGCATGCAGGTGTCTCGCTACCAGTGGCCAAGAAATCGACGTACCGGCACAAGACATGAGCAACGGCTCTGCAATGGGGATCCAGCGTCAGCGACCCAGCATACTAAGTGCGTCCCAGACATCAGCCGGATGACGCACGTTTAATGCCTCGGAAGTGATCCTCGTTCAGGAAGGCCGGGTGGCCGAATGCACCTATACCGAAAGCCATGTTCAGCCCCAGTAAGCTCGCATTCGTCTCCAAGTGTTCGCGTACCCGCTTTGATCCAATCCGTCTTCAGCAGGTCCATGACGTACGGTGCTCCGAAGCAATAGCCTATCCAGACGAGCATTCCGCCCCTTAGCATTCAGCGGCACGGCCGGTTTGCTAACGCCTACCGGTGCAACAGTATTTCTTATATGTCCCTGCATCCCGCGAAACAAACGTCAGAATAGACTCATACGCTCCTTAGACGGAGACGTACCGAACCGTTCGCGCACGGCCTCTATCCATGGCGGGATGAGTACAGCGGCACGAACCTGGTGACGCTTCTGCCAGGCCGGGTAGTCGAACGTCTCGTCATCGAGGTCCAATAGAGCCTTCGAGTCTCCCTCGAAGTAATCAAGGCCGAGTACCAGGAACCCTGTGCAGTTCGAACCCCACATCTCATCTCAGAACACTGGCCGCCGACCCGGATATCTGGATACGCACCGTTATCCGCCCAATAGTCCATGACGAGCTGCGAGTTCGTGTACAGCGCGCCAAACACGTCCGAGAAAAACAGAATAATCTTGTTCGTATCTGACGCGGGGCGCGCGACGTACGTCTGCACGTCCGCGATAGATTCGAGCGTCCCGCGCGGCGTGCCGACGTGGTGCACGGTCTGGCGGCAGCATTCTCCGGGAGGGCCGGCGAGCGTCGGGCTCGTAGACGACATTGCAACTGTGGGGTATGTGGTATATGGTAAGCGGGTTCGAAGGGGCGGTAGGCGTTCGAGACGCGAGGATCGAGGCCCCGTTAAGACTTAGGCTGTGGGCGCAGGCCTCAGTGGGGAAGTAGCTTGACTCAGCAGAAAAGCTAGAAGCACGACGCGGGAGAGGAGAAGGGTGCTCGCGATTTGCTATAGGCAGAGCGGGGAAAGTGAAGTCGGTGCGCGGAGCTTGCACTTAAGCGAAGTGCGTTCCATGAGACACCGGTGTTGGGTATTCCACGTCTCGGGTCGGACGGGGTGCCGCGGAGCCAGTGCTGGGAACTTTTTGACGGGAGGAGGGAGCACTCGTCCAGTAACGAGATAGGCACGGTGCGCACATCGATGCTCAGATAGCACTGGGGGCCGACTTCTTACCCCTCCCGGTAGCATAACCGGGTGCCGGCCGTGCGCAGTGCCTGAGATCCTGGCTTTGACTCGCGCTTCGGTCCTCACGCGCAAGGGGGTGCACAAGAATACATAACAGACGCTATATGGGGTCTGCCGCGAAGGTTATAGTGTGGTCAAATGAGGGCTGTGGGATGATGCGTGCGGACTTGCTCACCTCGTATCGTACACTGTAGATATCTCGGCCTCCGGAGGAACTCAACATCGGGGACCCGGTCCGATAGCTTTACACAAGGAGAACTCGAAGACTTGTAGCCGACTCCCACTGCGGTGGCGGTGATATTTAAGAGCAAGTTGTCATTGGTCCAAGGCTACATCGCATCATCGAATTTGGCCGGGATGTAGTACGTGAGCACACCGCCCGCGTCTGCCACATTCCCGATGTACACGTATAAGATGACGCAGTGGTTCTCGCATATACCTACACGCATTTCCGTCAGTATAGGGCGAAAGGCACACAGGCACATCGCACTAAGGGGCGGGCACATACATGCAATTGTGGTGGTTGACACAACGTGCGAGTTGAGAAACTTGTTGAGGCACCTGTGGGACACGAGCACACCGTGCATCTCCGCTGGGTCTTTCGCGTTCGAGCCGTCCGCGTCCCCGCCCTGGCTGGCCGGATCTGCAAGTGCAAAGCGGGACCTTGGTGAGCGACGTGCGAGTCTCAGCAAAGGGAGACGCACTCCACCCAGGATTGTTGAGCCCGCCCCAACCGACCTCGACGCGGGCGTTGTCGGTGGTGGCAGCCAGCTGGAGCTCGCCAGAGTGGTTCGCGCGGAAAGTGACGCCGTCTGTGGAGAGCGGGCGTAGACGGTCGACTACCATGCGCAGCTTCGCCAGCGGCGGCAGCAAGATATGCACCTGTTTGAGTTCTAGTGAGGACAGCGGTGCATACCTAAATGAATAGGTGAGCATACATCCGGCTCGGGACACATGGGTTCCTTGAGGCGCTCGACGTCGGCGTGGCGCACGACCTCGACGGTGACGTGCTGGACGACGGTGATGCTGCGGCCCATGGGTGTGCTTCCTGTGATATCGAAGCTGAGCACAGACTTGTCCCCCTTCTTTGCAAGCCTAGAGACACCGGAGTAGGTAAGCCGAAAGTTGTGCAGGTAGATATATGCTCTCACTTCATGGTTACTTCTGACTCGGATGCAACTGTGTTCGATGAGTTTTGCGCCGTGGACGGTCCAGCCGCGGAACGGAGGGCTGCAAGAAGGGCCTCGGCGGAGAGGGAGATGGTGATCTCGTTATTATTGTTGGACTGTATGCGGTACTCGGTGAAGAGCGATGAGACTTTGATCTGCCTGGATAGAAGTGAGGCAACGCATATATCCAGTTTGAAGGAGATACATACGACCAGACCTGGATGCCGCCCTCGTTGACGTCGCCTGCACAGATGATGCGCATCTCGTGCTCGGCGAACTTGATCGTACATTTCTTCTGCAGCTTCTCCACTGACTGCACGATTTCTGTTACACCGTGAGTACAGCTCGTAATCAACAAAGCATCTTGACTTACTTGCGAAGGTGTCTACATTCTCAATCGTCGCACGAAACCGCATCCCTCTTGTCCTCAGGTGGTGGCTCTCCGACAACCGACTGCCCGGCGCGCGCTTGTGGCATGCGCGCGCGTCGCGTTACGAACACGTGATTGGGTCACATTAACACATGGATGACGTCTGGGACTTGGCCCGACTCTCTAGGACGTTCTCGGACTCTGTACCGTCCCGCCCTCCGCAAGCCCAAGCCGGATACGCCCAGACCGTACAGTCGAAGAGTATCATGCGCACCGCGGACGTCTTATACCCTCCGATCATGCCATGGCTACCCCAGCCACTTTCCGCTATACCCCCATCTCTCCATAACCATGTCCCTCCAACACTTCGGGAAGGGTGCCCTCCGCGTCGCTAAGAGCTACACAATGGGCTACTCGCACACCCAGATGAAGATACGAAATGCGACTTGTAACGATCCGTGGCCGCCCTCCGGGAAGGAGATGTACGAGCTTGCTCAGATGTCATTCAACCAGTATGTTTGATATGGCGTTTCTTGTGATCGACGCATTCATGATTTGACCGCAGGAATGACTTTGTCGAGATCATGGAGGTCATAGACAAACGCCTGAACGACAAGGGTAAGAACTGGCGCCATGTTTTCAAGGTAGGTCATATCGCAGCTCTTGCCAATTCCCGCGATGCTGATTTGCGTGCCTGACAGTCCCTGGTGGTACTCGACTATCTCCTGCACTCCGGTTCTGAGAACGTCATCAACTACTGTGAGGACAATCTCTACGAGATCAAGACCCTCCGCGAATTCCAGTACATCGACGAGGACGGCAAGGACCAGGGCGCGAACGTCCGCCAGAAGGCGAAGGACATCACCAACCTCCTCGTAGACAAGAAGCGTCTCTACGAGGAGCGCCGCATACGCTCCCAGATGCGTGACCGCATGCTCGGCCCCTCACGTGCTACTGCTGCTGACGGGGAAGACGTGCAAGAGGACGGGTCTCAGCGCCGACATCGACCTAATGGGGACGACGAAGAACTGCAGCGTGCAATTGAGGAGAGCAAGCGGACTGCCGAGCAGGAGCTCGCTACCGCCGAGGACAGGGACTTGCAGCGCGCGATTCAGATGAGTCAGGAGGAAGAGGAGAAGCGGAAACGCGCGCTGGACGAAGCCAATGCCGCCGCATTATTCGACGAGAGCAATCAGCAGTAAGTGTATGCTCTCATTCGTAGATCCAATCCTGACTGTGATCTTGCATAGACCTCCGCCGATCATTCAGACCCAGCCGCTGATTGACGCGACGGTCCCATTGCAGTACACCTCCGCCGGCATCCCGCCACAGTTCACCGCCTTCCAGCCCGACTTCACCTCCATCCAGCCCCAGTTCACGTCCTACAACCCGTACCTCCAGCAAGCCCAGCAAGACGCCATGCAAGCCGAGTACATGCGCCAACAAGCCGAGTGGGCACGGCAACAGGAGCTGCTCGCACAACAACAACAGCCCATGCTCGTTCCCTTCCAGACGGTGTTCCAGCCCCCACTACAGCCGTTCGCGTCCCCGCTCGTGCCGCAAACGACGTCGCTCGGGTCGAACAACCCCTTCATCGCGCCGCCATCCCCGCCCATCTCCCCCGCATCGAGCACCTTCCTCCCCCAACGCGCCGCCTCCGCCTCGCTCGCCTCGCCCGTATCCTTCAACCTCCCAGGAACGTACGACGACCGCCCCCGCCCCGCACGGGACACAGCGTCCGCGCCTCCCCGCGGCCCGGGGGCACTCCTCCAGCCGTTCTCGACCGGGACGGAGCCGCCGCGGAAGCTCGGGGGCGGGCGCGAGCACGCGCGGCTTGCGAGCCTGTTCGCGAGCTATACTGGCGATGGGGTGGATACGTTTGGGAATACCGGGCAGCTTAGGTGCGTTTTTTTTCCGTTTGTTGCGGGGGAGAGGGCATGGGGGCTGATGCGATAGGGGTTTGGGGCAGGTTTATGGCGACGCAGCACGGGATGCTGGCGGCGCAGAAGACGGGCGCGGGCGCGGGCGGGCAGAGCAGGAACCCGTTTGTGCATCCTGAGGTGGTGCAGCCGCCGATCGTGGAGGAGAACCTCATTGAGATTTGATGCTCTATTCTGACGTTCTGACGTTCTGAACACGGACTCAGAACTCTGTTTGTGTACGACTAGTAGTACTAGTATGTTCTTCTAACCTTGGCTTGCGCATATCTACCGCTGACGTGTTTGACAGCCTAATGCTGTATCTATAGTGATATTCAAATGTACCGCGATGACTACCACTTGATCCTCCCGACCGTTAGCAGATAATCTACTAAATCCGTTCGCACTGAATTACAGGAGCTCGCGGTGGAAAGTGAGTAACATCTTCGAAGCCCTACCTTGAGGCGATACAGACTGACGTGCGCCCGTGTCATTCACGTACAGGCATGAAATGAAGCTGCACCTCGAAGAATCGACGCCGTTATACAGCCGGGGTGCAATCACTGCTGAGAGCTCCCGCTCATGAACGCGCGGCACTTGAATTCGTGCATGCCGCCCCCGTAAGTGCGGGCCGACGAAGATCTCAGCGGGGCCGAACAACTTGGTGAACTCGCATGCCCCTACAGCCTTCTATTCGCCTCCGGCTGAAATACACTCAACGTGGGAGTAGGGAAGGCGACCCGGTCCGGGACCAAGGACCAGGACGGCGCTCCCACTTCCAGCCCAACTCGTGATTCTGCCGAAGTATCGTCGCAATGACGGAGCTCTACCAGCACCAGCCCAAGGGATGTAATGGATGAGAGAAGCTCGCCTTCTCCTCGCTCCAGCCCTATCTAAACCGACCTACCCCGCATCTCCCCTCCCTCGCCCGCATCTTCCCTGCATCCCCCGCACTGGCCAGCGTCCCCCACACCCTGTCACCCGAGCCGTTAGATGTCCGCACCTCTGACAGGGCCGCTCGGCCCCTGCTGCGCGCGCACGGTCCCGCACTCGGGCGTCGCGCGCGGCACGACAGAGCAGATCGCGGGCCTCACGACGTACGTCGCGCGCCCTGCGGAGACGCACGCCGCCGGTCTGCGTGTGATTTTGTATTTTGCGGATGTGTTTGGGCCGTTGTATTTGAATGGGCAGCTCGCGATGGATTATTGGGCTGAGCACGGTGCGTGGTCGCTTTGAGGCTGAGGAGATGGTAGGGGGTTGACGTGCGGTAGGGTACCTCGTACTTGGGGTGGACTACTTCGAGGGCGACTCGGCGGCGCACCACAAGGGCGAGGAGGGGTGGGATGTCGACGAGTGGGTTATCCCATTCCGCACAAGCGCAGCGCGCATTACCCCGCCATGGATCGCTGCCGTAAAGGAGCAGTACGGTGCGTGTCGACTGTTCGCTTCGTCAGGGAGAAGAGACTTCTCATTGAGCCTTCGGAAATAGGGGGACCGGGCACGAAGTTCTTCACTGTCGGTGAGTTGACACGCTCCCCGAGAGTGTGGGCGCTGAGAAGACTGCGAGAACAGGGTACTGCTTCGGCGCACCCTTCGTGATGGATCTCCTCGCGACCGATTGGGTCACCGCCGGTGAGTGTGTATGTGTCGCAGAAAGGGAGGCGTGGTCCCAATTACGTGTTGCAGGGGCGTTCGCACAAGCGGCATTCCTGGATGAAGGCCACTTCGAAAGAATTGAGCGTGCGTCTTCCTGCCTGCAGGATATTCGGAACCTACTTGACGCCGTGCTTCTTGCTACCACTCTGCAGGGCCGCTGCTGATGTCTAGCCCTGGTGAGCATTACTTCTGCTCAACGCACCCTTCCCTGACCGCGCGACAGAGGACGACTTCACGTTCCCACATGCCGCGCGCCGGCGCGCCGAAGACATCCTCGTCGCACGCAAGGCGACGTACTTCATCCAGATCTTCGGCGGGGCGTCGCACGGGTTCGCGACGCGCCCGGACCCAGCCGTACGAGGAGATCGTGAGTGTCGCACCCCGGTTTCATGCGGTCTTCGTATTGTGGTGGCACGGCTGATGCATATGCGCGGGGTGTTCCTGCTTAGGATGGGCGAAGGAGGAGAGCGCACGCGCAGTCGTGAAGTGGTTTGACCACCATGCGGGGGTGTAGGTGCGGTGGGCAACAAGAGCCGGCCGCAGCAGCAGGTTAGCGACGACTCAGATACCGATTATACAGAAGACACCGCCTCTTAGTGGACAAGACGCGGAAGCGACTATAGAGCGCGAATGCAGCATTGTCAATATCGGCTGTCTCTGAAATGACAGCGTGGACGAGGCACCTTGTGGGCAATGGCGTCAGACCGGGTTTCGTGCCGCACAAGTCCAGATAAGTCCCTGCAGCTTGGGAATGGACCACCCCAGCAGCCACCTTCTACTGGAAACTGCGCTGCTAACGCGCGGTACCGCTGACCTCATCGCGAATTCGAAGTGTCCATATGCACGTCACGGTCACGACGCTCCTGAAGCACGTTCGGTCCGACCTGAGTTCAGGTTCTCCCTGCCTCGATCGCAGTGCCTGTGGAGTCGACAGGCAGGAGCTACCATTGAAGCTTACTGCTTTGGATGCCGAAGGTGAGTTGTGGCTTTTCCCTTCAGTCTGAGGCCTAATTTGATTATCACTGCGGCCAACCAGTAAGGTTTTTTGGGTGGTTCAAATTTTCAGGCTCACCCGATGTTCTTACCCCCGTCGCTGAGGATACGTTCTTCTTGGGCGGTGCAACCAGACAACCAAGCTCTAGACTTCAGAGAGGCCAGACTGTCTGGACATGCCTATGATGGTGGCGCACAGATTTCCGCGTGGCCGGCAACCTGTTCAAAACCGCTCCTGCGGGTCCGTTCACCGGCGCCCCCATCGACCAGAGGGGATTTCGACGCGTCCCGCTCCCCTTCTATCCATAGGCGTTGCTTCGAAGTCGAAAAAAAATCAAGCTGAAGATGAGTTGTCTATCATGTTGTATCATGATGGTTAGTAGCAGGCCGGCGTTAATCTCAAGGGCAGATCATTATCTGCCCATGTGCACAAGTCGGAAGAGTCAAGATTGCCAGCGCCACCGCTGACGAGCGTCCGAAGACTTCGGGCGGGCGTTGCGAGGCTTTTCATTTCGACCAACTCCGCTAGCCAGCGATGACGAAGAACTTCGAAGCGGGCCTTACCCCATCCGTAAATTCTAGCAACATCGGCCGACCACATCGGTGCACTTAATCTGCAGCATGGACGCGCTGCTTGCTCGCATGACCCTCTTCCGGGCGCTTTTCTGCGCATTGGGGAGGCGTTCAAGAACACGGTGCGTGGCCTCAGCCAATCGGACGAAGCGGACGGCGTTCCCAATAGACTTCCTGAGATCGATCACTGACCGATCTCCCTCGAGCAGGCGGGACTGTTGAGCCGATCGAAATATACGGTCGTGCGTCTCCCAATATAGCTTGGCCCGTGTTTGAACCTGCCCAGCCCTTCCCGCTGGGTACACACGCAGCCCAGCTCTCGCCCGTCCCTATATACCCATCGCCTCCGCCGCACGCTGCGCTATCCACCCCCCTGTCCCCTTGTCCATGCCATCCACGGGCTGACACCGAGCACGACCCGCTCATCACCCGTTACGACGCCTAGCACCCCAGCGATGCCGTTCGGGCTGGAGCGTGCTGTCTCGCCCCAAAAGGCATTAGAGCACTCCATGGGCGCCGTGCTCGTAGGCAGCTTAATTGCTCTCTTGTGAGTTGTGTGCTACAGAGATCCTCAATATATTTCCTGGTCATAATATTGTGTTTCGCAGCCTCTCGGGCGCGGTGTCTATGCAGGTGTTCTTGTATTGCCAGTTATACCCTCGGGACAGGTGGAGGATCAAGCTCATGGTGCGTCATGCCGCATGTGTTCAATCTAGCGAGAGACGTTATCTCAATCATGCCCTGCAGGTCTTCTGCGTCTGGTTCGTGTTCAAGTCAGATCGCTGTTGCAGCGCAGCGCCTGACTGTGCATCTATACCAGGCTTCTCGACTCCATTCACTCGGCAATGGCAATCACGGCAAACTGGCAATATCTCATTGTACATTTTGGAGACTGGGACAACATGGACGAAATTACCTGGTGCGTGTTGTGTCCAATTGTGCAGCTCGCCACGACATTCTGATCGTTCCGCGAACAGGTCCGTAGCGGTACGTTAGTTTTGAACGAAAACATCCACCTTCTTTACTAATTTGTGTTGCATAGGCCTCAGTCGCCCTCACGGTAAGTCACCTGGTGAGCGTGTCCAGAGACACGAATTTGACCTCTTGCATACAGGCCCTCAACACGTTCGTTGTGCATTGGTCCGTCCTTGGTTTATTATTGCTCGAGACCGTGCTCACCTTTCGTACAGCTTCTTTACTCACAGAATACATACGCGTACGCTCTGATCCACATCAGAATTGTGCCCGAGCTAACGCACCGTGTTAGTGAGCCGCAATAACTGGTACATCACGACAACACTCGTACGTACCCGCAGTCTAGGCACGCCGGGAGGATATGCTCATACTACTTGCAGGTTGCCCTCGCGCTAGTCCGTCTTGGTAGGCCGATGATTTCGTATCACAGTAATCAACGCTAACCTATAATGCTCCTCTCATAGTATCAGCCTTGAGTTAGTCCTTTTATGTATGGATCACCATCGAACCGTACACTGATACAATCTACCCTCCAGTATCCACCTCTGAAATGTTGGTATCTCGCCTCCTTCGCAGGCTCAACGTGCTCATATGCTTTCAATAGGATCCGCCTACATAGCTACGCGCTATTTGTGGCCAAGTTCGATGTAAGCGCTTGCTACCATACAGCGGCCGCGGGGGCCTGTTCTGACGCTCTACCTGCTCCAGTATGTCTTTACGATTGGCTTGACCACCGCGGCGTCACTGGACGTCCTCGTCGCAACCGGCCTGTGCTACTTCCTTCGGCGCGGACGCAGCGGACTTACGAGGTGAGTGGCTATGGCTACGTTTCCTCCCGCTAGTTCACTGAGTCGTGCACCGTCAGTATGGATAAGATCGTTGATACGATCACCCTATATACCATTGAGAACGGGATGCTCACCTGGTACGTGCTATCCAAATACATCTCATTCCTCGCTCACCCGTCTACAGCATCACCACCATCATATCCCTCATCTGCGTGAGTCGTTGCTACTCCAGATTGTCACAGAGGACGATGCTCACAAAATATACAGTGGGTTACGATGCCCACCAATCTCATCTTTCTAGGCCTACACTTTGCCATCAGCAAATGTACGTTTTAATCTCGCACACCACCGCCAACGATTCCGCCTGACGTTCCATTATCTGCGTTAGTATACGCCAACTCCCTGCTAGCGACGTGAGCTTCTCCGAATCCTTGATCCATGTGCTTTGATTTTTACCCCATCGTAGGCTGAACGCGCGCAAGTCCCTCTTGAACAAATCCCAAGGTTCGAGCAACGAGCGCGACCATCCACTTCCCGTCCTCTTCCCTGACAGCTTTGGTCGCCATACCGAGCTGCAGTGGTCGGTGAGCAGTCCTACCCATCCCTCTGTTCATCTCCATCTACTGATCATCCGGTTTCTATTCAAAGCATCATCGAAGCCTAGGGGAGACCCCAACCAGAGTACGTTCTCACCGTCATGTATGCCACGGCCAGAGACTGATACGTGATACATCGCAGCTCGAGGTGAACATCCAGAAGTCGACGCGGGTCGAACCCGTGTCGCCGTACGGGGAGCCGAGCAGTCCGCTTCCGTTGCATAGTGAGGGCGACTGCGAGCGCGGGGAGTCTGTGAAGAGCCCTGGGGTGACTTTTCTTGTGGACGATGAACCTCGGAGATGTTCTGGTTGACGGGAGACGTGTACTTACTACGATGTGTTCTACTGGATATTGTTGTGCGATTGCTCATGCTTTGACTGCCTCCATAGTTTGTAAGCTGGATTGTGGCGTTGCGCCGGCGTTAATCTTGCCGCGTATGTGTCAACTTGAAGTTCTGCGGTGTGAATTTGGTTCTACAGCACCACTGCCACGCATTTATCCACGATGTGCAGGAGGACACAGGCACCGTCTCGGACTTGATCGCCCACGAGTCGTGGAGCACGACTCACCGCCACAAAAGCCTGAGCCTCCGCACACGGGGAGCGCCAACTGCCAAATTGGGAGTGGTATGATGCAAGCATGCTGAGCCCAACCACTGGCAAGCCCAACCTGAACCGTTCCTCGGTTTCCTGCTTACCATCTTCACTTGCCTACCGACCTCTGTACTACTGCTTTGTTCCGCTTCTCTCTTGAGGACGCTGTACTACTGCATTGCTTTGGATCTGCGAAACACTCGGCTTGTGATATCCGGCGCTGTACTTTTAGTGGCGACATCTGGAACTTGGCGGACATCAGGATTCAGGAATGAGCAACGCCCACCCTACGATCACCATCGACCTTGTGAGCAAGGTGGTGCGGCATGATTAGCACGCACGCTAACACGGGGGCAGGCAGGTCCTCGACCGCCTGCAAGCGAAGGAGGTCCTGCGCGCGGTCCTGCACTCCATCCTGTTCCACCGCCTCTTCGGGACAGTCAAGCCGCGCACGTTTGAGGTCCTAGACGTCACTATGGTCTGTCTCCCACACCGAAAGAGTAGCAATAGAGCCAAGGACTGAAGCCGAGCGATGTGCACAGCCAGGAGTGGACGACCAAGAGATCACACATCTGGTGGACGACAAGGTCGACGCGTTCTGGCGCGGGGTCGAGGGCGATGCGAACAAGCGGGGCCAGGTACGCCCTCTCACGCTGCCGCGCGCGCTGTCGCGGACGCTGACCTGGTGCGGACGGAAGATTGTGGTGACGCTCTCGGAGAAGCGGCCGCAGAAGTCGTGGTTCCTCAGCAGAGAGGTGCGTTAAGGTTTCTGTTCTGGCTGTTATCAATTCGATGCGCCCCGGCCAGGAGCCGTGCATGCTCGGACGTGGCTGCGACATCTTGCCTGGGGCGGTGAGCAGGCCGCGGGCACTGCGAGCGGGTGAGCGGGACCTCGAAGTGCACATTGGTGTCCCCCGCCTGGTCTTTCGAAAACAATTACAATGATAGCTATCGCGGGGACCCCCATCGTTCGGGTAACAGGTGTCATGGCAGCTGCCGGGGGTGGGAGTAGCAGTAGCAGGACCCTGGATGGGTTCGCATTCGCGATGTCCAGCGGTGGCCACCGGAGCGCCCCCGGATTACCATGAAATCTGCTCGTCTGCGCATCCATCCTCGCCGTCTGCCCTCTGTGGCAAGTGTGGTTGCTGATAGTACACTGACACAACCTTCAGGAAGAAATCCCTTGGGAGCAGTGGTACGCCTCCGTTGCACGCCTGTACCACCGCAGTCGTTCTCACTATGAATAGGATCATCAACGCCGAGATACGCCAGCCTTCGGACAGAGGTGCGTGCCGCTTGCCCGCCCGGACACGCAGCCGCCACTGACGCAGCCTCGGTGGCTGTTCGCGTTCATTCCCCCGTCCCACGCAGAGCGACAGAAGTTTAACGCAGAGTTGGCGGGGACGCTTACGAAGAGCCTGCAGACGATGCTGGTGCACTCATCGTCCGAGAAGGGGCGCTCGGCGGTGCCCCTGATCACGAACGCGTCCAGTATCTCCCCTTTCCCGATCAAGATGGCTGTCAAAGTTGGGGGCGTAGAAGTGGCCTGAAGCTGAAGGTAGCGGCCAGCCGGGGCCTGTCGGGATGGGTACGGGTGGGTGTGCTGCTACGGAATATGGCCGAAGGAGGTGAGGTCCGGAGAACGTGCTTCGTAGGTTTCGGACTGACGTTCTATACAGAAATTCATTAGACTCGGGCTACACAGGATGCGGTGCCGGCCCAAGAGATTGTACAACTAGGCAATTTGACTGCAGCGTCCGTCATATCCTCCCGCGCGATGCGCCCTGAGTGAGTGGGAAGTGCGCGGTGAGTGCAGCGATATCCTTTTTGTACTGCGACCCGCCGGCATGTCGACATGCGCAGCCAAGCTCGAGCACCGCCGCCGACGACGCGGGACAGCTGAGAGTAAGCATCATTCGAATCGGCCTTATGGGCGTCTAATTGCGCAGGCAGCCCAATGAGTGGACGGGAGCACGAACGTGCAAGGGGCACAGTCGCCCATCTTGCGCGCCCGCGGACGGGTCGATGGCGGCTTGCGCCCAAGGTCTTCCGTGTCTCCTTTCTGGTGTGTCCTGCTCAATGTCTAGGCGGTGCGCGCCATTTAGCTCTGTGCCTCTTGCAAGATCGCGCTGCTGCTTCTTCCGTCTCCGACGGCCTATATTACACGTCCCGGGCCCGCAGAACCCATCCCCCCTTCTCTCCCCGCGCTGCTGCTGATTTCTCACCGCTCGCCCAGCGACGCCGTGCATCGGCCCCTTCTCTCGCCTAGATCTCCTTCTAGCGCGTGCTAGCTTGGGAACGCGCCCATCCACCTGATATGCAGCCCATCCGGAGCCCCTCGCAGCTCACGCTCGACATCTCAGCTGCACATTTCCACCTGTCACGGCAGAGCATGGACTCGGGGTACGCCTCGTCGATGTCCAGTGCGCGCCTCCCCGCGGACTGGATGCTGTCGCGCATGTACGAGAACTGGAAGATCGCGGACGCGGCGGCGCAGAGGCTGTCCGCGGACGTGCGCGCGCTGGAGGAATGCGAGGCGCAGCTGCGCGAGGCGCGAAAGCGGAGGGATGAGAAGGACAAGAAGAGGTGCGTCTGCTGTGCTTTTAGTCGTATACGTACGAGGAGATTGACGGAGGACATCCAGTCCCAAAGCAAAGCACAAGCTCTCGCTGAAGCCGCTGCTCAGGAAGCGATCCTCGCCTGCGTTTGCAGCGTCTGCGGAAACCCAGCCCTCAGATCCGGACGCGCCTGGATGCAGTATCGAGGAGCTCGAAGCACACCTAGCGGAAGTCAAGAGCAGGGTATGTATGGTCACACGAGCACCTTCAACTCGTCAAAATCTGACGGATCCGTGCGTCTGATCAACAGGTCGAGTCAACACAATCCGCCGCAGACCGACTGGATAGCTGTTTCGACGAGCTCCGGAGGGTTCTCGACGACGGCCGCCCTGTCTCCTGGCGCAGCTCGCAGTACGTGCCTGTTCCTTCTTCGGTTGCCATATTTAGACGCACACTCATCATCATGCTTCCTTCATTTAGCAGCAGCGGGAGCTCGCTTGGGTATCCATACGCGGAGTCCTACAGGAAGGCACGGAAGACGGTCGGTGCCCGGGAGGAGGCGTATGAGTCGGTATGTTTTCTGCTTGAGTGATGCTATGTTTTACCAACCAAGCATCTCGGGCGCAGAGTAAGACAACGACCAAGGGGCTGCGGCGCGCGTGCCTGGCGGTGCAGTCGGCACATCACCACTACTCAAAAGCGATGGACCTCCTCGATGTCGTCTGCAGTCCGAAGAAGAGCAAGTGGGAGGCGATCGTCGGCGATGAGCAGAGCAGGCAGCAGACGTACGGCGGTACGTGCCCTTTCCCCTCTCCCCCCGCGTCCGAGCAGACCACTCACGCCACGCCGTGTTGTAGAAGCGGCGAAGTGGGCTGAGAAGGCGCAGATTTGCTTCAACGAGTCTCTGCGTTCGCTCCAGCAGCATCAGGACTTGCTCAAGCGCGACGAGGCGGAGGCGTGCGAGGACCTAAAGGAGACAGGCCTGCTCCAGGCCGTGCAGCTCTACAACCTCATGTACGGCGGCAAGGCGCTCGCCATGGGCATCACCCGTGCGTTCCCTCTCCCCTTCCTCCCCCACGCGGTGTGCTGACCCGGAGAATTAGAACAAGTGCAGATCATGACGCAGAAGCAGGACGCGGTGTTCCAGCGGCTGACAAGCTTCGCAGTGTGGGTGCAGAACTGCACGAAGCACTGCGAGACGGTCGAGCGCGAGACGCGGGAGAGCCGTGACGCCGCGCGGCGTGTGCTCGTCGCCCTTTGGGTGCGCGCGGATGAGGAGGCGGAGACGTACAGTCTAGCTGCGCCTGGCGAGCACAGTCACGTCTTCCACCCATCGCAGGCGTTTTGACGTGGTTCGTGCCTTTCGGTGCTCGGTCACCTCTAGGAGCGAGGTGTGTGTTTAATGCAAGTAAAAGGGCTTTCGGTCGTGAGCAGTCTCATCTATTTGTAGTTTACCTCCGTATTTTGTATAGTTTTCACGTTCCGTTGTTTATTCGCCTATCGGTATGGAGGGCCCTTCGCGCCCTCGAAGCACACTCATTTGTACTCCACATTGTTATCGTTACTAGTGTATCCTTCACCTCTTTCGAGTTTACCTACCATGTACAGCACAACCCTCGAGTTGTATTATTCCCGGTACCAGCTGTAGAGCGTAGAATCGTAGTCACTCCTATGGAAGATCATTTTCTACCCAAGTCGATCCGCTCCAGTGTCGCCTTGTGAATTTCAGATGCACGACGGGAACACGCTCGCGTACCAGGACGAAGTCAAGTGGATGATATTACACAGCATTAAGTTGGATGGTGGACTGCTCCGCGACCCACTCTAGTCTTCTACTCCTGCATCATCTCCTCCGGCGGTGGCGCGCCTCCGCCTCCGCCACCTCCGCCACCCTGTTCCTGGTCCTTCCGCGTCGCCTTCACGACGTCGTCGACGCGGAGCAGCACGCGCGAGGCCTCGATGGCCGTTTTGAGTGTTTGTACCTGTACACACTTCAGCACGGCATCTCAGAAGCACATAGAGGAATGGACTGACCTTGACGCTGGCAGACTCGTACAGGCCGTACTCCTTCATGTCGACGATCTTGCCGGTCTCGCCGTTGATGCCCCACGAGTGCTCGCCGTTGGCGTGTTTTGCCTGATGTAAAGTCAGCATTGGACGTAGGGAGGGTCCACAAAACGATACATACCCTGAGCTCAGTCAAGACACGGATGGCGTTGCCTCCGCTGTTTTGCACAAGCGTCCGGGGGATGACCTCCATCGCGTCTGCGACGGCACGGTACGGCCAGCCCTCGACGCCAGTGATGGTGCGCGCCTTCGCATGCAGCCCAACGCTGATCGCCATCTCCGTCGCCCCACCGCCCGGCGCGAGCGTGGGGTCGAAGAACACGTTGCGCGCGACGGACATCGCGTCCGCGAGGTTGCGGTCGATCTCGTTCAGGATGTCCTTGGACGGCCCGCGGAGGAGGATCGTGCACGCTTGCGGCTCCTTGCACTGCGTGAGGAACGTGAAGTACTCGTCGCCGATCTTCTCGATGTTGAACAGCCCGCACTTGGTGCCGACGTCCGCCTCGCGCAGGTCCTCGACGCGGTTCACGATCGTTGCGCCGACTGCGCGTGCGATACGGTTGTTGTCCGTCTTGCGCACGCGGCGGATCGCGGTTACGTTCGCCTTGTACAGGAAGTGTTGCGCGTAGTCTGTGGAGATGATTGAGCATATTTTCGAGAGAGGGCGTGAAAGGGACACGTACCGGAGACACCCTTCTCCGTCAGGACAAGATCGGGCTTGAGCGCCACGATCTTCTCGACGATACTCCGGACCTGCTCCTCCTCAATCTCCTGTATCCTCGCCCAGTCCGCCTCCTTCGAGATCTCGATGTTCGTCTGCGACTCGCCCTTCTTGTACTCAAGCGGGCAGTCCAGAAGCACTATACGCGGATTCGCGATCCGCCTGCGCATCTTCGGGTGGGTGATGTCCTTGTTGAGCATAATCCCGTCCAGTACCCTGCTCTGCTCGATCTCGCCGCCGGGGATTTTCTCGACACGCGCGTAACGCTTGATGTCGACCGTCTTGAGCGAGCCCTCGTCGTGCGCGACCGTGCGCACGGCCTGCAGCGCGAGCTTGCACATGAGGTCGGACCAGCGCATGACGAACTTAGTCCCGATCGACGTCTTGATGAGCGAGAGCATCTGCTCGTCGTCGTTCGTGTCGATGGGGATAGAGATGCGCTTGATGATCTCTAGTGCCTCCTTGAGGGCCTTGTTGTATGCGGAAATAATGACGACAGGGTGGATGTCGCGCTCCAGTTGGGAGAGGGACTGTGCGAGGATCTCGCCAGCTTGTGTAGCATGCAGAATTGAGATACGAGAGCGAAATGACGCGGAAAATAAGCGTACCAAGGATGATAACACTCGTTGTGCCATCTCCGCACTCCTCGTCTTGCGTCCTGCTAAGCTCGATCATGTTTTTCGCGGCCGGGTGAGCGACATCAATTTCACGGAGGATAGCATTTCCATCGTTTGTCAACCTAGGGAGAGGTCACGCAATGAGGCAATGAGGATGATGTAGGTATTTTATGCAGGAGAATGAATGCTCACAGAATACCGCCCATCGGGTCCAAGATCATCTTCAGCATGGCCTTCGGCCCCAGACACGTCCGAATAACATCCGCGACCGTCTTGTCATGGACGTCAGTTCGATACCACGCCTTCAAGTTCAGATGGCGCACCTTGGCAGCAGTAATATTCGAGATCTGAGCTTTTCGGCCTGATTGCCTCTCAGGCGCGGTGTCTGTGCATTCCTGTCAGCTTAACTCGAGTTTTCGCGAAGAGAAACTTACTCATCACGAACACCGGGGTCTGTCCACCTCCTTGCATGTTTGCTGAATGATAGTGGGGGAAATGAGGAGACTGGACGGTGCAACGCGAGGCAAGGAGCTTGGAAGACTCGAGACTTCGTCGCCCATCGTGCGTCTATTTCGATTCCTGAACGGGAAGTTTTGCTGACATAAGCTGTTTAGCAAGCATGTCAAGCGCCTGCTGCTTGTGGTCTCTCTTCAAGACTCTTGACTCTTTCTGTCACCCTCACTTACTTGTTTACCGACTCCGAGTCTCACCTACCGCTGCGGCTTGCTGCGGTAGTTCATCTACACAGGTCTAGTAAGCAGTCCTCTTTTAGTAGCATATCGAACATCTGCGCTGCTCTCCGAATTTGATCAAGTACGTGGTGCTCCTCTACTGATGGCGCCGAAACATGCTGAACTCGCTCTGCATACAGACGTCCGGTAATTAACCGTGTCAGTGCCTTGTTAGTGCTCACAGAGTGGTGAATCTCTTGACGGCATCACAGATCTGTTCGCCAGGAGCTCTAGTACAGAGCGAGATCGCGCATTGTATAGAGTGCCTTCGCTGCGATCTCAATTAACGTCGCAGCAACTAGACCATGCCAGGAAGAGCGTCATGTGCATGGCTACTGTCATCGAGGGCCTGCTGCCAGTTGGACGTTATACCAGGGAAAGTAATGCAGGGTTGATAGACCGTCGTAAGTCCATTGACCTGAGCTTCGCTAAGATCTAGAAGCGTTCCCGTGCGTTGCTCCATTTTCTTTGCTATCGCCAAGCCGCGGCGGTGAGTGTGAACTGCGGGCCAAGGAAGCTGCGTACTAGCTGCTGTTCTGCTTCAATGAATCTAGCTGGGTGGGCTGCGCTTCTGACAGCGATGCTGTCCCGGGGACTACTCATTCCAAGTACCGCATTTTTGGGCTTCTGGCGGACGAAGGCGGTCATAATACACGGGCTTCTGGACTAGCGACCCCGCCCCGTCCGCTTTCCGTGTAGCCCAGAACGCCGTGTATCTGACGCCTGTGCGTGTCTCAAGCTTGCAATTCCGGAAGGCTAATTCGAAGACGACCCGCACGGTATATATACTACGCCGACGGGGTGCGATGCGTCGGAAATGCTGCACATGGATGTTCCTGTATGGAGAGGGCGGGCCCCTCCCGCACATGCGTTGTTGAGCCCCTTTGGGGCGTCGACCACGTTTAATATCGCGCTAGTCGACGTCCTTTTCTGATTCTATATTCGTGAAATTCAAAATGGGATTTATGTGAGCCTGGCACACCGAGAGAGTCATTGATGTCGATGGGCTTCTCTAGCGAGAATCCCGTAAGCGTCGAGTATGTTCAATTGTCGAGGCACGGGTATGTTGGCGCCGGTAAAACAAAACGAAGAGGGCTCGGCGATCGCGATTGGAAGGAGAAGATCTCAGGGATCGCGCGCTTGGGGGGGGGCCGGAAAAGGGCATATGACTGCCATATAAGGACAAAACGCCGTAGCTGGAGAACATATGTGCGTTCTCACAGACGTCAGGCATTGGTCGCCGAATCGTCAATCTATCGTCTGCCTGTCCGCCCTGCTCATCTCCTGACCGCATTAACTCTGCCATGCTCCCCGCCCCCTCGCCCTTTTCCTCTTCCCCACCATCATCCCCCCGCCCACCTCTCCTGCGCGACCCGACTCCCTCTCGCTCTCCGGAGCGGCCGCGATGAGCAATGGCCAATGCTAACGACACCATCGGTGCCATTCTCGTCGGCGCTCTCGTCTCCGCAGTGTACGTGCCTAGCCGAATCCATCCTAGGAACCCGCCTATAGCGTCTTCTCTCCTTGCAGGCTTTCGGGGACCGTCACTACGCAGGCCTTCATCTACTTCAGGCTGTATGGAGGCGACGACTACAAACGCAATACGTTCATGGTGAGTCGCGCTTTTGCATGTGTTTTTCATGCGTGAACTTATCAGCTTCAAGGTGTCTCTGCTATGGTTCGTTTTCATCTGTGCACACATCCCTATGCGTGTTTACACGCGCTCAGGGGGCTGGACGCTCTGCACTCCTCCATGGCATTCGCTTCGGCATGGATATACCTCATACAACATTGGGGGGATACTACAATATTTGATTTTATACCTTGGTGAGTCCACCGTTACGTTCGTCGCTGGAGTAAGCTAACCTATTGCCATGCATGAAGGACGATCGCAGTACGCAACTTTTTACGTACCATTGCATGCCAGAACTCACATCGCTGCCGGGATAGTTAACAGTGGCTCTCACCGTTAGTATACATACTACGTGCTTTCTTCTGACCACGCTGACTCCTTGCAGGCTATCGTCACATTGATATCGCATTGGTAAGCCCACCTCCAATCGTGGGCCCACTCTTTGCTGACCTTGACGCAGCTTCTTCGCTCACCGCATCTACGTCTGTACGTGGTTGCCCTTCATGTGGGGAAGTACTCTAAAGTGACAAGTTGATCCGTACAGTGAGCGGGTTCTCATGGTGGCTGACTGCGCCTATCGTAAGTGCCCCGCCCCATGCCTCCACACGTCGTTAACCTGTCGATCACTTAGCTTGTCCTTGCATGCGCAAGACTAGGTGCGTTTTTATCTAAATTATTTTGACGCACGATACTGACACATCCCATAGTGGCAGCATTTGGTACGTACAACTGAAGGACGTATGACCTCTCGTGCTTACATGCAATGGCCCAACATCAGTGTCGACATCTGAGATGTAAGCGACTTTCACTCCCCTCTGTGCATCCAACAGCATGCTGATAGGCCCTTAGGATAACTCTACGGAGTTACGAGGCCTTCGTGGACCGTGTTGGAGTATGGCGCTCATACTATAGGTGTCGACACCCATACTGACTATCTGATTTCAGTGGGTTTTCACCATGGGCCTTTCGCTATCCACTGCGGTGGATGTACTAATCACAATAACGCTAATCGTACTCCTGCAACGGAGCCGGACGGGTTACTCTACTATGTGCGTACTCACGCCTGCCATCACGTATGCGCCGTCCTGACTGTGGAGCACAGAACGGACCACCTAATTGACGTAGTCACATTATACACCGTTGAAACCGGTCTAGTTACCAGGTATGTCTTGTCCGTTTCCCCGCACTTCCCCCGGACTGATCGCAGGCCGCCACGGTAGTATTACTACTGCAGTCTCCTTGATCTGTGTAAGTCTTCTTTCGGTTGATCGCATGTCAAGGGTTGCGGCGCCCCCTTGCGCCCCTTGCCACCGATGATGCCATCCGCTGACTCTGCTGGATTACAGTGGCTTGCGATGCCCCGCAACCTGATTTTCCTTGCGCTTCATTTCTCAATATCCAAACGTACGTCAATTCTCTCGCGTTGCCCGCATGTTGTGGCTGACTGGGCGGTTTGATCGTAGTTTATGCGACCTCCACTCTAGCGACGTACGCATACGCTCCTGTCAGCTTGGCTGGCCAGGGGGAACTGATGGGAGCCTAACTTGACAGATTGAACGCACGCAAATCACTGCGCCGTCGGACGCACAAGGTGGACGACCATATCCTGCCCGTGATATCGTCGCTTCACGAGGCACAGAGCGCCACCCAACGCGAGCGCGAGGATATCCTGGTACGTTGAAGGATTGACGCTCCAGGCTGAATGTAATAGCTCACCAGGGCTCACCATCCCTAGGATCCCAAGTCGGAGCATACGGGCAGCGAGGCACGAATACGGGTACGTGTCCCCGGATGTGTACTCCGCGCCCACGCTGACGTCGGACCCTGACAGGTGACCCGAGTGGAGCTCAAACCGGAGCAGGACGGTAGTGCTGAGCCTCCGACTGACGAGGCGAGACAGCAGTGGGAAGAGGAGGAGCGACATCGACGACATTCTCGGGAACATGATCCCCTCCCACCTGTATAGTGAGGACATTGATCGGACCGATATACGTTCGTTTTCGTTGCAGTCGTAGCACATTTTGTACTTTTAGCCACGCATACATCCGCTTTGCCTTTTTTCATCCTATTTTCGGACTCGATAATTAGCTGTGCATCACGTCCTCACAGCGAGCGTTAACTTGGTGACTCCCAGACGTTACACAGACGTCAGATTTGTACGAGGCGGGCCGATGGTGTTGCAACCGACAGCACAGAGCTCGAGCGTTGCAACGTCGCAGGATCGCGTCAGACAGTCCGGGTGGTCCGGGTGTATATCGCGAAACGTCACATACCTGTAACGCGTTATGTCACGCGACTTGGTGGGTTGAGTGGGTCACGCTCTTGGTCACGTCCACGCGCCTCTCGAAGTGGCTTGCGAGCTTCCTGACCCCGACCGTCTTCCACGGCGTCCTCCACGACGAGCTCAACGCGTCGCCGCCTCTCACATCTGTATCTGAACGTCTCCGAGATGGATGAAAATCCTCGCCCACTGAAGAGGCAGCGCATACAGCCAGAGCCGTCGATGTCTGCAGTGACCGACGACACTGGCTACTCTTCTGACCTCACCACTCTCCCGCCGAGCAGCGACCCCGCCCTCCGCGCTGTGTATACCTCTCCCCCTCTCAAGCACCAGCTCTCTCAGCAGCCACTACAGTCTCAAGAAGAGCTCAAGCCCCTACCGCCGGCAGTTTTGCTCGTTAACCTACCCGCGCTGCTCGCGCACCCGCCGAACCACAAGTACTACGTGCACTCGCTCGTACTGTCGTTGTCTGCGCTGCGGAAATGTTTGGAGTTGCCTGCGTTGCTGCCGGACATCGAGTGTCGCGCTTGGACGGGACTGGCGGAGCTTGGGATGCGGGTAATCGCAGGGGGACTCAGCCAGAGCGAGGAGTACGGATGGGCGACGGGGATCGAGGCTGAGGTGCGTGTATGCGCCCCAATGCAAGACACTTGGGCTTATATATGCGCGTCGATGTCCAGGTGGAGAAAGCCCTAAGTCGAGGGGTGAGTTCTTCGGTCTTGTCTAAGCCTTTATGCGAGTAAAGCTCATTTGGTGTCCCTAGTCAATCATTGCACAGAAGGTACCGTCCGTCCTGCTATATGCGCCTTAACACGACGCTAAGATGCGCTACAGCACCCTTCTCTACGCGCATACAAGCACCAGCTCGCCCTCCTGCAGGCCCAGCTGTCTCAATGGCAGCACAAGACCAAGTTCGCGCGCAACCAAATCCGGAATTTCATCTCGTCACTCATGTCGTCGGATCCGCCGCATATACGCTACTCAGCGCAGCTCGCCCTCATCACCCTCCTCACCACACCCAATGCTGCACACCAGACGAAAACTCAGCCCGAGAAGGTGCAGAACCGCACGCCGCCCTCGTCTCCCCAACCTAGTGCACAGGATGTGTATGCAGCCCTCTCGGTTGTCCAGGAGCTCGAGGAACGCGCCGTGGCAGACACGCACAAGCAGGTGGCGCTCCTCGCCCGAGTATTGCGCCTTCGCATTCTCGTCGCAGCAGGAATGTGGCCAGATGTCTGCGCCGCGATCCAAAAGGGTGAGGCCGCGCTTGGGCTTTCGTACGAGGCGGCTTCAACGCCCAAACCTCGCAAACCGCCACCTTCGCAGGGTAAGGGTGCTACCCAGACGCAGCAGCGACCTCCTGCGCCAGAACAGATGTTCATCATGTTCGAAGACGCGTTCGAGGCGGCGATGGCCGTCCATCTGCTCATGCTGTCGATTGTGTACTACACGCATGCCGGGGACGCAGCAGAGGTGTCTCCAAGACTGTCACACCTGCACGCGCTGCTTGACTCGGATGTCTTGGACAGGTTCCCGGACGGAGCTATTGAGGTAAGCAGCTTTATGTCGAACACTAGAGCTCAGCATGCTGACTATATGCGTTCTCTAGATCGCGCTTCCAACGGGACCGTCGTTGGTCGTGCAAGTGACACATCCACGCATCCTTTTCCTGCTTGCATTCCTTGTCAGCAGCGCCTCCAAGCGGGACGCTGTCGGGAGAAAGCCCAAGCGGAAAGTGTTCGCCGCCGAGGGGCTGGCCACTTGGGATGCGGAGGCAATTCGCGAAATCTCATGTAAGTTCCACTGCAGAAGGCATGGGAAGTTATGCTGACACGGCGCGACAGTCTCCACTTGGGCAAGTGCCGGAGACATGCAGGAAGTCGAAGAACGTCTTGCGAGAATCAAGGCTGACTTGCTCTCCGAACTCATCGCAGTGCGTCCTTCACGAACATTAGTGATATGAGACATTTGGAGCTCATTAGTAACAAGGTGTCCACCATGCGCAGCGAGTTCTCTATAGCAGAAGAGGTACGAGTTCTAATCGAATCACGGACGAGGTAAAGCTGACCCACATATCTACGATAGAACCTGAACAATCTCATCGCGCATACACGCACGTACGAGATCTTCCCTCTGCTCGCCGCCCGTATCGCGCTGCACCACGCGCACCTGGCGCATGCGCTCCTACAGCCCGCGCGGGCGCTCCGATGCTACCGTGCCGCCGCACACCACGCAGAACGCGGAAGCTTCGTCCATGTAGCCGCGCTCGCAGGGGAATCTGCTATATGCGTCGGCGTGTCTCGACGCATGAGCCGCCTCGGCGAAACATGGCGAGAAGGACTCTCCGAGCTGGACGAAGACTGGCCGGAGGACGAAGGCGTGGAGGTCGACGTGGAGAGAGGCATGGAGGTCGTGAAGATGTGTCGAGGCATGGGCGGTTCGCTGGAGGCAGTCGCCCAGGTACTAGAGGCGTCCTTCACGCCGGAGATTCTCAAAGCGAAGTGCGGCTTATCCACGCGCTATTCCACATATTTGGCTGACATATGGATACTTCCAGGCAACATCTAAAGCAAGCACTCGAGTTGGCGACGAAGGCACAGGACAACCACCTTCGTGCGCTGGTGCTCGCACTCATCGCGGCGCACTACCTACACACCGCCGGAGACCACGCACGCACGATGCTTCAGACGTGCGAGCAACTCGCCGCTGGATTAGGTGCGCCGCCAACCAAGGGCACAGGCGCAACCCAGAACGCGAAGAGCACTCCGGTCGTAGTTGGCAACGCGCCCCTCGGACTGTGGGTGGGCGAACGGTTCCTGGGTGAGTCGGCCCCCATCATATCCGATGTCCAGTGGCGCTGAGCGTGCCTTCGACGTCGGTCACAGAACTCTTCAAGCGCGCCGGGAAGGAGGCGCGCGTCCAGAAACAGACCGCCGTCAATGCCCAGCTGACGAAGGCGGTCTCGGATCTTGCGCGAAGAGACCTGCCTGCGCTCGCCAAGACGCAGGTGTCCGCGCCTTGCCCGTGATTTGTCCACCCGTCCTCAATCCCGTCCTCAATTTGCCCCCGCTTTCGCATCGCATCGTTGTTCGGAGGATGGAACATCTCGCGTCTCACTACTCATCGGACCCCCTACTTCTCGTCGTTTCCTTGCTGTCGCGCTATGTTTTCTCATCTCATCTTGTTCTGGCGATACCGTACCATCTCATTCTAAGCTCCTCATCCCAAGTCGCCGGTCTTGGCAGTGTATTGGACATGTACATAGATATGTATCATTAGGTCGCAAACCGTGGGCAGTGTTGTTCTAATGTCTGAAATTGCGCTTCATAAATTAACACTCGAAGCTGCAATCAATCATATAGAGTGGACCAAGACAGAACTCGGAAGGAGAGGCGCAACATTAGCGCTCATTTACGTCGTTCGGCGTCTTATCCTGGCGTCAAGTTCGCTGCGGGGACGCTGCTCCGTGTCTGGTTTCCACCACCACGACCAGAACCTCGGTATCCGGGTGCAGGCTTCTGCGCACACGCTGTAGACCACCGGCTACGCTAAGTGCGATGTTTTTAGACGTGAGAGTCCGTCGCAGCGGGATTGGTTCAATAGTCCCCTGACCAAGGTCTGGTTCGCGGCCATAAGCCAGACGGATGTTCAATTGGTGAGTACTTGGACCGTTCAATTTGTCCGATAATGGACGCGCTGAAAAGAAGTGTAGAAGGTTGCACCAGAAGAGGCATGGACCTTGTGCGGAGAGCCTATATGCGGAGAGATGTTCCCGTGAAGTCTGGGCCCACAGCTATCAGCGTCTTGGTCGTATTGCTTCGACTCTGTGCTTCCCTGTCACTGCTTTTGCTACCCCGAAATGTCAGGTGGAGATCTATTGACTGGGAACGCCCGCTCAAGGAGTATGCATCGTACATGTTCTCTTCTTCGTCTCTCGCGAACCCACGGAGTACGTGTGTTTCAGTATTTCGAGGTTGCGTGGCAGCTGATTCTATCTCCTTACAGCTGTCGAAGCGAAGACTCAAGCAGAATGATATCAATGGTCTCAGGATGTAAAATCCACATAGCGCTACGAAGAAGCATGCGGAAGGCGTTTAATAGAAGTTTGTTCGTGGCTCATCATGTGGTGCAACTCATCGCCGCAGCAACGTCGACTCTGCTACGGTAAGTCCTGCGTTGGTTTTCGTTAAGGCAGCGAGATACCTCGCTCACAAAAAAACAGAGTACACAGGCAACTTTCTCGGACCGCTGAGCCCTTCTGCGAAACAAGCACATGTCATGTGTGGTCCTTCAAGGACATGTAGACACTGCTGCGGCATGCGCGACGGGAACATCTTCACTGCATCCCGAGATCTGCCAAAGACCGTATCTCGAGGCCGAACAACCTTCCGCGAATTGCTGACATGCTGTACCCACTTCTCAGGACCCTGGCTTACGCCAGCCTCCGCTCTTCATCGGAACTTAACACTAAGCATCCCACAGATTCTCGACGCGCATCTGACGTGCCGTCTTCCGTGCTGGCGCGAGCCCACCCTCGTGTTACGTTCGGAGCGATCTACACGTTCTCCGCTTCGATATTTCCCGCTGCGCACAGTGCGATAGGAGGTGCTGCGAAGAACGGCGCATGTTTGCGTGCACCTCCTGCCAAATGCGGCTCTGCTCGCCTTCTCTTCTTTGTCGCAGGGTCTGGGCGGCGGTCCGGACGCTGAAGCGGTTGCAAAGGTCAGTGAAATGAAGTTCTTGAAGCTGCGGGCCGTGGTTAACGGTCTCCTCGTAGGTTTGCTCGGGACGTCGTGTTCGATTAAGCCCGGTCGCACAGTGCGTATCCTCGGTTTCAGCTGCTCGGGCACATCCTTGTATTCCGTATATCTCGGTCAGACCGAGTGTACGCCGAGGTTTCCGGTGAGCGCAGCGTCTAATTCGACAGATTCGGCAAGCAAGATGCAGCTCCCGGCTAAGTGGATGGTCTCCAATTCATGCACGCAATTGATTGCCCTGTTCCAGCGTGGTTGGCTCGTTCCATATCTACTAGGGTACCCCGCCCTGGTCGCGTGTATTGGGACCCCGCGGCGTCGGAATCGCCAAGTTGATCTGGACACCAACGAACGCGGGTTCGTGTCATGACCGTCCTGCAACGTTGGGCTCGAATTTGCTAACCAAATATCCCCCTTAGCCACCGATAGGGTCGGCAAAGGCATACACACCAGCCGTGCGAGTCCCGTGGAAGAGACGGTCCTCAGATTGATGTGGCGCATCTGCCCAAAACAGCATTCTCCGTTGTGGATCGGACGTTGACATCATCCTCGCCGTTCTGCCGAGACGGACATCGCCCGTGCGCCCCCGCGAAGACGACCACGGCTTCTGGTATTTGAACGGGCACCAGGCTCCGCTTCATTTCGCGCGCCATATGTAGTTCGTCTCGCCTGCTGTCTCACGGCCCACGGACGGGGAGGGCGTGCGGTAGCGAGCCTCTTGTCGCCATCTTGTCCTTCCAACACACACCGGCCGGTGTTCGCGGACAGGGCTGGTCGCCGCTCGGGATACGCGAGGCGTCCCGCTGCCAACCATAAATCCCGACTGCCCGTCGGCGGCTAGTTTCATCCGCCCACATTTCCGGCAGGTATTTGTTTCTCCCCTTGGTTGCGATCGGTGCGTGCCTTATACACCCCCTGTTCAGCGTCGAGCTCACAGACGAACAGCTCTCGCAGTGCTTCCACCACCAGCATGCATCTATGCCTCTACTCCCCCGACGTCCTGAGGAATATTTGCGAGCAAGCGTACGAAGGCGGATATGATCCGGATTGTAGGGCGACGGTGGCGGCGCTCGGTGCGACTTGCCGTGCCATCCACCGTGTGGCAGTCAAGGTCCTGTGGAGCAGGCTGTTCAGCTTGCGTGCCCTGGTCAAGTGCATGCCTGCGGAGCTGTGGGCGGAGGACGTCCCAGACGACCTTGATCTCAAGGGCACCATCGTAAGAGGATTTCCCTTGACGGCGTTTGTTCGTAGTTGGCTGATCGTCCGCAGTCCCTTACCCGCCCTCCAGATCCCTCAGAGTGGGATCGCTTCCTGGCCAACGCATCGCTCGTCACGTCGTTCAAAAGATTCGGGCTGGTCCCCGACCTGGATGAGGACACGTACCGCACGCTCTGCCTTTACCGACCGGTGACCTCTCTCCTGCCGAATCTGCGGGAGCTCATATGGGAGGAGCCAGACGCGGACGTCTTCGAGTACGGCTACCAATTTCTTGGGCCCAAACTTACGACGCTACACCTAGGTCAGCCCCCAAGTGACAGCCTGATCCTTCCTATCCTTCGGTCGTTGCACATCAAATGCCCGCTCCTCGCTCACCTATCGGTCCAATGCCGGTCGAGTATGGGGCCCGTGGAAAGGGTCGTCTCCCACTCGGTCACAAACCTCCACCACCTGGAGACGGTGGACATGGCGCTTCCTCTTTTCGACGATGCACTGCTCCACCTGGCTGCGCTCCCAGGGCTGTCTGTGGCGAAGGTCCACCTCCCGCGAGCGGCCGAAGTCCACGACCGCCTTCTCGCCACGACATCTCCCATCTTTCCTTCGATTACTTCCCTTCATATCTCCGCGGTCCGCCTCGAACCGTCGGTGCCACATCTCATCCGTCTGATCACCTCCGAACAACTCTCGGAAGTACGCCTTTCCACCGCTCATGATCCCCCGGCTGCGGCCGTACGCGATTATCTGGCTGCCCTCAGCGCATGTCCAAGCATGAACTTTCTATCCGCCGTTACGATTTCCTCCCCACTTCCCTCCAGCATACCCCTCATGATGTCTTTGAACGCCCTTCCCCCTCTGGACCGCCCAGAATTCATACTGGACGCCTCCGTCTTTGATCCGCTCTTCGTCTGCTCCGAGCTAACGGAGCTCGAAGTGAGCTCCTTCCTGCTCCAGCCGGATGACGAACTCCTCCGTCTGCTGGCCAACGCCTTTCCAAGGTTGCAGTCGTTACGCCTATCGCCCCCGTACAACGCGGGTAGCGTATCGGAGACAACCCTGGCGGGCTTGCTGCCTTTGCTCAGACACTGTCCCGACCTCACCCACCTCGCCGTGCCCCTCGACGCCACGCGCCCCCCACCCGAGGACACCGAATATCTTCCTTTGGGTTCCGCAGAGTCGCAGCTCGTGGCCCTGGACGTCGGGGACTCGCCCATCGCGGCCCCGGACGAGGTGGCTGCGTTCCTCTCCGCGCATTGCACGCACCCGGCCTTCGGTATCCACGCTGCGGGCCTCCACGATGGCGACCACGACCCGGAGCACACGCGTCTGCGCGGAGTGCATAGCGCGATGTGGGACCAGGCCTCGCGGCTTGTCCGGCTGTTCGTCCGGGTGCGAAACCAGGAGCGGACGCGCCGATCTGTATACTACGACTCGGACTACGACGATGGGCCGGTTGAACTGCCGCCATTACAGCTCCAGCTCTCCTGAGCTATTTGTGCGTATACATCGCGTCCACCTGCCTGTGCTGTGTGGCTCATCGAGGTTCAGGACTTGTAGACTGCTTTGTATCGTCATCTGTCACCGATGTATCCCTCCTGTCATGCTACAATGTGCAGTTCCCCGGACCACTCGCGTCGTACTCGTGGTACTATTCGGCGTGATTGATGGGCTTACCGCTCCATCTTATCCGACTCTGTATTGCGCCTCTGGGTAGGTAATAACATGTATACTGTACCCGCCAGACGTTAGGCGAAGCGATGGACCCCTAGGCTAGGGGTTAGACGAGCGTCTAAACCCGAAAAGGAAGGTCATATACTATATAAGGCTGGTCACCTGCCATATATGGTAATCGACCAAGGCCTCGGGGACAGGGGACATCGCCTAACGTCTGGCGGGTACAGTACGTTGTGCTGGAGCTCGGACGGGCGAACTTGCTGACACAAAACCCAGATTTAGGGTTCAGATTCGCCACGCGACATGTGGTCGCGACTCGCACAAACCTCGGGGAACATATTCCCTAGGTTGGCATTATACATGAGCCGAGCAGGAACTGAAGTGCGGGATACAGAACGCAGATAGATTATAGCGGGGATGCACATACCGCTCCATACATATGCTATCGATTCTAAGTGTACAGACAAAACGCGAGGGCTGGATATGTGAAAGCAAAGACGACGACAATATGGAAAAGGAGACTCCTCAGGTCTTCCGACGCTTGGTTTGCCGCTTCGAGGATGCGGCCGCGGTAGTGGTGCTCGTAGGTGTCGAAGATCGCGAGGCCTTGTCTTTCTCAACCTCCTGTATCGCTTCGATACCACGCTTCTGCAATCCGTCGTCAATACCAGCATCCAACAACAGAGGCACACTCGGAACGCGACGCACCTTGCCCTTCGTGCCCTTCGTCTTCACCTCCTCGGCCTGCCGGCCCTCCTGCTCCTTCTCAATCATGCCGAGCAGCGTGTTGCACCGCCGCTGCAGCTCCTGCGGGCTGCGGCTCTTGAAGAACCAGTCGAAGCGGAAGACGGGGAACTCGAGAATGTCCTTCTTGATGCGCTCGTACACGTCCTCCATCTGCATCCCGTAGTAGTTCAGCCGGCAGAGCAGGTACCGGTCTTCCTCCTCCGAGTACACTTTGCCCTTCGTCGTAGGGTAGTTGAGCTCGAGCTCCTGCATCGGGTATCGCACGGACGCGATCTTTTTCGAGAGGAGCGCCTCGAGGTTGGACCGCTTGTTGCGCTTCGCCTCGCCCTCCTCGATGCGGGCCTTGATACGCGGGTACTCGGAGAGCTCCTTCCACTTCTTCTTGAAGACGGGGTAGTAGTCCGCGACCTCTGCTGCGGTCTTGTCCTGGATCTCAGACGCCAGCAGCTCATAGTCATCCGTCCTGAGACAGGGTCAGTAAGATACAATAAGTCGAAGGCTCGGATGTAGGGCTCACCAGCCGTAGGTCTCGAGAGCGCGGACGAATTGCTGGAAGTCTCGCCTGCTCCAGTCCTCGAAGCCCTGGGCGATCAGCTCCTCCTTCTCCTGTTGCTGGTCCTCCGTAAGGGGCTCGGCTGCAGTGTCATCCTCAGTAAACACAGTTTGTACTTGGATAGTACAGGGCACACGTACCGTTGTCGATGACCTCCTGGGCCTGCTTCCGCTCCTCCTCGAGAGTCTCAGGAGTGTCTTCGGGACCTGCGGGCTCTCGAATGGTCGCAGGAATCTCGTTCAACCGCTGTGGCATAGTTAGTTTTGCGTAGCCATGTAGTGTAGGGCTGACCCGATTACCTTGTGCGCCGCGAGCTCCTGTTCTTGCAACTCTGCAAGCCTCGGTGGGAAGAACTGGAAGTCCTGCCTATACGATCGTCAATATATTGTACCCTCTCATAGACACTCTCCATTAGACTCACATCTGAATCTGCTTCGGCGCGCGGGGGATCTTAGGCGCCTTCTCCGTCTTCGACGGGCCCGCGCGCATGGTCTCCTTGAAGTAGCTGTCGACTGAGTAGTTGAGCTTGCGCTCGCGCTTCGAGAGCGAGAGCGGGTTGAACTGCAGCGCCTTGCGCTGCCCGCGGAAGTCCTCGCCCTCCCACTGCTGCACGGACGCCTCTGACTTGAAGTTGCTCAAATCCTCGAACGTGAGGCCCTCGTACTTGCTGTTTAAGATCTGAGTGCGCTCCTCGCCGCGGTGGATGATTGCGTCAATGTCGTCGTTCACCATAAGGCTGCGCGAACGGTTAACGTGCCATGGAGCGGCGATGGATGTGCAACTTACTCGGTGTCTGCGTTTACGATGTGTTCGGCGCCGTGAGCGATCATCTCTAGCAGTTCCTCCTTGTTCGCGGCTATATAATGCGTATTGAGTCGCTGCGCACTGGGAGTCAGTGATTTGAACGCACCTTTCGTAGCCTGCGTGCGGCCCTGCTGAATGACGAGCTGGTCCAGCCTCAACTTTTGCGCTGCGCGCTCGAGCATGCGCTCTTCGACACTACCCTCCGTGATGAAACGGAAGACGTAGACCTGCTTCGTCTGACCGATTCGATGAGCGCGGTCCATAGCTTGGAGATCGGCTTGCGGGTTCCAGTCACTGTCGTAGAGCACGACGATGTCTGCAGTCGTCAAATTGATACCGAGACCGCCGGCACGCGTCGTGAGCAGGAATATGAACTTCTCGCTGTCAGGCTTGTTGTACTCGTCGATGGCCACGATACGGTCCTCGTGAGCAGTGCTACCGTCGATACGGCAGTACTCTACACAGATTGTCAGTACACGCTCGTATCTGAAGAAAAATGTGGACGTACTGTATTGCCGGAAGAGGCAGTAGTCCTCGAGGATGTCAAGCATACGACTCATTTGGCTGAAGATGAGGACACGGGAGCCCTTCGCCTTCATGTTTTGCAGCAGCTTGTCGAGGATGACCATTTTCCCGGAGTTGTCGACGAGGTGCTCGTCGGTGGTGTAGGGCGGCCCAGGCTCCGCGCCGTCGAACAGGTAGGGATGGCAAGTGACCTTGCGCAGCTGCATGACAATGTTCATGAGCCGCGTCTTGCCCTCCTTCTTGCCGGTCAAGCCTAAAGGCACTGCGTCAGTCTCGTGTCCGGGTTATGCCATAGCATACCGACCGTTCACTGCGTCAATATCCTTCTCGAGGACCGAACGGTACCATTTCCGTTGCATCTCGGTGAGACCGACGTAAATGTTGATCTCCTTCTCTGTGATTTTGTTATCAGAGCCAAGTCCTCGCTCTTGTGGATAGAGACCTACTGGGTAGAAGGTTCTTCTCCACATCACTCTTGACACGACGGAGCAGGAACGGCCGGAGAATCTTGTGTAGCGCCTCGACAACCTTCTTGCTCTTCTCATCGTCGCCGTCCCCCTGCGCGTCATCCTTGTGCAGGAAGCTCTCCAAGTCCTCGTAGTCCGAGAAGATCTCGGGGCAGATGAAGTTCAGCAGCGCGAACAGCTCCTTCATGTTGTTCTGCAGCGGCGTGCCCGTGATGAGCAGCCGCCCGCGCGACAGGAACGAGCGCACGATCTTGGACAGGATCGAGTCGACGTTCTTAATGCGGTGCGCCTCGTCGATGACGATGTACTCGAACGAGAACTTCTTCAGCGCGCTCTGCTCGATCAGACATTGCTCGTACGTCGTGATGAGCACGTCGAAGTCCTGCGGGATCAGGCGTGTCGCAATGATCTCCGCGCGCTCCTCCTTGCTGCCGGTCAGGAGCACCGTGCTCACGTCCGGTGTCCAGTGCTCGAATTCTCGTGACCAGTTCTGGAGCGTCGACTTGGGGACGACGACGAGATGAGGGCCGGAGGTGTCACGGTAGTGCTTGAGGTAGGAAAGGAAAGAAATGGTCTGCAGTGTCTTGCCGAGGCCCTGCGGAACAACGCATCAGTACCGCATCGTACTGCAGTGAGATAGTATCTACCATCTCGTCTGCAAGGATACCGTTGAGACCGTTATGGTGTAGAGAGACCATCCAGTTAAGACCCTGTAGTTGGTATGGTCGCATGGTGCCGTTGATGACTGTTGAATGGTCAGCCCTACTTCCCTAACGTTCAGGTTGCGTACAATACGTACAGCTCGGTGACTCCTCGAAAACATATGGTTGGTCGGCGCCGTCTGCGGCGAGCTCGCCGTCCTTCAAGAGTTCCTCATCCTCCTCTTTCTCCGACTTGCGATGACGCGCTCCCTTCTCTTTCTCTCTGCACAGCAACGTGAGCAAATGGGTACCACGTGACACGGGTAACACTTACACGGTCTTTTTCCGCCCGCGACCCTTCGGTTTCGGCTGGGCATCGAGCATGGCGGCATATTCGGGATCCCGCGCTTTCTACAGAGTGCGAGACACGGTCATGGTTTAGCCAAACACAAACGTAGCAGAACGCGTACCTTGATGTCTACGAAGTGCTTGAACAGCTCCGTCTGACCAAGGAGATAGGAATAGCGCTTGACGGCATCTGAGATCTGTTGAGGTGTCAGCGCTCCCGGTCACTAGATACGGGTTCAAGACAAAGGCGACATCTGAGTTCAGCGGTAACAGGGTCGGAGGCCAAGCAGCATAGTAAGCATTGAGACGGCGAAGTGAGGACCGGGGCCGTCAGAGACAGTTGCTTCGCAAGAGGTGGCTAAGATCCCCAGGCCTATGGTTGGATGTTGGAGATTGATATAGTGGGCGGATGTCTTCGGGAGGGTGGTCCTAGTCTAAGCCATAGCGATATCCGCATGCCACAACCCCGAAACGCGACTACTCATTAGGTCCAGCAAATTGTCCAGCAGCCGAGGAAGACAGCGACGTGGCAGGAAAGTCCTCCTCGTTCGTCGCGTGTCACACAATGAGACGGCCAGCGTGCTTGCTTCTTGCGGGGACGGAGGGTATGGGGACAGAGCGAACTCACCTTAGCCTTGTCCATCTCCTGTCGCTTCGCCTGCAGTTGGCCCTCTTCCGCCTTGCGCTTCTGCTTCTTCTTTTGTCGCTCTTCTGAGGCCTGCATTTTCGCCATCTTTGCGGGTGATGAGGGGGCCTCTCCGCCGTCCTGAGGGTATAGCCGTCAGCAACTGCCGGGAAGAAGTACACGCACGCCGCGCAGAGCAACGCGACGCGTCCCACGCGCCGTGGAGCAGGGGGACAAGGATATATTGGTGGCTATATGGCTTGGGACGCGATCGGGTTCCGTTTGCACGCGCGCCGCAGGCATGCGGAGGTGTGCGTGCATGCAAGGAGGTGCTGCTCACCTTCTCGCCCTCGCTGTTCAGCTCGTCCACCTCCATCTCCTCCTCTTCCGCAGCGGCCTCGTCATATTCGCTCTCGCCACCTTCGCTTTCCTGTAAGAAACCTTTGTAAGTATGAGGGGAATATAATCAAAGGACTGCACATACCTGGCGCGAAACGATGTTACTAGGCACGATGTCACTCAGCACATCATCCTCAGCAGGGACTTCTAGATGCTATAGTTCAGGCGTCAGTGGCCGCAAGGGGTGCGGAGGAAGGGAGAGCACGCACCGAGCTCATGTTTGCAGAGAGGGAAGGTGGTGGTACAGGACAGAACAGAGACCGCTCTGCCCGAGACGCGCCACTGGCTAAACCAGTCGCCGTTTGGGGAAGGTGTAACAGTCACGTGTAAGCGTCACATCCTACCAAACTCCCAGCGCGTGGCAGCCACTTTGGCTGGAATTATTTTTGTTCTGGGCACAAGATGCCTGCGCATCGCGGTGAGTCTCGCGCCATATGCACCACATGTTGTTCTAAGGAGGAGGAAAAAACGCTGTAATACATATTTCACATCCAGATCATCGTAGGAATACAGTACTAGAAGGTACAACATGGCTGAGAACGATAGGTAAAAATAACGTGGGTAGCGTAGGTCGGCATAGTGTCGTAAGATCGTCAGTCCATATCCAGTCATACCGCGCACAGCTCCAGGCAAGCGCGGCCGTCTAAGTATCTCCTCACTCCTATGCTAGCCGAGAAGAACGCCTCCTCGTCAGCTCCTTGTCTGTCCCAGAGCCGCCTGAAGCCTTCGCGGGAGCGGCTGAGGCCTTTGATGGGGCTCCTGGGGCACTCGCAGGATCGGCCGCGGCCCACAAAAGAACGCCCGAGGTCTTCGAGGGAGCGGAGGAAACCCTCTGCCTCTGAGCCGAAGGTGGCCGAGCCGGAGCACCTTTCTTCTGCTCGTCCTTCCCGCCCGGCTTCCCGCTCGACTTCGGCCCTTGCTTCGGCCCCGACACCTTCCTTGTCGGTCCGCCTTTCACATTCCCGCTCGTGTTCTTCCCACCCCCACTAGAGACCGGAGGCTTGGGCTTGGGCTTCGACTGGGATTGCTCGGGCTTCGGCTTCGACCTCGGTTTCTCTGGCTGCGATTGGGGTTGCTTCGGCTGCGACTGAGTTTGCTTCGGTTGCGGCCTCGGCTGCTCGGGCGCGACAGCCCAGTCCGGATTCTCCTCGGTGTGCACGCGCACGCGCTGCGGCTTGTCCGGCAGAGGTCCGACGTACACGTCTGCGGGATCGTCCAGGTCGGACGCATGAATTGGTGCAGGCGCCACGGGGGCGTGAGTCGGCGCAGGAGCCACGGGAACATGGGTTGGTGCAGGAACCCGGCCGACGGCAACGTCGAGGAGTGGGACCGGACATGCTGCAACGTCCAGAAGTGTAAGACATAGAGTGCGCTCGATCTCGGGACAGTCGGCGACTGGGGGCGAGACAGTCGCAGTGGGGTTTGTGTCGAGGGGCGGGGCCGGTTCGATGATTACAGAGGGGACCTCGTAGGCGACGGGAGGTAGGAGGATCGGCGGCGGGACCTCGCAGGGAACGGGTAGTCGGATGACATCCAGCGTTTCTGTCCCAGCACATTCGCGATATGTGAGCACACTGACGGAACCATCGCGAACAAGGGTGAACTCCGCTTTCTGCTGCGCCACCTCCGGTGCGCCCAAGAGACCATCATGTGCGGTCACAGTCTCAGGTTGGGGGACGCGTTCCTGTTCCACCTCGCAGTCCTCACGTTCGACGGTCGTCCAATCAAGTTCATGTTCGACGTCCGAGACCGATATGACCTGCTCCCCTTGCGGCTCAACCTCTCCGACGAGAAGCGCAGATTCCATGATGCGGTCGTCGACACCAACGGGATCGCTCCCAGCCAATATATCGACCGCTTCCGCTGCAACAGTAATTGACTCTTCGCAGGGCTGCTCCAGGACTTGAATGGATACGGTGGCAACGTCCTCGCAAGGACTAGGAATATCCTCTTCGACCGTGATTACTTCAGCAGTGCTTTCCGCGAGCACAAGGTCACTCGAATGCGCATCTGACCCAGCAGTGTCCCGAGTGTGAATGTCCGCGGCCGGATCGTCGCTCTGAACGGCTGCAAGAGATTCCTCTTGAACCTCTTCGGCGATATCATCGGGACGCAAATCGACACAATGTGTGGCAGTAGCAAGAACGGCGACAGAAGCGGCAGAGGGTTGTAGAGAGTCGTCGCCAGCTTCAAGACCAGCGGTGACAGGGAGCGCAGGGAGCAGTAGGAAGCTAAGAGAGGCATCGAACGCAATGTCGATTGCTTGCTCCGCACCGACGGACGCACTTGCCAGACCACCTGCGTTAGGCTGCTCGCTTCCGAGAATGTCGGCTTCATCAGAGATATCAGCGACAGGAGTGAGGTCTGGGATGGGGAGGGACTCGACGTCATGCTCGGTGCTCTCCGCCTGGTCGACTTGACTTTCCGGAGCTTCGTGCTCCGTTCGTGGGCTTTGGGCCTGCTCGACTGGATAATGGCAGTTTACATCAGCGAGGGTAGGTCTAGCGTCGTCCACGAATTCTTCCGGCGAGGTAATCTCAGTGGGCACCTCTACGATGTCATCTTCTGGAATGCGTGGACCTTCGCCATCTAGTGTGACAGTCGGTGCGCCATCATGGGAGTCAACCTGCGAAGCTCCATCGGAGGTGCTTGCGCCGTCCTCAGAAGAATCCAAGTCCGCCGAAGGTGCCTTTGGAAACCACGTGAACATACGCGTACACGAGATCATATAAACTTACGTACCGATGTAGAGGATATCTTGGTGATGCCCTCCATTTCCGGTTGAAGTGACGTCGCATCCGAGGAGTAGGAGTTAACAGTTTGAACGGACGATCGTAGAACCTCCTTCGTAGAACGAAGAAGGGGGCTAGAGAGGGAGGCTATAGTCCTGTATAGCTCCAGGGAAAGCGTAACAACATACTAGAGTGGCGTGCAGCTTGATTAGATGCATGATGTAGGTTATCGAGCTGCGGGACGTACATAGGTCATGAACGAGATCAAAATCGCGAGAGAAACGCCGAGATACACCCTCCCAGCATCGAGCGAGTTCGGAGTGAACGCCTCTGTGACATCCAAGGGTAGCGCAGGGAGGTCAATGTACTGGATATGTTTGAAGCCGTACATGGCGGCGTCAGGGTGCATGCTCCGGGGGAGCACGAGGAAGAGGAGTGGGGTGAGGCGAGATGAGATCAACGTGGTGACACCGTGGGGGATGGGAGAAGAGAAGATGAAGATGGGGGCTGAAGGGTATCGCAAGAAGAGGGTATCTGGAGAAGAAGAGACTTTGGCGGACAAGCGCAGTGGCCCTGGTAGTCAGCGCAGCGACCGAACCGTTCAAAGCTCAACGAGTCCAAGGTCCCTCCACACTCAGATCGCCTTTCTTGTGTCCTTGGCGCCCGTCGGGATCTGCCGACGGTCCCGGACCGCTCTTCCGGGATATATACCGGCTCCGCTAAACTTTGCAGCAACCGTGGTTGTCCGTCTTCCTCTCGCTCGGAATCGCAAGCCTCAACTGATTCAGTCTACGGCCTGTGTTACCAAGTTGATACCGTTGATTGCGCTCTCCAAGAAGCTAAGTTGCCGACTCACACAGAGCCAGGGGAAATCGGCCAGGTACGGGGCAATTGCGAGCTTAAGTATTCATCGAAGTCTTCCGTTCGTATTTCTAGTGCTCTAAGAGCCTTCCTTCTTCCCATAAGAAGGTGCAGCTGCAGAAATGAGCACCTCTCGGGAGATCCACACTGCAAGGATTGGCTTCCAGAGGGTTGTATGTTGCGGTGTCATGCGGGGTAGCGGTGGTCGATCGTGCCTGCCCGATCGTCTGAATCTCCTCCGCACGCTGCGGGTGCGTATAGCGACGCCACCGACGTCAACGCGCTCATGGAGACACGAACCGTCGTTCAGGCTTTCTTCTCCTGCTCGCTCATACTCGTCTCATGTGGCGGACACGGTAGCTTTCTGACATACCTCTGCCACCATGGCAGACTCTGCGCTCCTCTTCGTCTGGCACCTGCTGCTCTACGTCCTTTCTGCTTTCTTGTCATACCTCCTGAACTACCCGATCAATGGACAACATCTCCGAATCGGACGTCTCTCCCTGGCCGCTGCTTATGACATATCTTACGAAGGAACGCTATACGACAAAGCCTACTCGTTCAAATACACAACAGCCTCTATCTCCTGGCGATTCTTCTTCCCGCGCTCCGACAACCCGCGCTGGCTTACCATCACCGCGCGCGACATCCTCTATACCTCCTCCAGCGGCGACATATCCACCACGACGCTCGAAACCGTCCTCTGGTTCTTCCCCTTCCTCTTCCGTTTCACTGCTGGTCCATGGGCGAACGTGAGTGTCGACGGCCTACGCATCCGCGTGCAGAAGAGCACAGCGACACCGTACTGGATCCAAGTCATGCGCGAGACCCTTGTCAGCACGTTCCTCACGGGCGAGTTCCTCCGCGCGGACGTCTTCCGCACCACCGTCCGCTTCGCCGGCCTCTCCGAGCACCCAGACGACAAACCAGCCGCGTACACCGACCCCAACATCGCGCCTTTGGACCCGCGCTCCTCCACAGAAACAGAGAAGGAGAGCGGAGATAGAAGCGATGACGATGCGGCAGAGGACAATGACGACGAACCCTGCGGGTGCTGCGCGCCCGGAAGCGCCGCCAAGTCCAACGGCATCTCGACATACGCGCACCAGGAGGAGGCGGACGCGTTCGCGCGCGCGGACGAGAACAAGACAGGCCCGCTGCGCCCGCAAGATGAAGACGAAGTGCGCTTTGGGGCGCTCGCGCGGCGGGTGCACATCAACGACACGCAAGGCCGGATATGCACGTTTGGGAGCATCGACGCGCAGCTGCGGAGGAACTGGGCAGCGGACCGGGGGAGCTTCGCGATGGTCGCGGAGGAGTGCCGCTGGGTGCGAGTGCATTTTCCGTTCGAGTGCGTCGCCGCGCGAGGGTGGTATGCGTAAGTCCTTCTACTCATTAGAATTTGCTAGCAGTCCACGCTGACGGCTGAGCGGATTTACAGGCAAATGCTCACATCGCTGCTGCACTTCCCGATCGACCTTGTTCGCACGTTTAACGACCCGAGCAGCAGCATAAACCTATACGTCTCGCGCCTCGACGTCACCTTTGACTCTTTCCGGGTGAGTCCCAGTGCAGCTCGACGCATTGCGATCCCGCTCATCGCGTTTCCCCCAGATCCGCGACGCGGAACTCGTACGCCAGGCCTTCGTGCTCGCCCGCGAAAAAACTATCACGAGCAACATAGCTTGGAACGATGTTTTCTTCGACGCGCTTGCGGACGCGCTGTCGCTCCGCTGACCCGATGTTTACGACCCTCATGCAGTGCTACGATACACGCTATGCAGCTCCTGGAGCTCGGACCACCCCGTGCTAGACGGTCGCACATCGCTATATCTTTATTGAGACTGCATAGATATACCATCGGACTTTAAGAAGGATGTATTGTAGCTTGCCACGAATTGTAGCGTCGTCGTACAGTCCTATCCACAGCTTCTTCTGCTTGGTTGTAGATTTTGTCCACGAACGGTATCCACCGCATGGGTCCCATGCCCGCACGATGCATTGATAAAGCCCGAGAGATAAAGAAAATAACGACCTATCAACCAGAAGAACTAGCAGGGTCCAGAGCTATGTACCGCGACAGTGTCCGAGTAGCACTCCTCCTTCACATCGCCTCCCCAGGCTGTTAAACCCACCAACTGTCAGCACTTCCCGACACATCGTACAGATTAACTACGCACCTGGACGTTCGACATCGTCGACACCGTCATCACCGACAGCCTCTCCTGCCCATGCGGCGCCAACAGCTCCGGGTCCGCAAACGGATTCACCGCGCCCTCCACCCCACGCACACTCCCCGGGCTCACGGGCTCCGCAGGCGTCTTCAGCGACTCCTCCGCCGCGGCCGCGTGCGCGCCCATCGTCGGGTCCGCGAACGGGTCCACCGCCGCGCCCATCATCATCGCCTCCGCGCTCAGGCTCGAGTGGCCCCCGCCGCGCACGACGCTCGCCACCGAGCTCACCATCGTCTCGCGCATGCGCGGCTCGTTCCTTCGACTCCCCACAACCTCTGTGCCTGCCGTGGCCTCGACGTCCGCGTCCGCGTCTGCGGAGAAGCCGGAGTGCTCGGTCGGGACGGGGCTGATGGGCATCCCGCCGCCGCTCCCTGTCGACGTCGAGATCATGCTCGGGAACAGCTCGCCGCGGCCCGCGGTCAGGCCCGAGCCGCCGCCGACGTACGACATCTCCGGGAGCGTCGGCGCGCGCGCCGAGGAGTTTGTGTTTATCGGGGCGGGGGCGCGGCGCGGGGAGTCGGGGAGGATCGAGGGTGAGCGCGGAACGTAGGACTGGTACGAGATGCCGCCGCCCATGAAGGGGCGGTTGGCGCGGCGGCGCGCGCGGAGGCGGAGTGCGAGGAAGGCGAGGAGCGCGAGGAAGGCGAGGCCGCCGATGAGCCCGCCGACGATCGCGCCTGTTTGGGCGGACGAGGAGCCCCTGTTTTAGGGGTGTATGAGCGAAGTGCGGGTGAAAGTATGTGAGAGATGGGAGATGCGTACGAAGAGGACGATGCGGCGGTGACGCTGGTCGGCGCGGGCAGGAGCGTCGAGGTGACGAGTCTCGTGCTTGTGGAGAGCTGGAACGACGTCGACGTGAGCCCGTTCGAGACGATCGTCACGGGTATCGTGAACGTCGCTGCGCTCGTTGAGGTGGTCACTACCGGAGTCGTGGGAGCATTGTCAGCTGCCTTTTGCCCTACCGGGCGAGTACTATAAGGAGTTGGATGAGTATACTGACGATGTGGACATGTAGAGGGAGAGGACGTACATGACGGCCGTCGGCGCCGACGACGAAGCCGCACCGTTATTACCATCGTCTACAGAGGTAGCAGAAGCGGTGGGCTGGGCGTCGGCGCTCTGTGAGTCGGTCGCGGCACCGCTACTCGCGGTGGCGGTCGCGCCCCCCTTCGCGTCTGTTGCAGTCGCAGTAGCTGCAGCAGTGTCTGTGTTGCCAGCGCCGCCGTTGCCGGTCCCTGCAGCAGCCGTGGTGTTGCCAAAGCCCGCGCTGTTACCTGCAGCAGGGTCCGTGCCGTTGCCTGCAGTCGCGTTGTTTCCGCTCCCAGTCGTGCCTTGGTCTGCGGCCGAGCTTGTGGGGATGGCTTGGTTGGCCGTGGGGGATACGCCGGCTGCCGAGGTTGTCGGGGCAGCTGCCGCTCTGCTCGAAGCATCCTGAGCGCCTGTCTTGCTTCCAGCTGTGGGAGTCGCAGCTTGAGAGTCCGACTTGGCAGTCTTGGTGGCGTTGCTATCTGCAGCAGTCGAAGGCGTGTCGGAAGGCGCACCGGCAGCAGAAGAGACGGGGGCGGGATCCGGCTGTGCGCTAGTTCGAGACGTGCCGCTGTTAAGGTGAGTTGCAGCGTATACTCCAGCGAGTACTCACGTTATAGGAACCGCAGACAGCCCAGAGCTAGACGCTGTTGCCGCTGCACCTCCACTCCCACTGGCGCTCCCACTGGCAGCCGCAGAGCCTGTCGTAGTCGGAATGGGATCCGGCTGCGCGCTAGTTTGGATTATGCCGCTGTTAAAGTGAGTTACAGAGTGTATTCAGGCAGGTGCTCACGTTATAGGAACTGCAGTTAACCCAGTGCTGGATGGCGTTGCCACTGCACCCCCACTACCACTGGCAGCCGCGGACCCGCCGGCAGATGACGTTGGTACGGCCGCCGAAGTCGATGGTTCGTCACTAGCAGATGGGATCGCGGATGGACTAGCTGCTGCCGAGGATGAGCTGGAAGGCCCAGCCGCGCTGGTCGTCGGGACCTGCGATGTCGACTCTGAAGTAGACGTTGGCTGTGGCGAGCTGCTGGGCGTGCTCGTCGCGTCCGTAGGTATCGCCGCCGAAGTCACTTGCAGTCCCGTTGGTGACAGACCCGTAGGCGTAGGCGTGCTTTCCGTCGCAGCCGCAGATGAAGGGTCCACCACCACTGTTACGGCGGTGGGAATCGAGAGCCCTCCAGGAGAAGAGACAGAAGCAGAAGCAGAAGACGGAGTCGCCGCCACTGACGTTACCGGGATCGAGGTCGGTACCGCTGAAGAAGACAAAGTCGAGGGTATCGGTGCGGAAGGCGAAGACGCATCGCTGCTGCTCGCGCTTGTGGTCGGTACTGCCGAAGTCGCAGAAGATGCCGCCGCCGAAGATGATGCCGCCGAAGATGACGCCGACAAAGAGGTAGCGGCATCAGAGGTCGTGGGTATAGCGGAGGTCGAAGGAACGGCAGAAGTTGTGGACGGTAGCACGGACGTAACGGCCTCGCTTGACTGGGGGGAAGACGCCGCTTCCGAGGTTGAAAGGACGGTGGCTGAGCTCTCTGAGACAGCGGTCGTGAGAGCAGGGGATGAGGAACTTGCAGCAGAAGATGAAGACGTCACAGACGATGAAGCAGCAGGGCTAGCCTGCGCTGTAGATAACCCTGTGTGGAGGAAGGAAAGTCTTGTTGAGCAATGTGCTATATGGAGTTGGTACTGCAGTCTCGCCACCGGCGCTGCCATTCTTCCAACAAACAAAGTCTGCCGTATGACAAGCAACCACAAACGGCACACCTTAACGATATCCGCGCCTTATACACCGCACCGCTGAGGTGCAAATCCCTGCTAGCTGGCGACGAGACTACAACTGTGGCTGAGAACACAAACGAAACGCTTGGCAATCTGTCAGCTTTCCGCAATTATGATCTCACAAAGAAAAGGTAGCACTCACCACCTGACGAGCTACCAACCGAAGAAAGGGCATCCGCACGCTTCAACGCGGGATCCCGGATTAAAGGAGCCATAAGAGAAGAGAAGAAAGAAAGAGCGAGGCACGATGCTGACGGTCAGGGAGCAAAGTGCATGACGAGCGGGGGGCACAGTTCAGGCTGATACATATCAGGGCGGATTCGACGCCCGGACGCGGAAGGGTGCGAACACGGGGCTGATGGTCGCTGGGACGGTCGTTGCACATAGTGATGCCTTCCGTGCGGAAGTGTTCACCAGAGTTGGAAATGCACCGGTTTTGCGTTTTGACTGATGCGTTCACGAATTCGACGAGTCGACAGTATGCATATACGCTACTTTGCAGAGAACAGAGTCCAACGCGCACCTATACGGAGTGGTGTATGGACGAGCGGTACGTGACGCGATCGTGAAACGACGGCAGGGAACTGCGCAACTGGCAGTTGCTGTCCGGACACGTCTGGAGTCTGGACATCCAGGGGTCCGCCGGCCTTTGCCAGCCAATCGGAGAGGTTCCGCAGCCTCCGAAACTCAGATCCCGCTCTGCGACCATTTAGATTAGATAGGCGCTCATGCATCAAAGTCCGTCATACTACTGAACGCTTCGGCTACTAAAATTCGGGAGGTTGTGTATGAGCCCCGATAAGTGTATAGGTCCTCGAATGCCGGTCTCTCCAAGCCAGCGGATATTAATCGTTAGCTGATTTCATCGCGAAATCGTCAAATTGTGCAGAGCTGAACCCACCAGCGTACAGACCAGTGCAGCAGTGCTTGATGAATGCGCACCTCCACTGATCCCCGCCATCACTCGCCCGACGCCCGCCCGTCAGCGTACGGGCTGTACGATCTCCTCTATCCAACCCCGCAAAACCACCGTGGCTGCACTAACGCATCCCCCCACCGTGCGCACACGCCATTGCACGCGCCTCCTTCTTACGTGTGCACGCACCCCGAAGCTGATTCCGTCCCATGCACGCTGCACGCTGCATCAAAGTCACGGTGCATCACTGGTCTCAGGCGTGCGGAACAGTCCGCCGTACCTGTGCAGTGTGTGGTGTGCTTACATATCCCAAGGGTGCGGCCCGACTGCCAATCGCAGCGTGCCGTTCACGCGGCGAGGCGCGGTGGGCAGCGTGCTTGGGCTGCCGGGCAAGCTGCCACCCGCGGGCGCCCAGAAGCACCCACAACGCACGGCGCGCGGCGCGATCAGGGCCCTCCGCGGGGTCCTCGTCCCGAGGCCGCCTGAGGCACCGAGGCGGGCTATTATCGTGAGTGCGGCGTGTGGGTTAGCTCAGGCTGTTATCTTGCTCGAATGTGATATGAGCGGAAGAGTTTATAAACACGAGGAAGGCGATTGCAGATTATGGGAGCGTACACTATGCAACACATGTCGGAACCGGCAGGCAGTCGTATCTCGAATCCGAAGGCAGCCAAACGACTAAACGAAGAACGATGCAAACAGTCCAGACGAAGCGACTCAGCTAAAAAGACAGCCTTTGGATGGTGGAGGGAGGCAAGGAGGGCGCGGGCGACGCGGCGCGTACGTATGCGTATGCGTATGCCTGCCGCGGCGGGTACTATTCCAGGATATAGAGTACAGATTGAGGTTCCGGCGTGCACAAGAGTCCGGCGCACGGCATAGGCCTACACGCGCGCGCGTCCACGGGTATGGGCGTAAGTTCATGTGCGTGCGTGCGGGGTCGACGAGCAGGATGTCGAAGCGCGTATAGTTCGCGATGCGATCAGTCGAACACCCTCGGAGGCATGGAAGGCGAAGGCGCACGCACATGATGGCGTGCACGGCGCAGCGGTGCGGCTGGCTGGCGGGACGCCGAAGATAGAGACAGGGGAGGGCCCGCGGGATCTCGCATCACATCAGCGAGGATGACTTTAGGTTCGCTGTCAGGATGCTGTCGCGGACTGGGGGCGGGCGCTGGACGTCAGACGCGAGCGGGCGGAGCGCGGGTGGGGCGGGAGACGCACCTCTTGAGATTATGGTATGTGTCCTCCGGGTATCGGTGACGGATGTCAAGTGGACTGGGGGACGTGCGGTCAGATTGCGTGGTTCGCGATGTAGAGGGGAAATGCGGTGTGGACGTACTATAAATTTCTCTGTCCTTGTTCGGGGTCAACTTCTGGTGTATTATGCTAAATCGGTTGTGGAACCCTGCACCTCGGGTCAGTCTCGCCTGGATGGGGTCAAACGGACGAGCACTTACAATGTGTAATCGTCGCGAAATCGTTTGGGTGGTCGTACGTCAGGTAGTGCTGTAGCCGCACGCCGTCCTCCAGCTTCTTCTTGAGCAGGTCGATTTTGTTCAGGAAGAGCACGATGTTGACGTGCGCGAGGAGCTTGTTCTCGACCACCGACTTCCACAGCTGGAACGAGTCCTCCAGGCGGTTCACCGACGGGTCCTGTGCGCCAGCCCGTCGCTCTCAGAGCACCCATCCCTATGTACACTCCGGGACGTACCTCGGCGAGCATCTGGTCGAACGCGCTAATGGGCGCCAGGAAGATAATTGCGTTCACTGCAAGGCACGACACAATCCGTAAGTACCGCTGCGCGAAGATGCTCGCCCGGTAACTAAAGAACACCTACCGTCGTCAAAATACGGCGCCCACGCCTGCCGCTGATTCCGCGCGCCGCCGACGTCGTAGATCTTCCACTCCACGCCGCGCCACTCGCTGTCCTTCGCCAGCGAGAAGGTGTGCTCGACGACGCCCGTCGTCTTCAGCCGCGCTTTCAGCACGTCGTCTGCGGCCGGCGAGCGGGGTCAGCCGCTGCTCGTATGCGGAATACACGTACCCTGCGGGGGAAGCGGGGAGAGACTGACCGTCTGTGGGGAAGTACATCTTCGCCGTTACTCGGGTGATCTCTTCGAGAAAACTGCACGGCGCCGCCGATCAGTCCGGAGTTCACGACGCTCAAGAGCCCGCACGCCCGGCGGGGGATGGTGAAATCACTTACAACCCGCTGCTCTCCTCCAGCCGTATTTGTTTCTCCTCTAATCGGCGCCGGACGCGCGGGTCGCGCCAGAGCTCCTTCATCGTCTCCGCGCTGCGGTTGAGCGTGTGCACCGGGTCGTTCGGGTCCTCCCACCAGCCCTTGACCTCGCCCGAGAGCGGCGTCTTCTGGCTCTGCACTTTTCCGAGGTTCGTGAAGTGCCGCCGCCAGCTCGAGCCCGTGCGCACAGCGAGCTCGTCCGTTGGGTTGCTCATGAACGACGGTGTGGGCGACGTCGGCGAGAGCTGCGACGAGAGCGGGTGGCCGTGGGACGAGGAGGAGAACGAGGAGTAGCCGTAGGAGGACGACGAGGTGGACGGGCTCGTGGAGAGCGGTGGGGGAGGCGGGATGGTGATGCGGGGCGCTGGCCGCCCGGCGTGGAAGGAGGTCGTGGAGTGGGCGTGGTGCAGGTTGCGGGGAGCTTCCGGGAAAGATGAGCTGGCGGGGAGGTGCGTGGCTTCCTGTTCGGCGTTGTCCTCAGGGTCGGAGAGAACGGTGATCAGGCGCTGTTCGAGGTCCATGAGCGGTGCGAGTCGGTGGCGGTAGTACTCGTAGTTCGGCTGTGAGCCCGCGAGCGAGGAGGATGGCCGTTCGGGGCCGCTGATAATGATAGAGGCCGGCTCAGAGGAGTCGCCATAGTCGTCGTCATCGAGGCCGTTGTTTTCCTCCGGCGCGATCGCCTCGAGGATCCTGTACGGGCGCAAAGAAAGCCAGTAAGCACAAGCTAGGACTAATGGCAGACGTAAATGAGCGCACCTGCGGACAGAGCGGACGAGGTTGAGGTAGATAACAAAGCGCCACGCCAGTCGCTCCTGGCGGAACTCAGCAGGTGTGTGCAAGAGTTGGAATTCTGAAGAGAGGATAAGAGGTGAGCGGGTTGCCAGCAGAACACGGCGCAGCGTGGGGTGGTATCGGCGGTGCCAGGCGGAGAAAGGACCCGATAGTTGGTCAGGGGGCGGTGAGCTAATGATATTCAGACGCATATATCCACACTGCCGCATACAGTTCGAAGCTCAGGTAATCCCGCGGGCTTCCTTGGAGCATAACACGGGCGCAGCTTCTCACAGAGAGCGCACGGGCCAGGTGCAGCGGCCCCGACGCGCGGTCTCGCTTGTGGGCCCACCGACCGTCCCACTCCGATCGGGGTCGGGCGCTTAGCAATCGTACCGATGGATCGCGGAGCAAGAAAGGACGATCATAGTTTCTAGCTGTGTACGTGACAGGTGAGAAGGAGAAACGGCCGGGTTGGACAGGACGACGCGATGCTGGGGTGGTGGGAGCCCACTCACCTCAGTTCCGCGTAAACCTTGTACGGGTGGTCCGAGCGTCCTCGGAGGGACTTTGCATGACACACGGGATGCAATATAATGCCAGATTGCAGCAGCAGACAGCTTTCCGTGGGACGCGCCGATACCGCCTCAGGCCGGGGCGTATAACACCGAGCGGGACTCACGTTTCAAGGTCGTGCTCTTCCCGCTCTCGCTCTGGCCGAGCAGGAGGACCTTGACGGTCTTCTTCCGGCGGCGGTTCTTGTCGTCGTGTCTGAGCATGCGGTCGATATTGTCGCTGCGCTTCTTCGCTTCCTCCTCTCGCTTGAGGCGTGCCTCGCGCTGCTCTGGCGTCTCATCCTCTGGGGGCTGGAGGAGAGCCCTGAAGGGGTCCGAGGAGGCACGTTGGCGGGAGGTGGACGGGGGCGGCTGGGCTTGAGGGCGCGGCGCCATCGCGCGATGAGCTGTGGGGGACGGGAGAGAGGGGCGTGCGGGGAGGCTGAGGGACGAAGGAAGAGTGGCGGAAGAGGCAAGCGGTATGTGACAGACGAGCGCTCGCTAGCGGAAAAAGTCGAGTGTGAGAAGAGGGAGAGCAGGAATTCTGGAAGACGGCGAGTGGAAGGGGGCAAGGAACGCACGCGTGTGGCTTGGGAAACAGTGCACGAGCGCGTCCGTCTGTCCTCGCCGCCCTCGCCTCCTCCCACTCCCCCGCGCGCGCACGCGACGGACGATGCTGATCCGGCGCGAGGGCCTAAACGCTCGCTATCAGTCCTCCCCCGACCGCGCCGCACGACTCCGGCAGCCTCGCACAGCTCTCGCCCATCGCCCTCCGTCTCCGAGTCCGACCTCGACGCGATCTGCATCGGCGCGTCTCTTGGCTGTCTCGCCTCAGACGCGCGTCATCGCGTCCTCCTCCTGACGCCGACGTCGCTCCCGCCCATGGCTGATCTGCACTCTCTCGCCGCCCGGCTTCCGGTCTGGACGCGTGCTCCTCTGAATCCTGCTAAACCGTCGCCTGAGGCGGCCGTGCAGCAGAACAGCCCTCTCTGGCCGATAGCAGCCTTCTAGAACGCACATGGCGGGGGCATGACTTGGAACGCGCCGCCCGACATACGGTTCGCAGTTCCACCGAGCGTTCTTCCCTCGCGCCCCCCGTATGTAAGCGTCCGGGACCAGTCCTTCCCTCATCCGGCCAAAATGTATTGCATTACGGGGGCCCTTCTCTCGGCGCCGTACCCGTCCAAACCCACTGCCCTAGTCCTCCTCGCCGCGAAATCCGGTCGCATCTCATCCCGGGACTCCTGCGCCCGCCGACGCGCGTGGCCCCTCCTCTGCGCGTCAAGCTCTATCGCGATGTCGACGTAAGTCCCGGACTGTATCTCATGCCTCTCCCCCAGCCTATAGTGCGTCCCAGGCACCCTCTCGCACGTCACCGCCGCACGTACAATGGCAGCATCTGATTCCAGCGACGCCTTCTGCCCGGCGCCCTGGCCGCGTTCAATACAGTGCGTGTCCCTGTCCAGTCAGGTCCTCGCATCGTCCCGAGCCCAGCCGCGCAGAATCTTCCGATGTGCGGGGTCTGTAGGTGCATTATGCCCCCGGTACGCGGATTTCCATAGCAACTGGGCCATTTCCCGGCGCCAGGGACGAGCGATAGGTCCCGAGCAGGTGCCGTCAGTGCAGACCTTCGACGGAGAAGGACCTCTCTGTTTGGACGACTGGCAGGGATGTGCCCCGGCTCCCACGCCGAACGAGCACACCAGAGCGGGAGATCCGAGTCTGTCACGCCGCCGTGTCCAACAAAAGACGACGCTGAAGGTTCAGAAGCATCCGTGTGCGCATGGCCAGCTCTGCCGCAACACGCCGCGGACCCCTCACCGCGGACATCGCGCGGGCTCAGAACGGCAGCCGCGCCTTCCAGCTCCATCGATATCCCAGCGGCCGCAAACGTGCGCCCGCCCATGTACTTCCGCTGGAAACCCAGCGCGTCCGCTCTCTTCGTGCATCCTGCGAGGCACACGCAGTTCAACCTACACACGTACGTCGAGTACGTGTGTGGCGCACGCTCGCCGTCCGCAGCCCGCGCACATCGCCCGGCGAGAATACGTACATGGGCATCTGCACCGACGCGCCGACCAATCTAGTCACCGGTGGCGGCGCCCAAATTGGAATATCACCCAAGTACGGTGCGTCGCGCATCATCGACTCCCTCCTCTCCGTCCTCACACGGCAGCGTTCGCGCATCGAGCCGCAGAACGCGAGCGAAGTCGGGTGCCCTGCGCGCCGCAGCACATGGGCGCGCGGGCACGTTCTGGCTGGCTTCGCGCACGCGTACGTCACAGTCGGCGGTCGCGCCGGGCGGCTTCCCGCGCCCGTCGCGCCGCGCTCATCTGACCACCCGCGCCGCGCGCCCTCTTTCCATTTCGCCCTTTCTCGCGAGTCGGCTCGCGCGTCGCGTACCGGCACACGTCCGGCGGGCGCGCCCATCCCGCGCCCGTCGGCGAGTGGCACCACGCAGTCTTCGCACTCCTCCGGGCGGTCGTCGGCTACAGCCGGCTTCGTACACGCCGAGCGGCCATGAAATTCTGCGTCAACTTCTGCCCGTTGGCCTCGACGAGACCACTCTATGCCAAGGAAGACTAGGCGTAGAACGTCATAACCAACCTACGATGGAGCGCGGAGAAGGTGAGAGCGGAAGCACAAGCAGTCTATACCGCGCCCCAGCCAGAGCTAGCTGATGTCCGAGTTCGCGCCCTACGTGGGGCCGCAGGTCTAATCCTGGCCGCAGCCAGCCTTCGCGGGGCTCGCACATCCGCCGCACGCGCACAGGCCCCCGCACAAGTCGCGCGCGAAGCCCGATATTGAGCGGACTCGGTGCGCGAAGGCTGATGGCACCCTCCGCTCGCCTCGGAAAGCGTATCTGGGGCGGGCCGTGCGATCGGATGGCTCGCGCGACCCGCGCGCACACTGTAACGCTCCGTGCTCGGTGGGCGGGGGCGCGGCGGGGTGAGTTCAGTCGACGGGCTGTCTGTCGAGCAGGCCTCTCTGTGGCCCCCAGCCTGCGGGTGTAGAGTGTATACATACGCACGACTGCTGCTTGGACCATCAAAGAGACGCGTCCGGCGACGGGCGGCCCTGGCGTCCAGCTGCACTTCTGCGGTACCTCCGATCTGATGATGCGGTGGCTGTTCGGTCCTGTACCTTGCGGCTTTCATTACTTCGTTCCCCACCACACTCGCTGACGATGCACGCATGACCCACAGATCGTTGCGCACAAGGCCGCAAGCAGCACATACGGCGATATTCCCAGCTGCACGTCACCCGCCGCCGTGTGTGCGAGCCATCGAGGCCTGACGTCTTCGCGTGCGGGTGCAATGAACCTACGACAGAGCCCGGGTGGGCATCTCCCGCGAAAGACCCCCCTCCCGTCCGGGGGAGCCCGGCTGCCGAATGCCCTCAGCACCGAGTGAGTGCGGCGCCTCCGCTCCCCGTCTGCGGACCGGCGCCGTCATGCAGCAGCTGCAGTCACATCTGATGCAGCAGGCCCGGGTCTCGAGCTTGTCCTACAGCACGCAGCGGGCGCGTTCCTGGCCCGGCCAGCAGGAATGCGGCACCTGGCAGCACTGTATGGGCGCACTAGTGGCCGGTTACGGGGCTTCGAGAGCATCTGACCCACTGGGAGACAATCCTCCGCCGGAGTCCGCCAGACTGTGATGGCAGACTCACGTGAGCGATAATCAGGGAGATAACAGGAGGCACCTACCTTTTGAGGCAGGTAAGTCGAGATAAACCCGTAATCAAGCGCCCTCCTACCGGGCGCTACTGAACTCATTATGGGCGGTGGAAATGCAAGTAAATAATAATCAGAAAGATTCTGCACGCGCGCGGGAGTATATAATCCTTTCCTGAACGTCAATAAGGGTGAGCGCAGTGCCCGCGTTGCTCGCGCGAAGTCGCGCGAGGTATACGAGGTAACTGCGACCTCGCGACGCGCGGCGCGCGAGGCGCGACTTCGTGCGCAATGCGCGTGCCCCCCCAAACATGGTTATCACGCGCGCGTCCCTAAAAACTGCTTCAGAACCATGTTTAAAGTATTATCACTCTCAAATAGAAGCTGTACAAGTATGAGCACCGTTATAACATCCCTCGCAAGTTAATAAGATTAGTAGTAAGGTTTTACTCCTCCTAGTACCTCTCTATGGCTTCAAACCTGTCCCAAATATTATATAAATGTGCACAAATCTTATAATTTGAGGTTGCGAGCACCACTGTGCTTGTTTTACGATGTCTAACTAGCCAGGAGTAGATACTACAGTGTTCTCGCCGGGAGTATGAACGCGAGGCGCCCAGTGGAGGCATTACCATATCAGGGCGTTTACGGCGCTTACATTACTATCTGGCCACCGGTATATAGGAGGCGCCGAGCGCCGGCTGCCAGAGTCTGCCGGAAAGTCGCAGTCCCAGCGGGTCAGATGGTTTGGGGGCTTCCGACCCTGGCCGCAGGCATGGCATCGCGCATTCCGTCTGGCTGGTGGGCAGCAGGTGCCAGGCGGCGGTTCGCGCGGGATGCTGGGGCGAGGGCTTCTGTGCGCGGGATGCCGTACTGCTGCGACCTTCCCGCCCCGCGCGCCCCGTCGCGGAGCCTATGTGAACGGCAGATTCTTTGCTTTGCTGCATGCGTGGGACACGGGGCGTGCGGGGACATAAACTCAGCATTTCGGCGACGGAGACATATGATAGGGTGAAGGTTATTCCTCGGGGCTGCTGAGGCTGCGGCGTGTCCGACGCTACGAAGCGTGGGGCGAAAACGTAGACGCGAAGGTCGTGTCGAAGAACGCTAGAACGCAGATTGCGTTTCTGCGAGCCCGCGAGCCTAAGCTTCTATCCGAGTCTGAGCATTGGGAGGAGATACAGGGCGTCGCGCGATGCTGGGAAGCTGGGAACTGGAGCACTCGGGCGGGGCGGCAGCATGTGCTCCCCCATTTGGCGCAGCGACCCTGACGTGCGCCCCGGGGCGCCCGCAGCGCTGCCATCCGTACGTATGTAAGTTTTCCGTGCCCGGCATGATAGACCCGATCGTACGTATACGCAGCGGCGCATGCGGGAGTGCTATACCGCATCCATCGCTGCACGGTGACAGCTCTGCAGCGGCGTCCAGGCGGCCTTCATTGCGTCGTCGAGCATGTGCACACGTCACTGGCGCCGCTGCCGAGACGATAGAACGCACTTATTGAAGACGCGACTGCCTAAGCCTCCCTTCCCACTGTCCAGCGATGGTATTGCCAGACGAACGGCCAACCCCGCGTGCGCTCGGGCGCACCCATAGCCACAGATCCCGTTCGAGCTTGAGCCTAGCGTGAACGGTTCCGCCCATGCTTGCTGCAGGCTCCAGCTATCAGCCAATCTGCAGCGGGCCGGCGGGTGCCCAGTGCGCAGCTGCCCACCACACGCGCGCTGGGAGGGCCCGGTGCGGCAGGAGCCTGCGCCTGTCAGGGGAAGCACGCCCGATTGGGCGGCATCATTGCATGCGCGGCGGTGCTGCCCGGCGAGACTAATCCTGGTCCGCGGGCGTGCTTCGCGCTTCGCATGGGAACGCGGGAGCCCGCGCCTGGCGTGCACCGTCACGCCGGGGCAGACACAGACAGACACCGTGGGCTGCGACGCGGGGGGCCGGGGGTCTGCTTCTGCCCTTGGCAGGTGTCGCAAGGCGCCTGCGGTCAGATTGGAGCTGCCTGGCTGAGTGCGATGGGGCCGCCGGCGCAGCGAAGTCGAAGAGGAAGAGGAAGGGCGGTTGCTCGGGCGTGGTGAGGCGAGTCACGGTCGCTGCCTGAGGCGCAGGCAAGGGTCTTGGACGCCTTGCGCCGCGCGTCCTGGTGTCCACTAGCTAAAACCGACACCGGAGGAAGACAGAAAGCGGTCGCAAGAGCGTGCGTCATGCCGTGTATGTGCAAGTCGGCCATCGAGGTGAGTGCTCCCGGACCACTAGGAGGCGGGGGACGTGCGTTAATTAACAGACTTTGTAGCGGATAGAGCGGCCATACCGAAGCAGAAGTGGCTAGGCAGCTTCAGGCACGCGGACGCCATACGCCGGGGTCTTCGTGTGTCATGACCACGTCGCGATGGGCCTGGCCTCTCGTCCCGACGGGGGTGTCGATGGGTTCTATATCGAGAACTGAGCTCAACAGGCCTGGCGACGTCGTAGCCAGCCTGAGTGCGGTCCGTACTGGGCAGAAGCCTCCTCTTACGAAGATGCGCATGCTTATAGCCCCGTACAGAGCAGATGAATACCCTCAGCTGCTTTCGCCAAGACGGTCACTCAAGGGATGGCGCCTGTCTCATCCGGGATTCCTGGAAACGGAGTCGATGATCACCGCTCGGGCGGCAGCCGCCTTTGTGCGCCAAACCGAACCCGGCCGTGCAATACCGTCGGACATACCGTCTCACGGTGCAAGAGCCGCAACAGGCTTGGTAGGAAGCACGGGCGTGGCGACCTGATACAAGGTTAGTTTGACGCCTTTACACCCATTCGTACAAGATCCCGCTGACGTGTTAAGGAACCACTTCATCGCCAGAGCTTGTAGCTTGACCATGCCGCCTTTAGTGATGGTGATTGAATTTTGTTCTTTCCAATCGAAGAGATGGATTGCAACTCGCGCCGTGTGGCCTCGTCCGAGCATGGCAACTCCCCCGCGTGCCTTCTTGAACATAGAGAACCGTCGGGTGAGCGGTGTTCCAAGCCTCCGAGGACCCGATCATAACTCACCTTAATTCCTTGGACGGCATCGAACGGCGCTGAACAGTGCCACCCGTTCCTGGCGTCCCCGTTAATGCACATGCGGGCGGCACACGGAGCTCAAACCGGTCGGCGTCTCGCTGTCGCGCCAGAAGTTTGGGATGGCGACAGCGTTGGACTATCGTACAGGATCCCAGTACCTCCGAGCCGACCGGCTTTGAAGCACGGGGGCTCCGTTGAGCGGAGCGATGAACGCATGAATCTGAGGAAGCCTGAGGAAGATAGGTACTAACGTTTTGAAGAACCGAGCCGAAAGTCCAGCTGGCAGGTCCGGGTATCATTTATCAGTTCTGACGCACGTACTGTGGCAGCTGAGTGGTTGGCATGGCCCGCGCTATGCTTCCCTTCCTCGAGCTTTCGATCGGTCTAGTAGGGCTGACCTCTCCGGACAGACGTATCAAGTGGCGCTAGGTCGAGTGCCCCGGTGTCTGTAAAGTGCTCTGGCAGGGAACACACGTGTGAACGACGTTTAAAACAGTCAAACGAAGAGGATAACCTCGAGGCGTTGAGGTTGTCCTATTTTCCCGATACAATTGAGGAAGTTGACGCTATTCTGGCAAAATGAAAACTAGTAGTGCTGTCGCTTAATTTACCAGCGCGCCTTCATGACGCATGCGTTGGCGCTACGAGCAGACATCGCCGCGTCTCCTACGGGACAAGGTGTCGCTGAAAATTGTGTATAGTATGGGGCATGTTGGCCAGTACGCTCACCCCCCTCAGACAGTGTGCAAGTTGTGTGAGACTGTTACCAACAGCGTGGTATTGTTTGCCAGTTGTTTGACGCGCTTGAGGCGCCACGATCACAGCGTGGCCCCGCCATCCTACTAGTTTAGCGAGCTTGCCGATCGTCCTAAGTAGAATCAGTATGATGGATGTGGTTTTAGTCACACAGCGGCTCGGCAACGGCATAATCAGCGCTGGTGAGTACGGGGAGATGTGTGTAGAAGTACAACGAGATGATACAATTTACCGAACATAGAATTTCGTGACAGCTGAGAGAAGTTTTACTTTGTTAACGCCTGCTGCGCGGTCGGCTCTCCTCGAAACATGTGCGGATGCCGCGCGATCTGACGAATTTCCGTCAGCGTCGGCCTCACACCACAAAAACGCCATGACGGGTGACAAGGAGAAACGAGGCCACTCACAAACGAACGCACGCGCTTCCCGTAAATGTACATGGGTACGGACGCGAGCCAGCAGAACGCCTGGCACGCGCCGAGGATGAGCAGCGAGACTTTGACGCCGCGACTGAGGACCATGCCGTTCGCGAAGAACGTCGAGCCGTAGAGGACCATGTTCTTTCCGAAGTTGCTCAGCGCGAGGATGTGCAGCGCGTTCGGCCCGTGCGTGTCGAGGAGGTACGTCACCGCGGCTGACCCGGACACGACCATGCTGAAGTTCAGCATTCTGCGTTTGCGCGTGGTCAGCTTATGTCGAGGCGTGGAGATGCTTGAACGTACGTGATGCAGGCGACGGCGCCAATCCAAGGCATGTGGTGGTCATTCCCGACTGCCCATCCGACGTAGCCGAACACGCCGAAGAGCATGCTGAGCATGAAGATAAGCCGGAACTCGGGCTCGTATACACCGCGGTTCCGTTTGGCGATCCAGACGACACCCCAATCGTTGAGCGGGCCGGTGACGGCCATGGCGAGCACGATGCCGACGATCCCGCCGAGGTTAGTCAAGCCCTAATGGAAGATCAAACATGAGAGAGGAGTAAGGCAGATGAGAGGAACAGAATCAACTCACGATTTGGGATGCGTTGAAGTTGTACTCGAGCGTGAAGATCGTTGACGAACACAGCGGTACCAAACCTGTCAAAGTGACCTCTTCAATTGATTCCTCCGAGCACGCTGATCATGGAAAATACGCACTTAACCACACTGTCTGCATCCCATGCGAGAGAAACACGAAGTATGTCTGCACTCGCAGGCCTAATGTGAACAAAAGCACAGCATGGGAGGGGAAACTACGCACCACAGGAGACAGGAGGAACGGGAATGGCCGCAGGAAGATCTTCCACATGCTCACGTCTGTGAAGGTGCCATGCCAAATCTTGAGCTGTGACAGGTAGCTTGGCATTGAAGGCTGCGACGGCGCATCGACGCTCTCGACGTCGCTCCCAGCAGCAACCTTCTCTAAGCTGTCATCGTCGCTGCTGTGTCTCTTCAGCGCATTCGACGTGACTTCACGTTTGAAGGTGGTCTACGAGTAGTAAAGCCCAAGTCAGATGTGTGCCCAGAGACAAGGAGATGCATCCACACGTACCTCCGGTACGAAAAAGAACACCGCAATGACCGTCATACCGAGGGGGATGCTCACAAACCAGAACCCGAACTCCCAGGAGAGATTCTGAATCACGAAGCTGCAGATCAATGGGCCCCTATAAACCCGTATGCATCAGCCATGCAAGATTTGGTATGACTGAAGCAACTTGGTCGTGAACTAACAGCGTGATGCCGGCCATGATAGCAAAACTCCAGATCACAGAGCGCGAGCCCCTCTCGTGGACGCTAGAAGTAGTGTGGCTTGTCAGATCCGAGTTCCGCTCTCATCGCGGTACACCTACCAGTAAATCTGCTCCAGAGTAGACGCTACCAGACTGGATACAGACGTGGTATGAGAACAGCACAACCGGCGTCGAAGGAACAGTATACCTTTGGAGTGCTGACATACCGAACCCTTGGAAGAGACGCGCAGCGCGGATGGACGCCAGGTTCGGACTCAGGGCACACCATATGCACGAGATGAACATCTGCTGCCTGTGAGCCTTGTCTCAACCTCATACTCGAAGGCTGAGAACCTACCAGAGATACGGAGGCCAAGTAAACAATCCGGTGGCCGAACTTCACCGCAAGAGCATTTTGCGCAAGCCTAGAGCACTGAGAATGAGCACTGCTCACTGCTGGAGACCAGAATCATCGACGTACATGAAGATGCCAAGACCAAGGAGGATGAACCCGAAGGACGACGTTATGTTGTCCACCGAAACATTGAACTGCTTAGCGAGTAGGACATAGCCAGGCCCGACCATGGGCGACAGCGCGCCGTCAAGACTTGCAGCGAATGCACTGTCATGTCCCCGGGTTAGGAGACAAAAACCAAAACAAGGGGCCGAGAGTACTCACAGCGTCCAGAAACACGCCTCCTTCTTCCATCGTGGCCAGTTCAAGCTGTTCAACGAGACATAAGGGCGTGCTCATGTCCCAACAGGCAACAGAAGCGTACGGGTCGCGAGGGTCGTCTGACGGCTGCGGGATGAGCACGACGTGTGCGTACTTGCCCGTTCCACGCTTGAGGTGCTTGGCCTCGTCGATAGCGACCGAGTGCCCATCGACAATTCTCTGGTCCGATAGCAGTCCGGTGCCAGGAACACGGTCCAAGTGCCTGTCCTCTGGAGATACGTGCAGCGAGTGAGTAAATGGACGGTATCGGATGGGCTAGACGTCACTCACCGAGTATTCCAAACACCATGGCGTGCAAGTAGGAAGAGCGTCGACCTCGAGCGCGAGGTACTGGGCGACGGCGGCCCTATATACGCTTTGGCGTGAGCGTGTTTGAATGCGTCGCCAGCTTTACGGTACGCCCGCCACTTACAGCGAGCGCCGTGGCACCATGGGACCGCGGAGAGCCACAGAAGGTCAGTAAGGCCGTCAAATGACCTAAAGGTACTGTCCCGGGGTGTACGTTAGAGAAGGATTCTCTCATGATGCGAGATCATGAGAAGGGCAGCGAGCATATCAGGAGCTCGAAGGGGGAATGGGACGCCGTGGAGGTATGAATAGGACCCTGACTCTCAGCTGCTGTAAGTGTCGGGAGCAATTGCACGTTGCCATAAAGCCAAGCTGGGTGCTAGTTTTGACATAGCGCTTGCAAACAATATATGCACATGTCGCATCATCGTGCAGAGACTGCATATTAACAGGTTATGGTGAGCATCGCGTCCAGCCCGAAGAGCATATGGGGGAAGGACGGACTTACATCGTGACATCGTGGGGGTGAGGACTCGGACGCAAATGAGCGCCAACGCCAAATTCACACTTCCATGGCTCCGAGGCAGTGGATGCACCTCACTCCAATTCTCGGCGATCCAGATAGTGAATTAATCTGCAGCAATAGGGGCTGACACGCAGCAGTATACTGTACATTCAGCACACCGACTTCTACTCGAGCCTACATACCATGTCCGACAGCGACGGCGGGCCGTCGCGAGCGATTAGAATAGGAGTCGGGCCAGCACTTCTTCATCTTCGTCTTTCTCTATGCACTCGGTGGGGCATATGCATCACGCGTCATAACCCTTGGGGTTCTTCGTCTGCCAGTTCCAGAGGTCGCGGCACATTGCGTCGAGGTCTTCCTTCGCCTTGAACCCGAGCTCCTTCTCTGCGAGGGTCGGGTCCGCGGTGAGGTCCGGCACGTCCCCGCGCCTATGTCGCAACGGTCAGCTCATGCACTACAAGCGTCGACAGTCAAAACTGCGCACCTGCGTCCGACGATCTCGTACTTGAAGTTGAAACCGGTCGCCTTGCGCATCGCCTCGATGATCTGGAGCACGCTCAGACCCTTGCCTTTGCCAAGGTTGTACGCCTTGTAGCGCGCGTCGCTCGTCGCATTGTCGAACACCTTCGACTCGGGCGCGAGCGCGTCCAACGCGAGCAAGTGGCCGCGCGCGAGGTCGAGGACGTGCAGGTAGTCGCGCACGCACGTGCCGTCCCTGGGAAAATGGCGCGCGATGTCAGACAGGGGCTAAGTGCTGGCTGGGACTACGTACGGAGTGGGGTAGTCGCTGCCGAATACTTTGAGGTTGTTAGGTTGGCCACCGACGGCGATGGCGCCAAGGAGGGGGAAGAGGTTTCCGGGGCGGCCGATCGGGGCCTCACCGATGAGACCGGAGGGGTGCGCACCGCCAGGGCTGCGAGGACCGTCAGCGCAATCCGCGTTGTTTGTGAAATAGAACTCACTTAAAGTAGCGTAGCGAGAGGCCGCGCCACCGCTTAGGCTCAGCTGCAAGACTGTCAGCGCGAATCCAGAATCCGCAACTCAGGGGACGTACCGCTGCAGAGATCCGAGATGATCGTCTCGCACATGATCTTCGTCTTTCCGTACGGACTGTGGGCCTCCAGGCGAGTCGTCTCGGGAATGGGGATGGTCGGGGGCGTGCCGTATACAGTCGCGCTGGATGAGTATACGATGCGCGTGCAGTCGAACTCGGACGCGATCTGGAGGAGGTATACCGTTGCGGAGACGTTGTTCTCGTAGTATGTCAGGGGTATCTCGGTCGATTCGCCAACCGCCTTGTATGCCTGTATGTACGCATGTGAGCGGTCGTCCATCTTATGGTCCCCGCTGCTGAGCGCGAGGGGGGAGGAAAGCGTACCGCGATGTGAATAACGCCCCAGATGCCGCCCTTGCCATACTTCTCAAACACTTTCTTGATCTCCTCGCGCTTCGTCAGGTCAGCGGTTTGCGCGTCGATCTCCGCGCTGTCCTTGTCCTTTTCGGATGCATTGGCGGGGAGGTTGTCACGCGCGATCTGAGCGACGCGCTCGAGGGCCTTCGGGGAGGAGTTGTGGTGGTTGTCGACGGAGATCACCTTGTACCTGCGCGTCTCTTGCAGGGCGAAGATGACATGGGAGCCTAGCGTTCAAATTCCGCACGCGCGAGGCAAGAACATGTGTCTGATGAGTATCTGCGTCTATATTGTGCCTGTGCGAAGGCGCGTGCGTACCGATGTATCCCGCGCCGCCGGTGACTAGTACTCGCTGTGCGTCCGTCAGCACCGCTCGCGCACGCCGTGGTCAGTGTGGGCACCCACCTTGAGGGGCTGGTCGTCTTGTGCAGACATGGTTGCGATGGTCGCAGGGGCAGTGTGGGGTTTTGCGAAGCGGCGGGGAAAGAGGATTGGGCGGACGGGAGGAGGCCAGTTCGTATTTATCGATTCAGCCATCTCCTTCCATCCTCCTTCGATCGTTTCCGTTTCTGCACGGACCCGCGGCCCGCCCAGCGGCGTCCCCGACCCGCCCTCGATGATTCATGCGACCGGAGCCCACACGCCTGCGCTCCCACAAATTCCTGCTCTAGTCTCCGGGCGGAGAGGTTCTATAGATCCGAAAAACATCCAACGCCTCTAGATCGCCTTGAATTCCCGTTCGTGCCCTCGAGCGCACCCGAATTCCCGTTCGTACGCCTCCAGATCAACCTGAATTCCCGTTCGTGCGCCTCCAGATCATCCTGAATTCCCGTTCGCGCCTCTAGATCAGACTTGAATTCCCGTTCGTACCTCTCGTCCAATCACAGCGCGGGCCCAAAGGCCAACGAGGCCCGACTCGCCTCCGCACCGCCCGTTCGACATGTCGTCATGTCGGTGCCGACTCTCGCCGGCCACAAATGGGGAGCAAATGCATTCCGACCCTCCAATGATCGTCAGCGCGTGCGCGGAGGAACATCTGCTCTGGCAGTGCCGTTACAACCCCTCATGGGGAAAACATACATGTGCACCGCAGCCCTATCGGTCCTCCATCTTCACATCTCCTTCGGTGTCCTTCTCAGGGCTCTCAGTCATCCCCGCGCCCTTCTCCAGGTCAGGGGCGGGAGCAGGGGGAACGTCCTTCGCGCTCTCCTTCGCGGCACCCTCGTCCATGCCCACAGGAGGCGCAGGACTCGCTGACGCCTGTGCTGCAGCCGCCTCCTTCTCAGCGATGGCCTTCTCGCGCTCCACTCGGCCCTTCTCGATCTCCTGTGCGAGGAGCACCACGTCGCCCGCGCCGATCCGCCCGAAGTACTGCAGGTACTGGTCACGCGCAGTCCGGAGCGCGAGCCATGCCCAGCGCTGCTTGTTCTGTGTTCGCACAGCCGGTCAGTAACCCGAATTCAAGACCGACGATGATGACACGTACCTCTTCGTACTTGCGGATCAGGTCATCTGGTGGTAGGACGATCGCGGCTGGTTCCGGGACCGGTGCCGGCGCAGGCGTGGGCGCAGGAGCGACTACAGGTGTTGGTGTAGGCACGGGTGCAGCAGCTGGTGGCGGATTGGGTGTAGCCACCCGGGCAGGAGACGGTGCCGCGCTCTCGCCCGAAGCCGGTGTCGTTCCAGGCTTCGCAGGAAGCGATGGATGGAGCGGTGCAGGGGCACTGAGCGTATTCCGTGCATGAGCAGCGGCGGGGTCTGGAGACGCGGCCGATGGTACTGTGGGTGCCGGCTGTGCCGGGGGCGCAGACGGGACGGTGCTCGCCGCGGCTGGGAGCCCAGGTGCGGGCGCGCCATCCTTGAGCGCGGCTGCCTTCGCTCGCGCCTGGGCCATACGCTCTGCCTTCTGCATAAGCTGCTTTCTGCGCATCTCGATGCGGGCGTCCTCCTGCTTGACCTTCTTGACGAAGTCTTTGACGTCACCAGCCCTAGTGTTCTGTCAGCATGCTGAGACTCCGGAATTAACGGACGTGAACTGAACTGGAAGGGGTGCTCCAGGTCGCGCAGGTCCCGGTAGCCCATTTCCCAGATCTCGGTCAGCGGCGCACTTCCATAACGATGCGGCCACTCCTCCGGGTCCATGCGCATCTTCTTCCGCACACCCTCCGTGGCCTCCTCTAAGCCAACTCGCCTCTTCTCTCCGTCGATCTCAATTTCTGCGTGCCACGCTTCACGGTCAAACGGCGGACAGAGTTCGTTCTTCCATCGCACCCAGTTCTTCTCGCGTTCGAGCATGACCTGCACCGCCTCTGCAAATGCACGCCCGTGCGGTGACGTTTGGCGGAGCTCCTCGACTGCGCGGGCGATAGTGTCCTGCACCCATTGGGCGTCGGTGGGCTCGAGCGTGAAGTCGAGCTGGAGCGAGCGGTTCCGCGGGGTATACCATGTCGCTTTAGCGGCTTTGGTGAAGTTGAGGAGGTGATTTAGCACTATCAGGAGCTGGAAGAGTAGCTGCCTTCGGAAATGCGTGTCTGAGATCTGAACGAAGGGTTAGTAAGGCGGGTTCAATTTCGTCAATGCGAGACGTGCCTCCAAGTCCAGCAGCTCCGGGCTGGTCAGGTACTTCGCGAAGTAGTACTCGCTGGTTGCGGGACTTTCGGCTGCTGGTGCGGGTGCCCGCTTTCGCTTCAGCTGGCTAGAGGCACCGGCAGTCGCGTGTAATGATTTGTTGCCCATAAGAGCGCGCTCTTTCGCAGTGGCCTCCTTGATCACCGGCAGTACCTTATCTACCGCGTTTTTGAACGCCGAGAACGTCCTCGTTTCCGAGAACAGGTGTGGCCGAGAGAATGGAAGCTGCAAGGACCAGAAAGTGTAGAAGAAGTCTGAAGTGGCAACTTAGCTTCAAGGCGGACAAGAGAAACCTGATATACATACCATCCTTCTCCTTCCGTTTCCGCTCGGCCTCCTTAGACGCCTGCTCCTCCTTCGTCTCGTCGACCTCCATCTGGTTCGCCTCCTCATCCTTCCGCTCATGCCCTTTCGCGCCAGGGCCCTCCCACATGGGTCCGTACTCGCCCCGGAGGTTCACACCGCTACGCTCCCCAAGCGGAAACACCCTACTGAGGAACGTGAGGATGCGCCCGCAGAATTGCGTCGTCGCGCCCATCTTGGAGAGGCGGCGGAGGAGGTCGTTGAGCGTGCGGAGGAGCACGAGCGCCTTGCCCTTCTGCGGGACCATGCCTGCGGTGAGGCGGTCCGCGCGCTGCTCGATCCAAGAGAATATGTGTGAGCATGAGGCGATCGTTTGTGTCTCGAGGAGGTCCTGGAGGGTGTTGAATGGGAAGATCTGGTCGCATGCGTCTGCGAGCGCAGGGTGAGCGCAAGAGTGAGGGCGAAGCGTTGCTGTTACGGACCATGCTCGGTAAAGGTGAGAATGAGGTCGAGTCTGTCGCTGAGCCCGTCATAGTACTTGGTCTCCGGGTGCTTGAGGGCCGTGCCCTCAGTGGCCTGCATGCGGGTGAGCTTGCAACGCGGAAAGATGTCCATGAATACTGACGGCGAGCTCGTAGACTTCTTTCCTGAGCACATACTCCCACTTCGCCTTCCACGTGTCCGGGCTAGTCTTTGACCTGGACTCCTCTAATGTCTGCGCAACAAGCGCGTCGAGGGCGACCTTGTTTATGGGGCGTGGAGGCAGCGACGCCAGCAACGAGGTTAGGCTGTCCTGAAGAGCTTGCATCGTGTATGTGTAGATTATGTGTGTCAGTAGTTTAGGTCTCGAGGAAGAGTAAGCAGAGCAGGCCGGGCATGGGCGCAGGCGGTGGTGAGAGGACAAGGTGAGCGACGCCACAATGGCACAGGCGCTTCTCTCGGCCAGAGCAAGCGCCTATGGATGTACTGATCGGACTCCGCGCGCCCGGCCCTCGACAGGAATTCAGAATCATGTGGGGAGGGGCAACGCCTGCAAGGCTGATGGCCAGCTTAGTCATCAGGCGCTGGCGCAAAACACGGTCGCGTTTCATTAGACGCGTGTGCGCGCGCGCTCGGCGTCTGCTGCAGTGGCTGATCGCGCGAAGCAGCTGGCAAAGTAGAATATACAACGAATTAGCAGTCAAAATCTGTTTAGCAGAGCTGGGAAAGATTAAGGTACTTTGTGGCAGACTCGTATGTAAGGGCGGTAGCAAATATAGTAGTTGGGAGAGCGGACTGCCGAATATATGCAGCCTGTTCTAGCAAGCTTCAGCCTTCCAGTGGTATGTACCTATGTTAATTTGTCGCAGCGCGCGCAATACTGCACCATGGCTTATTCAAAAGCGACCACGTTCTCGTGTCTTCTCTCGCGTTTAATTTTCATAGAAGCGGGTGGATCTTCTTCAGCCTCAAGATCAAGGACTAGCTCTCTTGCGCGCGCTGAGCATTGCAAGCTTGGTGCCGTTTTCTCCTGCCTCTCTCGCGATACTCTGCATGCCGCGCGCCTTCTGAGCCGAAGCTTCATGACAACTTGCATTGTTCTCGTGGTCCTGATGTCGAAGGTGGCCCTCATTTTTCTCCATAGACAGCTGGAATTCTTAAAAACTAAGCTGTACCATTTGTGAAACTTGATACCTCCTAGTGCGTTGTAGTACACCTTATTCCAGCAAGTTATAAAGCTGTATACTTGATATGATATACATAAAGTGTACCAGAAACGCGAAATATGTGTTTTGGAAAGCAGTAGAAGCCAACAAACCCGCCTTAGCTGTGAAGGATGCACGTCGCGGGGTGCGTTCTTCCATCACGTGATGTCGCGCGGCGCGAGTGTGGCGCAAGTCGTGCGGTCAACGCGCGCGCGCGCACCCGCGCAGCTATACATGCATTTTCCACTTTCCTCACATTCATCTATCACTGCGCGACCCGACTATTCTTCCCGCGCCGTATATTTCTCGCTTTTGGCGAATTTATTTTTGCATTTGAGCTGTTCAAACATGCTGAATTCACCCGCCGACCACAATTTCCGGAAGATGTGTACGTTTTTCAGGAAAATTAAAATCAACGTTTTATTTTCATACACAAAGGGCCCCTACTCCGACACTTTTCATGTCGCTACGATGTGTGTGCACGCTTTACCGTCAAACACAATTTGAGTACCACTTTCTATGGGCGTCTCGTGAAATCGCAAACACGAACAAACACGGGAGGGCTCGCAGGCGTTGCCCCTCCCCAAATCATGCCCTCCATCGATATCCTCTCGCCCCCATCGTATACTGGAGCACATATACATTTAATCAAGTCCTTGCATATTTATACATGCCTGCGCTGCTATGTGCCCACCCCGACTACTCAGTAATCACACATCGAGTTCCTCCACCGAGTTCGCCATCGAGTGCGCCGTACTTCCGTCCCGGGTTTTCGTGGTGCTGTCGTGGACGTACACCTCGAGCGGCATGCCCACAGACCCACCTGCGGTGAGGCTCGTCGCAGTCGGATTCGACGCAGACACACGCTTCTGAGGGCCCGCCCAGGAGAACGTCGTCGACCGCTGCGTGGTGTAGAAGCTATCGTCATGCCGCTGCTGCCCGACGCGCAGGATGACGATCGAGAAGATGATGCCAGTGAGCGGGACCGCCTGTAGTAATGTGTGGTGTTAGAGTTAGGTTAAAATATTGCTACCAACAGTTCGTCACGGCGATTAGACGCACCATCTCGGACATGAGCTCGAGGATCTCGGAGCCGAACTCGAGCGTCATGACCATGACGAAGAGGTATGCGGCGTTGATGAGCCCACTCTCGAGGATGATGCGCACGATTGGGGTGAGGCGCGACTGGTCCGCCTCCGTGTCGAGCGCGTTCTTCAGCCGGCGGTCGATAGACCAGATACGATAAGCCAGCAGTGCTGGGAGGGAACAGAACGCCAATTGAGGTGAGCTACACTCGTGGAGATGGGTAGAGGCGTACATGTCGCCATAGCGTTGGCTACGAGACTGAGGGAGAAGAAGACCGTAAGCCAGGTGGCCTCGGTGTGGATCGCTTCGTTGGGGAGGTTGGTGTACGCCCACATCGTGTACGAGCCGGACACTGTACGTCGTCAGCGTACGTTTATAGACCAAACCCGGTGGATCGGACCCACCTGCACTGATGAGGGAGAAGGTGACGGGTATCACAATGACCCAGAAGTTCTTCCCCCAAACGACCCAACAACGATAGTTCTGCAAGTCAGTTGCGATTAGCATCTGAAACATTCTCGTGAGTCCCGGTCCTTGACGTACCACGAACGAGTCGCCCACGAGCAGGTCCGCGATGAACAGGCAGTGCTTGGTCGTGAACAGCGGCTCCTTCACGTCCTGCAGGTAGCCAAGGCGCGCCGTCCGAGGGTCATGGCGGATGAACGCCGTGAAGATGTTCGCGCAATCCACGGCAAAGCGCGCAGTCGCGAACAGGATGAGGAGTACGCCCGCCGCAGCCATCGGCCAACTCAGCCTGCGCCTGAATTGGCCGCGGCGGTTGGCGAGGTCGTATCCGCACACGCAGAACAAGCAGAGGAATATGCCTGGATCGTATACAGTCTGGGTGAGCGTGTGATGTGATAAGATATACGGGGCTGGCATACCATAGAGCACACCTTCCACAGCGAGGCCCGCTAGTTCGGCGGTGTCGATGAGTATGGTCATAGTGGGAGGCTCGAGATATCAGAGCGAAGGTTGTGGCCTGTGGCCCAGGGAACGCACACCGGCCAGAGTAAGAGATATGTACAAGAGGCTCAGTAGCTGACACCCAAGGAGAGGCGGATGAGGGAGCCTAGGTGGTGTGCCGTAAACGAGGCCGACAGGGTCTTCCGGTTATATACGGTTGCATTGCAGCCAATCCGCGTCAGACTCCTCAGTGAGAACAGAGTTTTGAACCCTGGCACGAATGCGGCCGAGTGACGACCGCATGAAGGATCCTCCATCGTCCTTGACGGGATCCCGCGCAGCGTTGCGGCATGACCAGAGCTGACGCCGCGGATGCAATGACGGGGCGCCAAGTCAACCTGTAGCAGGGAGAAGAGAGGCCAGGGTCAATGTCTCACGAGAACAGGCCTATAGAAAGCTTTCACCGGTGCATGCGGAGCTTCCTAGGAACTTCCCTGATTGAAGATATCACGATGCACTGGCCTTCTGCTTCGCGCATCTCACGGACAACGCCCGTTGCTCGTCCAGTTGGCAGTACCGCAGCTGTTGGACGTAGTGGCGAGGCAGTGGCTGGCTTTCGAGAATTCGCCGCGCGCGATTTTGACACGCCGTCAAAATAAGGTGTGGGGACAGAGGCACAGCTGCCATACTCCATGATTTTGTCAGAACCACCATCATGGAGTTACCATCTTACGTTGGCTCAATCGGAAGCACAAACGTGGGCGTGCGTACTTTGACTCCGGTCTGCCGGGGCGTGGCAGGTGGGAGGTTCTTATCCCATAATGAATTTGATTGGTTTCGAACATAGCTCAGAGGGATACCCGAGCAGTATTGCATGCGGTGAACAGCGAGGGCTCTTGATGATGATATCACGAAAACCAGGTGTCCTGCTTCACGGATTGAATCGAGGAAGGTGGGCCTTAGGGTGCATGGAGATGGCTCACATCCTCTCGAATACGTCCCCGGGGTTCTTGTCCTGATATATCCCTGTCGGGATCGCCGGATCTCTCGATGCCTGCGGCAATCATAGCATCCATTGAACGATGTGTTTCGGCACTGGGGGCACAGCTGGGATACAGCCCCGGACAGTGAGCATCGCTGAACAATGATTAGCAGAAACAATTTCGAGTGCATGGTGCATTCTCACTGGGTTACGGCAGGATGCAGTCATCCCTCTCCTCCGTGGTCACTTCGTGCCCTCCTGCGTGCTTGCGACGATTATAGTCTCTTCCTCGACTTGAGCAACTGCGGTATCGCCGCTCTCTCCTTGCTTCGCGGAAGTCTGGGTCTCCAAGTCGCTGAGTAAATTGTCTAGATGATCGATAATGCCGTCGAGGCGGCTTTCCACCCCGTCCGCGATCCCCTCCGCAGCCTCCAGTCGGCGAAGGAGCTCTACGACGTCCGGGTCGGATTCATCAACGTTCTGGGACAGAAGTTTGGACAGCAAGGCTATGTCTGCCTCCAGTGAGCTAGAGTTGTTTCCTGGTTTGTTCCCGGTACCATTTGGGAGAGCTTCAGGCATGGTGGTAGCACGAGAGGTTGGTGGATGGGTGCAAGATGTCTTAGACACCAGGCGCTCGCCCTCGTAATCCCCTCACCTCTTTCAGGGTTAGGGTTCACGGGTTCACGGGCAATTCTTAGAAACTACTCGAGTTATGCCACTTGAGCATACTAACCCAGCGTCTCATCCATAAATTGTCCTGTATATCTGGCAGAAGCTTCTCATAAAAGTGGAGTCGATATACGGTAGTTTGTAGTGGACCGTTGCCTGGAATAGGAGACCTGCCTTATTGGGAACAAATATCGGTGCTGTATGAGCGCCTCGTGCAACGCAGCGACCTCCCCAGTTACGACCCATCCTCAACCATCCTCGGCTGCTGAGCGCCTTCTAGTTCTCTACCTCTAGCTTTGAAACCGGTTCCTCTTTGCTGCTCTCATACCGAGAAAGCTGATCTGCAAATCTGTGGCTTCCCTCGTACAGCTTGCCTCTGAACTGCGCCAATACTTGCTAGCGTGCACAGCCGGCAACCATGCAGTCGCTGAGGTCACGGAAGCCCTCCGAGTCGCGCCCAAAGGGTGCACAACGGCAGGGCACTGTGCGTGCACCCAAGCCCGCGCCGCGCAATGCAGAGCGTCGCGCAACCCGTGTCGGGGAGAAGATGAAGAAGCGGATGTCGATGCGTTACGCCGACATATCTGCCCCGACCGATGCGTCTGTGCCTGATATGCCTGCCCTGCCAATTGGCATGCGCACGGCGACGTATACACAGGACGAACAGAGGTTTACGGAAGAGCCGAGGGAGGACCCTATGGTGTCGGAGCTAAGGCTGCTAGACAAGGATGACTTTGACCCAGATGCTTGTGCGTGTGCTTCGGATCCTCGTAGCTGCTGGGCCTTATGACTGGAATCAGACCTCAAGTCGAAGTTGGCGAACTCTACTGAGGCGGAGTTGAGATCACTGCAGTCCTCGTTGCAAGGCCAGAAGGACAACGTTGCGGTAGATCTGCAGAAGAACGTCTTCAAGAAGTGCGTGCGCGCCTCGCTTCTACCGCTTTCAGTTGACTTATGTGATACAGCTATGCGGAGTTCATGCTTGTCTCGAAGGAGGTTAGCACCCTCGAGAACGAGATGCTCGAGTTCAAGGAGGCACTAGCGGAGTGGAAGGGCATGCCATCCCTATTGCACATCGACGACTCCGCATCAGTGGCAGGTACAGACCGCAGCCCATCTGCAGCCGTAAACGATACTGACCCTGCGCATAGATCGAAGACGAAACGTCCGCTCCTCCATCGCCGACCTGCGCATCCTCTACGCGAATCAGATGCAAACCCTCCACATGCAGATCGAGGGTTCGTCTAAGTTCGTGCCCACCACGCCCGGTCGGCACGTCATCACGGAGATCGACAACGTCGTCTCCCTGAACCCCGCCACATACAAGGTGGACCATCCCGTGCGCTTCGTGCTGCTCGACGACGCAGTCCTCGTCGCGCGCAAGCGCAAGCGGAGGAACAACGGCGAGAATGATAAGCTTGTAGCGGAGCGCTGCTGGCCGCTCACCGAGATGTTGGTGCTCGACACCAAAGACTCTGCCAGTCTGTACCACACACTCTATCAAAGGTCACCCGCGGTGCGCTGATACGGCTTCTTTAGACATGAACAACGTGTTCAAGATCCGGCACGGAAAGGAGACGCACGTATATCGGACTGAAATCTCCGTAGACAAGAAGAATCTGCTTTCGCAGTTCCGACAGGTCGCGGAGGAGGCCGCGGCGAAGAAGCGCAAAGAGCGTGAGGGCGAGCACCAGCGCCGCAAGAGCATGTTCATGGGCGGCGACGTGTGTACCCCGTCGCACCGTACTGATATCGCGCTGCTCACGCCTTGTTACAGCGGGCCTCCATGGCATATACGGGCGAGGGCGTCCCGCCCCTCCCGGAGTGGATGGCCGACCTCGCAACCAGATCCGGCGAGCTGGGCGCGACCGCGAAAGAGAAGGCGGAGCGCGACGCGCGCTGGACGGGCGACTGGTCCGACGAGCTCACTGTCGCGATCGCGCTGCGCGAGTGGGACCGTGCGGTCGTCCTCATCGAGGAGGGCGAGGGCAAGCTCGCGATCATGCCCGCGCTCGCCGCGAAGCTCACGCCGCTGAAGGCGTCCCTCTCGGCCGCGCTCCTGCAAAGCCTCGCTACACCGTCGAACAGGAAGTCGACGGTGGTGAGCGTGATCGGTCTACTGGTGCGCCTCAAGGCGGGCGCGGCCGCGCGGAGCACCTTCCTCGGCGCGCGCGCCGACGTGATCAAGAAGTGTGTGCGGAAGATCACGTTTGAGGGACATATTGGGGCGTATATTGCCGATTTGGCGACGGTGGTGTTCACGGGCATCAAGCACACGGCGGACTGGTTCCTCGCTAGCTTCAACCAGAACGAGATGGCCAGCAGTAAGTGCTGCTTGGTCTGAACGTAGATGGTCTAGTCGCTCATGATTGACAGGCTTCGTCGAGTGGGCGAAACAACAGATTGAGCTCTACGCCGAGATGTTCCGGAAACAGGTGTTCAGCTCGGATGTCGACGCGCAAACGATCGACGAAGCTATCCAGATCACGCACCTCCAAAGCAAGAAGGTACGTCTCATACTCATCCTGTTCCTATCACCAGTCACCCGGCCAACACGTTGTACAGCTCCTCGAAGAGTACGGCATCGACTTCCGTTTCTTACTTGACAACCTACTCGTCGAGAAACCTAAAGACCCCTCCCGCCCGCCGCCCTTCCGCTCACACCCCGAGAAGACACAAACCCCAATCCACACACCGGCATCCACACCTGTGCGCTCGCGCTCCCCCGCCGTACCCACCTCCACGCCCTCCCGCACCCGCACGCCGGCCCCAGCGATGCCCCCACTCCCTCCCCCGTCGTCGATGCCCACGCTCGCGATCCCGACGCCTGTGTCCGCGTCGCCGAGCCGCTCCCCATCACGCATGCGCTCGCCCGTGCCGCCGCCGCGCACGGCGAGCGCCGCGTCGTTCCGGAGTCAGACGCCCACGGGCGAGGGCAACCCGCTCATGCGCCCGCCCCGTGGGAGCCCGGCGCCGCCGCCACGGTCGAGGGACCGCCCGGGGAGCGCGACAGGGCGTCCGCCGCCGGTCGAGCTGCCAAGGCGGCAGGGTATGTTCTGAGACTGCTGTGGGCGGGAGGGTGCTGGTTTGTGGATTCCGACTGTTGTACGATAGGTGTAACTTATACCATCTCTCACTTGTTGCTTTCGCTGGACGATTTTGCGACGACGCCGATAAGGGGTCGATAGGCAGTACATCAACGGTGTGAGGCGTTATGCAGGCTACGGGCTAATGGTACGGTGGTTGGGCTACCGGTAGAAGCCAGAGAGATGAGAGTTTGCGTTCTTCATGGTCCAATGACTTGAGGAGAGGGCTGGTTGCCGATTTGGAGGAGTACATATACGAGCGTCGCGAAAATCTGGTTGTCTTTGACAACAAATCATACAACACGAGCAGAAAACATACCATGTGCTACTAGTCTCTACCTACTATTGTACATGAAGAAGACGAGTCCGGTGGATTCCATACTACATAGTCTGGGCGCAAAAGCATCCGAGGGATTGATCGGATCTCGATCTCCCAGCCCTCCTCCTGGACGACGACCACCATCTCCACTGAACGTCCAACGCGAAGCCTGGCTTTCTCTGCGTGCAGTCACAGGCTACGTATACGTATTAAAGCAAAGTATCCCTGGTCTTCAACCGCAACACGCACAATCGTTCCACACTTACACGAGGAACGCGGGTGTCGGCGATTATCTATCCAGCGGCGTGAATATGATGGGCCCACAGTGGTGGACTGTACCAATACTGAGACTCTTCTCGACGCGAGGTGTAACTATGTAAGAAACACAATACTTGCATTCCGAAGGAATTGATTCCAACAGGCTGCTGAATCGCCCATAGCCCCGAGACCGAACCCGACTCCGTTGGGCCTCTGGCGGTCGTATTTGGCCTCGCATCTCTGCACGCCGCAGGACTCGCTCTCGCGCGACTCAAGCAGAGGCTGCCAGATGCGCCTCGGAACAAAGCACGGCTACCCGACGATATCCTGTACGAGGTCTTCTCCTACCTCGATCCAGCAGACGCGGCACAGGCAGGACTCGTTTGTGCGCAGTGGCACCGGAACGCCACGCAGGCATCCTACAGGGAGGTCTCCCTCCATACCTCCTCACCCTTCTCGCGCTCGCTTGCCCGTACCCTCCTGAACAACCCGCGCCTCCGCAGCTACGTGCGCCATCTGGCCGTTGTCCACTGCGCACCAATACCCCAGGAGCACCTGTACGAGTGGGTATATCTCCTGCCGCCCTTCTCGTTGAAGACTTTCCGTGTCTTTGGCCTCCCCGAGCCCACCGAGAAGCTGCGGAGTGCTGTTGTGGTCGGTACAACACCTATAACGGAGATCGCATTGTTCGGGTATAAATTCTCTCAGGAGGTCCTGCTCGAAGGCATCTCATCAGTGGACGACCCCGCGCGGAGGCGATGGTTGATCGGAATGCTCGGCGAGGGCTGGCAGCTGGACCGGCTGAAGCCGTACCGGACCCACCTCCAGGCCGTGTCTGCAGAGCTCGCCTACCCCGTTGCATTACGGCGTTTCTCCGAGGGTATAGGACTCATCACGACGAGCCCTGCGACATTCCATGTGGATGTTACGGCGACGGACGCTCGGGGGGTGTCACGCGAACGCGTAGATGCCCTGGTGGAGGCGGCTGGAAAGTACATCCCCGCGGCGATGTGCATCTCAGTCAACACGATGCACCAGCACCTCCCCACCGGCGAAGCCAGTGCCAGTGAGGACGGGCCCTCAGGACCATCGGGCCAGGTACCCCAGTTTATCCGCGAGGATGAGCTTGTCGAGAACATGCACCGGCTCGAACCGTCGCGATGTATGTGCACCTCTCCGCCGGCCGACCAGGCAATGCCCTCATCCGCCCATATGAGAATATTCGTGGGCGTCACTAGCGAGCTTCTCACGGACGAGACCGTGAAGCGGGCCGTGGACTGGATGTGGCAGGACGCAACGCCAGACGGACGGCCGCTGAACGTCGTCAGCTTCCGCGTAGGGCATTATGGCCGACGGAGGTTTCCGGAACCCTGTACTGTTTGTGGACTTTCTGCGATGCACTTGTATCATGTGTCTGGCGATGTGCTCGCGTGACATGTGCCGTCTGTCCTTCTGGTTTCGGGCGGCTCGTACACGTACTGGTGTGTTGACTACTGGATGTTAAATAGAAGATAACGTTCATGTACTACGGGTCTGTCTTCCAAATATATTACGTCTACCCCTTGGGATCCCACAAACAGTGTTTTACATATTCATGTCGCTCCGCGAGGCGCACATATCAAACTAATTATGCATAGTCCCCCTTGTCGAGCTCCAAGCAGACAAGCATCAAGGTGGGCGCAAGACTGTGACGTCGATGGCGGTGTCCGATCGCATCCGGCGTTCGCCGCATTTCTAGACGCCCGAGATGTGGTACGGAGATGGGGAGGCGCCCGCGGTGGACGTGCGATGGCAGTTTCCTTTTCCTTGAACGAGCTGCTGCAGCTCTGGCACGCCCCCTCCACCAACAACGCTCCTCCACCAGGCTCGTTCTCCTGGACCAGCACCGCTTCAGTTCTCGTCCTCTCGCTCGCCGGTCTCCTATGGACGCTCTCCAGGAAGTCGGCTACACGCACACGCGTACTGGCGAACGGAACCCGCGCGGTCTGTCCGCCGGAACAGCTCAAGGATGACTTGCCACAGGGCGCGGTCGTCAATGCGTATACTATGGAACGTGAACTGACGGTTCCGTTCCCCGTGGACGATGTCCGGGTCGCCAAAATTCTCGTACATCCTATCAAGGTCGGCTCACTTGCTTAGGGGTACGCGCTTGTGGCTGACGCCGTCTGTGCACAGAGCTGCCGCGGAACATCCCTGCAAGAGGCGCGGTACACACCGGAAGGTCTCGAGGTGGGTCACACCGTCATTTGCCCCTTGCATGTCTGCTCTAGCCCCGGATACGAGTTTTGGAGGAGGTACCCGCGCGCCTTTGCGCGCGGCTGAGTCATTGCTCCTCTCATAGCAGTGAGATCGGCCGCGGAAACGCACGAAAACCTGCTCAATGAAATGTTCTTGCCCGGACACTACACACTATACGCGGCGCCGCGTCGAGGGAGGACCGAAAGCTCTCGGAAGGGAAGCACTGAAGCTTCTATCGAGCTAGTATGAGCGGAGCGTGTACCCGCCGACGTGCTGGAACATTGATGGCACGGTCCTGGATGCGCGTCGGTGCAGGAGCTCGTCTGTGGAGTCGGCTCCGAGGCGGAGCTCCGAGGACGAGTTTCGGCGGAGCGTAGGTGGGCGGCGCAGCGAGCCGGGACGGCAGGGAAATTATACCTATCCCTCCCGGAGAAGAACTGAGGAACTGAAATGGTACAAGAAGGCTACCTGTCTCGCGAGCTCTACGTAACCGGAGCGGAGAGCGGGAAAGCTGTCCTCAGATGCGTTTGGAAACGTGTTTGATACGGTCGATATATGGTGCTTTCCGCTGGATGGTATGCGTACACGAAAGACCCTGTCGAGCAAACCCCAGGACACACTTTCCCCCTAATGTCCCTGAGTCGGTGGTGACAACATTATACTAACCTGCTTTAACAGAATGACAGGAAATGGTGTATCATAGACGCAGATTCCCGTGCCATCATCACTGCCCGAGAGGTTGCAAAGGTATGAATACAACGCTAAGGAGGGGCGGACCCATCTCATTTACCTCGTCTCAGATGGTTCTAATAACACCACGAGTCGAAGTCGACCCGGCCTCTCCATACGGCGGGAAACTGGTCGTATCATTCCCGGAGGACTCAGACCTGGAGACGTTCTCAATACCCCTCTATCCTACCGAACAAATGCTCGAGGATTGGCATATGTACGTAAATCTCTAACCCCAACTACCCGGTCCTCGCTTCACTCACTAACGCTCTACCCTATCCCCACAGAATCGAAGACTGTCGCATGTTCGGCAAGTACCTCGTGCAGGGCTACGTCGTCTCCTCCACACTCGACTCGGACTCGGACGCGCGCACGCCCTCCGACATCCTCTCCGACTACTTCGCACGATCCGTGCACCTCGTCATGAAGGGCCCGGCGGCGCGCGCGTGCCCGCCGACGACCGCGTTCCCCGCGCTGCAGGAGACGGCGAAGTTCCAGGACGGGTACCCGTTCCTCGTCGCGAGCGAGGAGAGTCTTGGGGAGGTGGGCCGCGTCGTGAGCGCGTTCGCGACGGACGAGAGCCCCGCGGCGCGGATCGGCGGTATCGACCGCGAGCGCTGGCGCGACGGCGGGGTCGAGATCGAGAGGTCGGTTTCCGTGAAGGACTGGTCTGAGGTCTTGAGTGCTAACGTCTTGCGCCAAGGTTCCGACCAAACATCGTTTGCAAGGGTTCTGGCGTGCCCTTCGCGGAAGACATGTGGCGACAAATCCGCATCCACCCCGCCGCCGCATCAGACGACCACACCCCCGAAGAAGCCCGCACATTCACGCTCGTGTCCAAGTGCACGCGCTGCCTCGTAAGCACGCGCACCCCCCTTCCCCTGGTACCACTCCTGAACCGTTCCCTGCACAGCTCCCAAACGTGGATACGCAGACAGGCGCGCGCGACGCAGCGGTGCCGTACAAGGTACTGCTCAAGTTCCGCGCGAACAAGGACCCCATGCAGAAGAGCAAGCCGTGTTTCGGGTGCAACGCCGTCGTGGGTGGGGAGGGCGTCGTGCGCGTGGGCGACCGCGTCGAGGTGCTGGAGTGGGCGAGCGGAAGTGGAGTATAGACTGGGTGTCCCGTGCGATTCAGAAGCTACCTGGGTTTGCGTATCAGCTTTGCGTAGATGCCGCCGACTGCCTTTGGAGTATCGTAGACGGTGAAATCAGTACTCTGTCACTGAACGTACAGTACTAATCTTGAAGACTGCTACCGTTGTAACATATCTCATCTGGAGTGCGTGCTATGACTAATCCTGAGCAATAAGTAGCAAAACCTATGCCAACTTTGAAAAAGATTAGCTCTCTGTCGGGGAGTCGAACCCCGCTTTCGCGCGGCTAGTATGATAGACAGGCTATGACAAGCGCGTGTACTAACCGATATACTAACAGAGATGACGGTGCCCAAACAACACCAAATTGATATATCAGATTGTGCTTGTTCGCGATGTCCTGGGGGCCAGAATCGCGTTGCAGCTTGAGTGCGTCCGAGTCAATTGGCTTGCAATCGGGATGGCCGTCCTGCCCACCCCGACCCGTCTTCTCTTCTCTTCTCTCTCTCTCGCTCGACAAACCCCTCTTCGTGCTGCTTCTGCTGTTCTTCCTGCACGCGCCCCCACTCACACCCGACGCACGATGAGCACCAGCACCCACCCCTCGCTTTCTCTCGTTTCCACACCTAGTAAGCATGTCGCGTTCGGCCGCGCTTCGCCGCCCCGACGATACTCATACGTACGACTTCTCCAGACGCACCCGCTGCGGTCGGTCCGTACACCCAGGCCGTCCGTGTCGGCAGCCTCCTCTTCCTCTCCGGATCACTCGGCCTCAACCCCGCTACGGGCAAGATGGTGAGTTGCCATCCACCACGCGCGCCCCTCCGCGCATCCGCCAGGCTGACACCGGGCACAGGTTGAGGGCGGTGTCGAGGAGCAGGCAAAGCAGGCGCTCCAGAACATGAAGGCGATCATTGAGGCAGGCGGGAGCGAAGTCGGGAAGGTCGTGAAGACCACCGTACGTGCACGCGCTACGATCGCTTTCCCGAACACTATGTGTGCTGACTGGGCACGGACGCGGCACGCAGGTGTTCTTGAAGAACATGGAGGACTTCAAGGCCGTGAACGCGGTGTACTCCGCGTTCTTCGGGAACCACACGCCTGCGCGTTCGGCTGTCGAGGTCGCGCGCCTCCCGCTCGACGCGCTCTTCGAGATTGAGGCGATTGTCAAGTGAGTGAAGTGGCGATGCTAGGGAGTAATGACGCGAGCTAACGCTGCACAGCGCGGCATGATTCACGGTGTAGGTCGTGAAGCAGAAACAATGTAACTATAAAAGAGCCAGTGACGCTTGAATCAAAATAGGCCCTTGCAGATGCACGATATTAGTCCGGGAAGGTAGCCGGTAATACGCATATGAGACGACATACTACGACTCTTCCGTACTCCGCACAGCGACAGGAAGTCTATGGCATAGGCTTCGGATTCCTGAAAGCGGCCCTCAGCTCGATGCATGTACTCGCTCGCAGCTCGCAGGGTGCATCCCTCGACATCCCGTCATCCCCCCAAACGCGATCACGCGCGTCAGTATCCACTACCCGACGGCAAAGGCAAGCTCACGTCTGCAGTGAGCCTGCCGTAGCGCGTCACCATTACGTTCCATCTCCTCATGACCATGACGGGCCCAGCGCGCGCTACTGTCCAGCACTCCCTCTCTATCCCCCAAACCCCCATGTCCCCGCTGCATCAGCCATCTTGCGTCGCTATGCGCTGCGGTGCGCTCCCCCTCCCGCTCGAGCTCTTTCTTGCCTTCAAGGACAGCATCCCCTTCGCAGACCTCCGCACTCACGTATGCTTTTATAAGGCCCACCCGCACATCGCCGCGTTGTACGACGGCGGGGAACACGCGGACCGATTCTGGCAGCGCGCGTGCTGGTACAGCGGCATCAGTGCCCTGCAAAAAGACGACATGCACGACTCCCAGTGCTGGCGCAACATTGCGATAGAGGTCGTCGAGCGCGACGGCTTCTGTACGCACCCGCACTGCGGCGAGGCACTCATAGAATATAACCGTGAGTCCGCGCCGTTTGGAAGATTGCAACCGCTGATAGTATGCCGGCAGGAGAGCGCATGGGACGCGCAGCGGAACATGTAAAGCCGCTCTCTGTGCTCTCCAGAAAGCACGAAGTAGACATGCAGCCGACCGTGCACCGCGCGCTCGTGCAGACCGCGTTTCGCCCGTTCGACAGCAGCAAAGCCGCCCCCGACTCCAAATTTGACGAAGAAGCACACCTTCGCCCCGTCGGCACCGGGGCGCGCACCTATCAGGGAAGCACACTGCTGAAAGACCACCCCCTGATCGCACGCAGCTTCGCCACAGACGTGCCCGTCGGCGCGCTCCGGGTCGGCCGGATCGGGGGACACACCGTGCGCGAGGGCACGGTCGCGCGGCCGTTCGGGGTGACGGTGCACGACGTTCTCGCAGCCATATACGCAGAGTACGTCGCCCGCGCATGATCGCTGTCCTGCTGAAGCCAGGAGCTAACGGGAGACGCCAGCCTGGACGTGACGCTCACCTCGGACGCGCTGCTGCACTTCTTGATGGTGATGTTCGACAGGCTCCCGGCGGACTGGGCCATGTGCATGGCGTCGGAGCGGCTGCGTACGACCCGTGGGCTCCTCGGTGTAAGGTGCGCAGCGACCGGTCTGGACTCCGGGCGAGGTGATCGATGTTCACCGTTCCCCCATTACCCAGCCACCTGAGCGAATATATCTACGACGGCTCAGCAGGCGGTGACGGCCCGTGTTTCTCTGTCCGTCTTAAAAGCGGGCCGTAATTCAGCTGCTGTGTACCAGCCGTTGTACCGCTAGACTATGGCCTGCATGATGCGTCACACCGTCGTTGTGCCGTCTGTCCGTTCCCTGTCGATGTCGTCGTAAACTCGTCAAGTGAGAGCAACGAGATGATCGAGGCCGTCTCTGCAGAGCTCGCGTTCCCAGCTGCGACACAACGCTTCTCGAGGGCATACGGCTCATCATGGAGAGCCCCGCGACATTCCAGACAGACCTCTCGGTGATGGACGCCCAGGGAGTACTTGTCGCGCGAATGTGTGGACGCGCTCATGGAGGCAGCCGGAAAGCACGTCGTCGCGACACCGTGCATCTCAGTGACTCTCGCCTATCGAGTTCCCCGCGTCGGCGAGGCCGAGAGGGACGAGTCTTCTGTGTACATGCGAGAACAGAAAAATGTGGTATCAAACATTCAGAAAAACAATACTAGTACAACAAGTGGTCGAACACGACGGGCGGACTGACTACTCAACGACATCTTCCCCAGCATCCTCTGCAAGCGCGCACTCACCCATGTCCACAGTCAAATCGGAGAACAGCTCGGTGTGCTCCCGGTTCGTCGACACCAGTGGCTGCATCTGTCGCAAGGCGCGCTGCACCGACTCACCCAAGTGCGTCTGCGCCGACACGTCGCGTGCATTGCGTATCAACTTGAGCAGCTTCGCAACAGCAGCGTCTTCATCGTCCTCAATCACCGCAAACGTCTTGTGCGACGCCCCCGCGCACCAGATGTCGTATGCTGTGAAGTTGGCGGTCTTGTCTTTGTGCCGCGACTTTCGCACGGGAACGCTGGGCGAAGCCACCGCAGCGTCCGGAGACGCAAGTGCAAAGACCATGCGCAGGACCGGCGGCGGCTCCTTGACGTCGCGGTCGAACAGGCCGCATAGGTAGGGGTCCATATTCGCGAAGACCGGCTGTTTGATCTTGGCCCCGTAGTGCCGACTGTTCCTCACCTGGACCAAGATCGCCGTCACGTTCTCCTTCTTCAAGCTGGTGCCAATGAGGACGGGGACGACGATGTCGATGCCGACGTGCCCATTTGCGCAGATGATGGCCGCACCACGTGAGATGGCGAGGAGGAGATACGCCTGGTGAACGACTTCGTAGCTCTGGACCTTGATGAAGTGGTTGAAGTAGATGAACGCCTCCTGAAACGCCGTCCGGAGCGGTGTCGTGGCGAAGTCGCGTGTGTGATATGCAAGGGGAAGGCTGGCTGCGCATGTCTCGGACCCATCCGTTCCTAGAAGTGCCTGCAAGAACTGGGGCACGGTGACGATGCGTCGCCGAACGGCACCGTCGTACTCAGGGCTGGAACCATCGTCCGAAGAGGAGGAGGAGGAGGAGGAGGAGGAGGAGGACATCAGTACTTTTGTATATGTCTGAACGGTCTGAATCAGACCTCTCAGATGGCTTCAGACAGCTCCAGACACCGTTCAGACCTTTCAGACCACCAGACACCAGATCGGACTTTTGGACACTTCAGATGTTTGAGTGACTTTCTACTCAGATACTTTCAGACCCGTCAGACATGTAGATTCACTACGGTAGCATCATTACAATTATGCTTACCTCGAGTTCGTAATGAGTTCAATAAACAGCTGTATCACTCAAAGATAACATGAAGGTGCAATATTCAAAAATGTGCCTCATCGAGACTCGAACCAGGGCTACTGCGAGCGCTACAGCGGCAATAACCACTGCACCACTACTGCTTGCTTGGCCTACAATGTGGCAGTCCTATATCAGACTGTGACCCCTCTATACCTAAGCTCGGGATATATAGCATGCTTCATTATAGGTCTGTCTGCTATAAGCTGAGATGTAGTAGGTCTATTTGTTCGCATGTATCAGAGAAGACATTGATAAGGTGAGTGTTTCCACTAGTAAGCTCTAGAAGCACACTTGAAACATCAGTATATAACCTATAAATGTTCATACCTTTGTATCTGCTGTTGGTCAAGTGGTTAACTCCTTGATCGTCCGTCCGATGGCCGTGTGTTCGGTTCCCCATAATTGAGTTTTTACATTTATTATGAGTCTGTGGCGTCTAGTGCTCGAGCTTTGATGGGACACTCGCATCTGACAGTCTGACGGGTCTGACGGTCTGACGGCTACCCTGCCAGACCTGCCAGACCGTCAGACATATGCAAAAGTACTGATGGAGGAAGAGGAGGAAGAGGAGGATCCGGGGAGCTGCGACTTTTCGAGGACAAACGTGGTCGCACAATCGCGCGCATACAACAGCAACAAGGCTGCGGCAAATTCTCCTCTCTCGCCCAGGTCGAGGAGGGAGTTTCCGAGGTAATGTGTGATGGCCACCAACGGGTCCAAATCTGCACGGGATGTAGCATTCTGTGCCTTCCCGTCTGCCCACCTTCCACTGATCATCAGATGGCACGCCGCCTCTGCGAGCAACGGCTCTGATGCGGAAGTGGTGATGATGGGTGAGAACCCGGCGCCCGCGTACAAGAGCAGTCGCATGTGATCCGCCACCAGATCGCGCTCTATGCTGGCATCCCTTCGCGATAGCGGGACTGGATTAAACTCGATCGGAATGCGGACAGCGATGCATGCCAATGTTCGCGGAAACGTCATCGAATCAAATGTAAGATGCTCGGTCTTGAGGAGCTTCTTGCAAGCGAAGTCGACGATCCAATCGCAGACCATGTGGTCGCCTACTGTTATCGCAGCGTCGTACATGGCGGGGAATCTTTGAATGCAATGTCAGTCGGAACGAGGAATCAAATCAGTAAACGGTGAGACTGACAATGGACGGCCCAGGTGGGCGATATGATATGTAGATGCAACCTCCCTCAACATCCAGACCTTGTTCTTTGTGATACGCTGAGCCAAGACATCGAGTGGCGTCCACACTATGGGCGCAAACGGAACGAGCTCCAACCGCATGATTCGGGCTGAGCTATCGAGTTGCGGAGGCGGAGAGAATTGTTCAAGTTTCCCCACAGTAGAGAGAAAGAGAGCAAAGATAGGCAGTGTTCTGATGAGGCGGAGAGCACGCCGCACGTCGGAAAAGAGCGTAGCCCCAGAAGGACAGGAGTCACTGAGGTTGAGCAGCTGTGCCTCATCGAAATACAGGATGACGTCTAGACCGGCGGTGGTTGTTGTGGAGGATTCCTTTGGAATTGTTGAAAGGTACGAGGTCAACGCTTTTGCGGCAGTCGTCAGACTTATTTGGTCCCCTGAAGATGTTTGAGCGAAAAAATTGAGATAATAGACACAGTGACTGACCGTGCTCGTCCTCAACGCTTACAACAGGAGTTGGACTATGTTCCCTACAGTCCCCGGAGCTTTCGGGTAGCAACAAGAGCTGCGTGAAGTCAGGAAGATCAGACTCCGATATGACGTAGGTGTGATCAAGTCGGTTGAATACTGACCTCTTTCGCCCGCTCGCACACATCTTTATGTAATTTCTGCCGGTACTGACCATGTTGACTATACGTCATACCCTCGCTCATCAATTGACGAAATCCGCTCGCGAGACTCTGACCCTTTGACATGGCTGAGCAGCGATCATGAGTGGATCAACGGTGTGATGAAGATCGGAAATGGTGACGTACGATCGGAGGCAATAACCTTAACTCGCTCCAGCGCAGTCTCGAACAATGCGACCATGAGGAGCTGTATGCGTTTTGTCCGGACATTGTCATCGAGTGGCTTGAGTGACTCGAACCAACTCAAAAGATCAACATCTCGCGGGGGGTAGGCTGGTCGGTATGTGTCAGTCAATGTTGTGCATGACAAGCAAGAGGCATGCCAACCTTGGTCGGAGCCGAGAGACATTGGAATACAGAATATCTTTTTCGCAAGCTCATCGACCATACGCGACTTGCCGGTACCCGAGGACTGCGTGATTGAGGCATAGCGAGCGTAATGTGGGCTCGCCGTGTCCTGCACAATGTATTTTTTAAGCACATTCTCCAGGATATCCCCAGAACTCTTGTATGGCTCCTTCCAAGCAGTCGAGACCGCTGGGTTTGTCATGTGAGCGTCCAAAATAATCCCGACAAATGTTGCTACCGACCTCGATGTATCTTGGGGGTCACTAGATCATCCGACCGTACAGTGTTTGACCGGTGGAGAGCCTTCTGCTTGACTGTGAAGATGGTACCTGTTCGATCGCATACTGTGAGTCGACTCGAGGGACCAGCGAGAGCACGCCCAAACTCACGCGAATTCAGGACTTTCTCGAATTCCCTCCGCTCGAGATGCTCCTGTAGCTCACGGTCACTCTGGAGGAGAGAACTGGCTTCGTCGAGGGCGGGAGAAACCCCAGGCTTCATGTGAGAGATAGAGCTCAATAACATGGACAGGATCCAAGGGATATCGGTCGAAGCGTTAGACGTAGAACGCAGAATGTCCAAGCAACGCTGGTATTGTTCCGGTGTCAGCTCAGGGGGGTGCTGGGGATTGTTGATGGGTGATTGCGGGGTGGAACTTGGCTCGGTGGTTGAAGCGACGACAGCCCCGGCCGGGAGGCCTTCACCTTGGCGTTCAACTGATCGCAGCCTCTTTGTCGACCCATCCACTGAGGATTCCGAGCGGTTTCGTTTGAGCTCTGAAAACATTGGTCGTGGTCGTGGTCGTGGTCGTGGTCGTGACGGTTGTGGGTGACTGTGATCGCAAGCGTCTATCATGGCGCTTATTTCACCACCTCACAGCTTAAGCTTTTGTACCCCGCGCATAGCCTAAGCATACGTAGCACATGTATCTCTTTGATTTGCACGGTGAGTGTTCTCAGCCTATGGCGCCGACATCTAAGGGCTCGAAGCTTGCCAGGTACCAGCTCGCCTTCGCAATGTCCGTGGTTCTCCTAGGAGTCGACTCACTCGTCACGCATCAAGTCGGCGCATCCTCCAACGAGAACCTCACGTTACGGGGAATCAACCGCAGTAGGAACTCGGATTCTCCTCGCAATTCCTGCCACCGGTCGTAGCTACTAGCGCGTGCACTTGAAGAGCCCGTGCTCGCGGTCTTGCAGCATTCCGTCTTCGATCACGCGCCGCTGGGCTCGTCCCGGCGGCGGTTTTTCGCGCACGAACATACGGATTGTCCGAAGTGCGGCCCAACAAAAGAGCGCCAGGGCGAAATTCCAGCCATACGACGCGCTCCGGTAGAGGTTCTCGCGCGAGTGTCTCAAGCAGTACAATACGGACGACACCGGCACCATCTCCCACCTCGAGCTCACATCTATGCTGCACTCCCTCGGCTCGACGCTCTCGCACAAGGCAGCCAATTTGTTCTGGATGCGCTTCAGCAAGCAAGCGCGCACGGATGTGCTCGCGATAAACGAAGCGATTCAGCGTCTTGAGACCGGAGACCAAGCTACTCCGACAGTAATACTATGATACCGCTGCAAATGACATACTGACTGACGTTCGAGTAGCACCGAGACCGCTTTGGGTCTTTGCCTGTCGCACTCAGCTTCGCATTTCTGCACGCCGTAGGACTTGCTCTGGCGCGGCTCAATCAGAGGCTGCTCGGCGCAAATCATGGCTACCCGATGACATTCTGTACGAGGTCTTCTCTTCAAACCTCGGAAGTCTCCCTCCACGCATCCTCACCCTTCTCACGCTCGCGTGCCCGGCGTACCCTTCTGAATAAACCACACCTCCGCCATCAGCGAACCGGGAGGTATAAGTAGAGTACGGTAGAGTATCCTGAAGCTGCAATAAAACGCTATAACATCTGTAACATCGGCCGATGGGTTACCTCCGAGTGGCCAGTAGTAGTAGTCCACTACCGCCGGTCAACTTTCGCTGTAACATCCGTAACATCGGGTGTCGTGCTATCACATTCCGTAATTTCGGGTGCTTGATGTAGCATATTAGGGGGGTTGTAGTGTGGGCGGACGACGGAAGCGTGCTCTAGCCAGGGCCCGGGCTAGGCGGCCCAGGTGGGCGCTCTCACTTTACATTCCGGGTCCGAATTTGCACACAGATATTGTAATGGACACGATATATTCTCGCGGCAGCGCACACGCGCTGCCGGTACATCTATGGAAACATATGCGACGATTGTATGGAACTGACAGCTGGCAAGAGGGTTGTAATTACCGGTTGCAACAGAATGGGCGGGTGGCGGGCGTCCTCAAAGCGACGAGAACGTGGTGGTCCACTGGCGAGCAGACAGAGCAGAAGGCAGAGCTTAACGGAGACAGGCGAAGTACGAGAGAGACACCCAGACGAATCGAGACAGCGCGGACGAGGCAATAGAGAGGCAAGTCACAAGGTTGTGGGCACGCGCCGGCCGACGAGAAGCCCGCTGTGAGCTAAGGAAAGGGTCAGTCAGCTTGCATACTCAAGTCCGTTGGGGGACTGACCTTAAGACGCAGAGCGCGCGCAGCGTTTGCGGCGGGGCGTGGCATTGACAGTGTTGCGTGGCGGGCGCGCCGCGTTATCGCCCTTGGCAGCGTCTGCGCGAGCATGCGCGCGAGGAGGTGAGGCGTTGTCTTCGTGGACGTGTGCATGAGCGTCAGCGTGGATGCGGCGCGCGCGCGGAGGCAATGCCTCGTCGGCGTCGGCGAGAGTGTTCGCGGGGTGTGCGCGAGAGGACGGGGCACCGCCCTCGTCGGCGTGCGCGCGAGCGTCAGCGAATACGCCGTGTGTGCGAGGAGACGAGGCGTCGTTAGCATGCGTGCGAGCATGCACGCGGTGGGCTTGCTGAGGGCCGTCATTGTCGTCGTCGAAATCGTCGTCGTCCCCCCGCTCAGCAGCGAACCGAGCTTCAAACGCCGCGCGATCTTCTTCGACCGCAGGAGTGTAAGCGACGCGTTGATTGAGGGCCTCGTCCTGGTCGACGGGATCAACCAGCTCCGCGGGGTCGACAACATCGTCTAGCTCTTCGTCGTCCTCTTCGTCGTGTGCGCGGGAGCGCTTGCGCGCGTGCTGAGGGCTAGGCTGGCGGGGAGGCTCCGCATTTTCATCAGCGTCTTCAAGGTCGGAGTCATAGGGGTCGTCCTTCTCCAGGCGGAACAGTTCGGCTGATTCCTTTTCCGACGAGTTGCTCTTTCGCCAAATCCCGTAGCCATAGACCCGCCTATGGAGTCTCATTAGTCAAGAGGTCAATTGGACGAGTGAGCACGTACCTGGTCCACCAGTCGAGCACCTTGTCGGACCATGCTGTGTCCTGCGCGAACGCACACAAGAGGGAATACATAAATTCCTGCCCGTTGTAGTGGCCGTCCTTGACGGACCAGCTGGCCTGCGAGCTGAGGAGGGAACGAACCTGGGGGCAAGATGTTAGTATATGTAGAGGTCGTCTGACGCAGACGTACCAGAGCAATAACGTAGCACAGCGTTTCGGCGCTGACAACCTGCATACCGTATTTCTGGGAAATGGACGGTTTTCCGGTAGACTTGCAGCTACCTTTCAGCTCGTCGTCCGCGGACTGCGGCCCCGTGTAGACTGCCTTGTAGCACTAGAATCCTAGTTATTAGCAAGTACCCGGTATATAGTCGTGGTCTGCACATACCGCCTCGAGGAGTTCGCTGCGGAAAAGGCCTGGGCGAAGCTTGCCGGGCTGCATCGCCGACTCCTTGTATATGAACAGGGGCCAATCCCGGCTTGTGATGTGGATCTTGCCGTCGCGTACTCCAACCAGGAACCTGCGAGAGCGTCAGTCAGTTGTCAAGCATATGTAAATGTGCCGCGCGCGGCGAACTTACGCAGTGGGATCATCGTCAAACTGCTCGAGCATCCCCACGGGGCAGAGGAGGCGGCCCGTGAGGATGTTGCGGAAGCCGCGGTTAGACTTGATCCGGAGGCCCTTCAGCTTCGTGCGCCGGGGCGGGTTTATGTAATGAATCACGCGTTGGCGTAAACGCGAGAGATCATCGCCGCGGGAGCGCGCAGCGATCTTGTCAACCTGTGAGATAAGTGAGAACAACGCGGTGTGCAAGGATACATGTGCACACTTACAAAGTCAAGCACCTTGATGGCACAGTCCGGGTGCGCGCGAAGATATGGTTCACTCTCTATGAGAAGCGGGAACGAGTCTTGGAGGACATGGTAGTTGCGGGCTGCCTGTGTATCGCTGTCCCACCTGTACAGTAGATTAGTAGAGCCGGCTCGGTAATGAACGCGAGACTTACACTTCGTAGGGCTCGAGCGCGTCATAGGCTACGGGATCGGCCACCAGGAGTCCTCCGCGAAGGAAGGCAGCTGACACCTTGTTGTATGCGCCTATGACCCGGAGCATGAGTCGGGCTTGCTGATAGATCGACTCGTAGTTGTTCTGGACGCGTGTTAGAAAGCTGCGAATGGGAGATAAGTGAGTATATGCGTGTAACAAGTGAGTAAATGCGCGTGTATGCGCGCGGAACAAGACTCACTTGGCTCCGGGATCCAGGACATGGATCACCCGAGTCAGGGCGTTGTCCGGCATGTCGGGGTCGGGTGTCGGATCCCGGGCAGGGGCTGGCATGGCGGGTGGATCAACCTTCTTCTTCTTCTTCTTGTGGACAGGTGGCGGGGACGGCGCGTCGTCGAACAGGTCCGGGGCGTCGTCCTCGGAACTCTCGGAGTCGAGAGCTGCAATCTTACGCTTTGGCGCCGCTTTCACGGCGGCTGGCGTGCGCGACGATCTGTCGGGCGGGGCCTTTGTGGCAGTTACCTTACGCGCGCGGACAGGTGTCTTGGGTGGCGGCTCGACTGCATTTTTGGCTTTCGATTTCTTCTCCTTCGTCGGAGTCTTCGGTGAGTTACGTCGCTGCCGGGGCTTGTTGGTCGGGGGCGGGGTGGGCCCTAGAACGGTGCGTGCTGTGAGCTAGTGCATGGCAGGGGTCCACCCGGGGCTCCTGCGATCATGACCCCCGATTGGACCCTCCGAAACCCCTACCCTCCATCAAGGGTTCAGGGTTTTGGAGGGTATAAAGGGGGTATAGAGGGGTCGAGGGGTTTTAGATACCCCCAGCGTTTCTGGACAGACAGGAAGTGTCACAGACATGTAATCATATATCAGAGCATACAGGAGGTACTACAACTAGTCTTCATCATCGGTATCAGCACCCGTCACCCTTATAGCATCCCAGCCATCCTCCAAAGCCACATCAGCGTCACCGTCGAGCTCAGGCGCCTTGACCTCAATCTCGATGTCGCTGTCCTTCATGAGATTGAGCAGGCTCCACTCACCAAGGCAGAGGATCGCGCGGATTGAGTGGCAGAGAGGCCGTTGCGGAGA